CGGATGACCTTCTTCGGTGCTCCTCCCCGCGCAAAGGTGATTCATCCATCATGAATACGAATCGACGAGGTTGTTTGTTCTGTTGGATGGACCCACTGGATGCTCTGTGGAAGTGAGTAAAAGTTCATGTGACTATGACAATGCAACCATTTCCATAACATATTTACAAGTAGGAACTGGAAGGTGGGAGACGGTACAGAGTAGCATGCTTTCAATGTCGTCACTTACGAATGACCAATGGACGCGAAGTCGTTCGTTGGTAGAATCTTGACGCAAAGTTTCCGATGTAGATGCCTCACATATGATAATCCTGTGGTCTGAGGTTTAAGCCGTCTTTTCTCGTGAAAGTCTCTCAGTTATCATAATTCAAATAGTCAAGGTCGTCTGATAATTGACATTCTCTAGATGCACTATTTCAATACTGAAGGTGGGCTATAATCATGTTGAACCATTACTGTTAGTTCAATTGACTTTCGGTCCGAAGGTTCTTAATAGCCAATTCGGACCGCAGTTGCTCCACTCAAGACTAAGTTGGTTCTTGGGAGTCGAGATAGGAAGTGGTTTTCATATGCACGATTCAGGGATCAGAGGTGTCAGCGACAGCAAGTCGTTAACTCCGGGATGATGCAATAGTTTCGCGTCTCTTATCATCAACTTCTGCCAACCATCGTGCCCTCTTACCTTTCGTTCAAAATAGATCCCTCTTCCACCAGGGCAGTCAACACCATGCCATTCCTCACGCTATTCCATCTGATTTCTCATTATCGATGGTCCCGTAGCGACGGCTGCGCAAGCGCTTGAGCAACGCAACAAGCATCATCGCCAGCTATGCTTGAAGATGCCACGATAAGACCCCGCCGGTGGAGTCGATCAACAAGTGGATGCATTACCTGCGCGCGATCCAAGGTCAAATGCTCAGAAGACCGGCCTACCTGTCAGCGATGCAGCCGCCTGCAGCGACACTGTCAATGGCGGGGAGACCATGTTCCCCTCCGAGAACGAAGGCGTGGGTTTGGCCCTGTCAAGTCCCGCCTTCAGTACGTGCCTCCTCCGATCTTGCCGTCGAACGATATTACCAGGCATACCGCCCAGGATACGCCCGAAAGCGGCGAAAGCCCCATCGACTGGGGGAGAGCCCCTCCTTGACATCGGTGGAAGAAACCGAGTCGACGACCACGACTTATTCTGTTGTGAACAATACAATGCACTTTGACGAGCGTGTGGCCTTGGAGGTTATATTTTGTCAGAACACTGCAGTGGCGTCGCCTCTGGCAATGCTAAGCGCTCGACATATCCTGTCCCGATGTTCGATTCTCTTCGGCCCCTTGGAGCAGAACGCTCTCTACTTCTTCGAGAATGTGTTCGGAAAGTGTAGTCCCAAGACCTTTCTGTGGTCCAAGCTGGCTATCCTGCTTCATCATGCTTACGACGACGCCACGGTCATGCACCTGTTGCTGGCTTCGTGCCTTGGTACCGTTGCTCGGAATCACCCAAACCGTATGGTGTTGACCTCCGCCAAGTCTCATTTCAAAATGGGTACCAGCAACTTTGTTGATGGAATCCAAGACCCGACATGCAATCACACTAAAACCTTGATGGTCTTTTGGCTGTTACAGCTGACGTACCGTGCAATCTGGGACGATAAATGCCGTCGGGCTATGAAGAAGCTCAGTTCCGCCGTGGCAGACTATATTCATAAGCATCGCCTTCTGAAGCTCTTCGATTCCGGGGGGACCCCCCCCTGGAAATCTCTCTGGCAGGACGTCCCCTGAAGAGGACTCCGTAGTTGACTCGCTGTCTATTCATCTGGCAACGCCTACAAATAAAAGCCTTGTTGCGAGTCTCTTGCTCTTCATAGCGTACGAGGACCTAGACTCTGAAACTTGCGGCTTTGGAGGCGACGTTTCTCGCATGGTTCTTTCCGGCGATGATACATCCCGCTCTCTATTCGCCTGTTCCCGGAATGTTCATGCTGACTTCTTTGGCTCCTTATATCCATGTGAAGAGCTGATGGATGACGTGGAGCGGTCGAAGCCGCTGGAATTTCACTTTTTCGCAAACGTCTGCCTTGACCGACTGCATCGACTCCGAGCATCATCCGGCGATGATGTAGACAAGCTGAAAGGCATAGTGACCACGCTGCATCGCCTACGAGAGGTAAGACAATAGTCTTTCCTGAACTTCACTTTACATCTTGTAGAACACACGCCGGCCCGAGCGATAACACTGGCTGACTTTCGGTCATCTTCCCCCCGGGGGGCTGAACAGGAACATTCGACCATATTCCGCTTGGCAGAAGCCCCAAATCCAGCTGACGCAAAGTTGATCACAACATCCTACAACATCGTGGCCCACTTCCATGCTGTGCTAGTCTGTGTCCTAAGTACCATGGCTTCCTCTTCACCATCCGAATCACTCCAACGAGATCTTGCCGTCGCTAAAGACGATCTCCTCCGCATGATATTCCGGATGGTTACACAGAGCCCAGATAGACCTTTCATGTGGAGAAATCAGTGGGCAGTGTTCATAATGGCGAAAGAAACCGACGACATGATCCATTGGGATTGGTTGCTACAAAAGCTTGGTGATAGTAGCTACGCCGTGTTGTTGAAGGAGGACAGTAAGCAGAACTCTAATCTGCAGGCCTAGCTATCAAGCAACTCTTGCTCAAACCCTATTGCCACAAGAGCAAAGCTTTCTGACAGGTGCGCTGGCCCTAGAGAAATCCTTCGTAATGAGAGACATTTCCTCCTCGAGAGAAATCTTCAACCTCCTCTCCGTTACAGTATCTTCAAACTCCCGTTGAACCTTGGACGCAACCTCATCGTCGGTCAACACAGCCCATGCAGATCTTGCCAGAGCATTGGCAATAACAAGAGCTCGCTCGTGTGCCGATTCGGCTCCAGCAGCTTCCGTGAACCCGGCAGTATGATTGTTCTGTCCTTCCTTGGCCTCAATCCCGTAGATGGGGTGAATAACAGGGACGACACAGCCAACATTCCCCTGATCGGTGGCGCCGGAGATGACATCCTTGGTGTCCACATTACACCACATGGGAATGCCCAAATCTGCCGTAGCATCGGCAAACACTAGAGAGAGCTGCTTGTTTGGGCGCAGGGGCGCGTAGAAGACATCATTCTCGACCTGCATCTCGCAGCCCGTGGCGATAGCGCCAGCCCGGTAATTCGCAATGACACGGTCCCGCAGCTCTTTGGTCTGTTCAATAGTTGGTGCACGCACGGTGTAATCGACAGCAGTAAAGTCGGGAATGATGTTGCTTTTGACGCCGGCATCCGTGAAAATGCCATGGACGGTGGAATCCTTCGTCATCTGCTGTCTCATCATGCTGACGCCGTTGTAGCCGAGGACAGCGGCGTCAAGCGCATTCACGCCCTCCCATGGCGACACAGCTGCGTGCGCAGGCTTGCCCTTGAACTTGATTCTGAAGCTGGTGGCGGAGACGTGGTTCACAAAGACGTCGCCTTGTTGTCCTTCGTTGCCGTAGGCAAATAGGGGAGCCGGGTGGGCCATCACGCAGGCCGCGACACCGTCATATGCTCCTTTGCCGACGAGCATGCCCTTGCCACAGCCGCCTTCCTCGGCCGGAGTACCCAGGAGTCTCACGCGTCCAGGTTTGCCGGACGCCTTCAGGGCGGCGACTGTGGCGATGAAGCCCGCTAGGGATGCGGTTGCGATGAGGTTATGGCCGCATGCGTGGCCGATTTCAGGGAGCGCGTCGTATTCGGCGTTGAAGACGACCAGACGGCCGCCTTCTCCGAATTCGGTCTCCAGAGATGTAGGAATGCCGTATGCGTGAGGGGCGACTTTGAAGCCAAGCCTCTCCAGTGCCTTGACGAGGGCGTCGTGCGCGTGGAACTCTTCGTAGTTGAGTTCAGGATGGTGGAATATCTACAATTTCGAAACCAGAATCAGCTAGGGTACACCATCTGCGGTCATAGTTGTGCCTCCATTCCTTGGTTGGACTCAAACGGCGGTCATTGGGACGACTCACGTCTAAGTCGACCTCTCTCAACAAGGTTTTGCCATTGCTGATGGCTTTCTCCATCTCAACGGCAATCTCTGGGGTCATGGTGGCCATGTCGGGAACGGATTGAGATGTTATAGGAAGGACGCGAATGTTCATGTTGGCTTGGTAGACTGAGATAGATTGATGCTGCCTGCCGCTTGTTGAACAGGGCCAACCTCATTACTTCAACATGCGGCGGGAAGGTCATCTTTAAATAGAGTTCTCACAGCTGGCCAGCACAAGACTGATTTGCAACGACTTCAATTTCTTCTACTAAGGATGATCGAGCACGATTGTGACATGCCGCGTCCAGATTGTCGTCGGATTACAACTTGGGACTACAGACGAGATGTCGCTCATGACTGGTCAGAATTGCCGACCGAAAGAATCATTGACTCCACTTTATGCTATCATTCCCGGGAGAACTGATTGTCGTATGACATCCCAGTAATCTCTTCGTCACCTAACAACCTCGGAGATGCATGCTTGCCTGGATATGGGCGGGACTTTGTCTAGTTATCAGCCCTCTACTTGAGTAAGTTATCCAAAATTCAATGACAAAAAGCAAAGGGGCTCAGTAGTATATCGAATGTCACTACACCCCAAAGGGTTTGCGCGCGCGGCTGCACAAGGCAATTCCAATAAACACAGTTGCGTTGTTCCTGGATTAAGCTAAGCACAAAAGGTTTCGATCTTTTCAAGAAATTGACCGTATGATCAAAATATCCCCACCTAGTCCACTGGGGATCAACTCTGCTGTGAAGGAATCGACGCACTATTTTCTCACACTTCCTCCCAACTCCCCACTCATCCATTCCCCGCTCGTTGCCCATTCCACGGATGGCAGCACGACGATTTTCCCCAAGTTACCCTCATGATCTGTGCAAAAGTCTTCATGGAAGCAGAAACTAAGGCGACACCCCCGGACCGCTCTGGTCTCAGGTGGGTGCGGAACAACCTGGACTATCTCGAGCCTCGATGGACAATCAATCCGGACATGGCAGTCATCCTGGAAACTGTGAAGAGTACCCTCGGCGTTCAAAGCCCTTGCCGCATCGAGTTCCTGGCAGATGGTACCTTCAATAAGCTTTACGTCGTCGAGTCTGCGGGTCAGGAGGTCGTGGTACGGGTTACACTCCCTATCGAACCAAGGTTGAAAACCCTGAGTGAGATTGCCACGTTGGCTTGGGTCCGCCAGAAAACCAGTCTACCTGTCCCGGGTATCTTGGCTTACATAGCCGATCGCGCCAATCCAATAGGGTTCGAATGGATCATCATGAACAAGATACCGGGGGAGCCTCTGGCTGATGTATGGAAAGAAATCCCCTACTCAGCCAAGGAACATCTTGTTCGCCGCCTTGCTTTGTTCTTCTCCGAAACCTTCGAACATCAAATGCGAGGCATCGGCAATATCTTCCCGAACCTGCCCTCAAGCCAGACTTCAACTTCGTCCAAGCTTGATGCAGCAGGAATTTCCTTTGCATTATCTCATATCTCTGTGGCAGCTGACTCTCCTGGACAACGGCCACATGAGAACTGTGATCAGTGTGGTCAAGATGATGACCTATTCGCAGAGGTTGAGAAATCTTCTGCCCCTAGCTTCACTGTTCAGAGATTGGTATCCTATTCTTTCATCGGCGAGCATCCTCACTCAAAACTTTCCCGCGGTCCTTTCGCGTCCAGCAAAGAATGGATGTCAGCTCGACTGGACTTTGTAGAGCTCGATTGCAGTATCCGCCTACGTCGCTTCCGGAATTCAGACCAGCGTTCCCGGCCTGGAGAGAACAAGACTAAGGATGACAACCGAATCTGAGCAACAACGAAGGAAGACGAGGCAAAAGATGAGATCGATCGCACGTCAGCTGAGGAGTACACAAACGAAAATGAAGAAGATGATGACGTGGAGTTTCTTGAGACAGCTATGGTTCTTATTACAAGGCTTCGAAACCATCTGAAAGATGCATTCCCTTCCACCGGACTCGGAACCGAGTCCACAGTCATCTTTCATGATAACATGGATAGCCGCAACATTTTGGTTGATAAAGGAGGGAATCTCACAGCTGTGGTTGACTGGGAATGCGTTTCAACTCTACGATTATGGACGGCCTGCCAGTATCCGCCCTTCCTACAAAGCAAACCACGGGATGTCGAGCCAAATCAGAGCATTTATCAGCACGAAGAGAACGGAGAAGTGACTGCGCTCTTCTGGGAACATCTGGATCACTATGAACTTACTCAGTTGCGTCGGGTATTCCTCGCGGAAATGGAAAGGCTACAGCCTGAGTGGGTGGCCATTCACAAGTCTACCCATCATCAGAGAGATTTTGAGCTCGCTGTTACACTATGCGACGATGAACTCTTTATGAATAGAGTTCGGAAATGGTTGGATGACCTGGACTCGGGCGCTGAAGGGGTCGTTGGGCTTAGAGAACGCCTAGATACTGCGTGTGATCTTTGAGAGAACTGTTATCTTGATTGCGGTTCGAGACAATGGGATTGTAGTTGTGCCTCGAACGTTTTACTAGGTTTTAAACGCAATGAATGGCTTATCTCCAACTAGTTTTGTTGTGATCATATTCACTGAATTGAACATTGAAACTTGGTTTCACAGATACAAGAGAACCTCACAGAGGCTAACGACATGCATAATATCAAGAATCTCGTCGAGGACTTCTTTGCCGCAGTGTATCAAAACCCATTAATTACAACCCTGGACGCTGTTGGGATCTTCCAGCTTCACCAGGGTATAGTGGAAGCGGCTTCATACACCGAGCACGCCTGCTACCGTCCCCTTCGCCTTCGCTATACTGTGGCCCCGGAAAATGGCCTTGACCATAGACATGCCCGCCATTTCTGATGTCCCCTCGCCGCTCTTCGAGAGCCACGACATTGCTAACATAATCGTTGTACCTATGCATAGTGGCTTCCTCTCTAGTCTTGGCTCTCAGCCTGCCCCATACCATAAGTAGTAGAAAGACAAATACTATGGCAACTAGTGAGATGCCGGCGATTGGGCCTGGACGTATGTTGTTCCTGTAATCGTCGCCGATTTCTCGTTTGACATGGTGATTCGGGGTTATTAAGGTCATGTGAGATGTTCGACTTCCGAGGGCATTCAGGATGTTGAGAGCGCCTATCGAATTGCCGCTTTTGAAAAGGGGTGGCATTGAGACTGTATAGTGATCTGATGCTCTTTGAACGATGCAAAGGGTTGAGAACTTTGTCGAATACAGGTTTTTTCCTTAACTTCGGTGTCAACTCTCGCGGTTGCAGCCGGAAAGGTAATCAGCGCTAGTCAAAGATGGCGAATCTACGTTTTTAATCACAATAGCCACACTTGTAGTTCAATCGTCTTACTGCTCTTGTATAGAAACTTGAAGACTATCAAGGTTGACTGTCAAAGCCTGGTAGACCTAGATGAAGGTCCCATCAATGGCCTCATGGCCTCATGGCCTCAAATCGGGCGAAATGCTCTGCCCGGAAGGCTGGACAACGTCTAGCAGTGGCAAAAAGTGGCCAGACGATGTTGAATGCTGTTCGTCTTGCTCCGCAATTCGATTCGTTATAACATACTATGACACCAGGATCAATGAGCCTGTCGCCAACCAACGCTGAGTGCTGATGGTCGCAGCCCCCCGCCTCACTTGCACCGCCGCAGCCACGAATTCTGCCTGCTTGGCTTGGCTGGCCATGACTTTTGCCCGGGCATAGTCAGATGCAGATTTCGGAAAGTTTTAAAATGCCGAAGAGCCTTACTCAGGGTGGAATCGCGCAACCCTGCACAAGTTACTGGGAAATCTGATAAATTTGAAAGGCTTCTGGGATATATGATAGCCGCAGTGATACATGGCGATCAGCCTGAGAACACATGCGGCAGAAACGATGAAATCACTGCAATATCCACGTAACCTGGCAGTCGTGCTGACCTTATACAGTCCTGATTGTCTATTCAAGTCCAGTCTCTGTAATCAAGACAATTACGATGCCTTCAGCTTCTCCTCCTCCTTAAGCTCGTGAACCAGAACGCGGGGGCCCTTGGGAATGATAAGCGGCCCAGCAATCCCCAGCACTCTCGTCCTCGCACCACCATACCCTTCCTTAAACCTCGAAACCCACGTATCCGTCGTACTGAAGAACGCGCCATGCGTTCTTTCACTCTGATCCCAGTACAACCTTCTGAACCAAAGGTGCAGATTCGGGTAATCGTTCCGGATCGTGCCCAGATTACACATGAAGATTGGGACATACGCGACGTCAAACCGAGCAATCGTCGGGAATAAGCGGACATCAGCCTCAGTAATGTGATCGCCAGTCAGAAAAGGCCGGTTCATAAGGATATCCTCCAAGCGATCCAGGGACTTGAACAAGGCGTCGACGTTCTCCTCGTAAGCGGACTGCGTAAACGCAAACCCGCTCTTGTAAACACCATTATTGACAGTGTGATACACCCACTCATTAATCTCATCAATCTCCTTACGCTTCGCCTCAGGGTACAGGCCCCCACCGGGTCTACTCCCCTCGCGATCCGCCTCGGGAAGGAGGTGATCAAATTCAGTGTAGAGCATGCGGATAATCTCGCTAGATTCGTTGCTGACGAGCGTATGTGCCTTTTTATCCCAGAGAACAGGCACTGTGACGCGCCCGTCGTAGCCAGGACTCGCTTTGAGGTAGAGCTCCTTGATCGTCATGAAACCGTAGACGGGGTCGCGTGGGAGGACGCCGAATTTGGCTGCCTCGGGGCTGTCTGTGAAGTGCCAGCCTTCCTTGCCCATGCCCATGTCGGCGATGTAGAGGTCTACGACGTCCTCTAGGCGCTTGAGAGCGCGGACGATCATGACCCGGTGGCACTGGTTGCATTGTATTAGCACGGGTGGCCTTACTTGACGAGCGCTTGATCACCATGTGAGTTCTTGTTCTGTTTGAGTACTCACCCATGGACACCCTGGGCTGACGTAAAGTGCATAGCGACCTTTCTCAGCTGGAAAGTTGGAGTGGGTATCTTTCGAGATGAAGCTGCGGAATTGAGCTTCGGTGCGCTCGAAGCTTCCGCCTTTTCCGGGCTGGTACCGGATGGGGTCTTTCTGCAATGAAGTCATTAGCATGCGTGTTTTCGGAATCTTTGAAGACATGCAGCCGTACCTCTTCACTCATATTTACTTCGTGGTAAAGTGATTTTTCTGGAGTAAGAAGGGGCGTGGGTTCCTCGATAGTTGATCGACAGGCGATATCAGATCTCATATAAGTATGATAACGTATTAACACAACTTGAACCGATGGGATTCAAATTGTACTGTGGCGTGATGAGGGGTCTTCTATTAGCGGCCTAGGTGGACTGCTTTAAGTATTAGGAAGCACGTGAAGGGGAGCAGACGTGCTTCCATAGGTGAAGATGACGTAAAAATAAACTTCTCCAGCTTCCCCGCTCTGGAACGCTGCATCAGTCCCGCGCAGTTCGGAACTCCGAGCGCTCGTGGCGTGCGGGACCAGCAGAAGTAGTTGGGATGGAGGCCAATTTGTCAGCTTTGTGTTCACGAGTCTAGGCTGAAGTTCGTAAGCTTGTAGCGTTGTAGGAATGATTAACTACCTCTTTGGGCCTTTCCGAAAGTCGAGTTTCTTTCTGGCTTGGTACATGCATCGAATGCATCGACTGTCAGATGTCGAGAGCAAACAGTCTCAAGCAATCCCTAGAGTTGAGAAAAACTGACTTGGAATACACGAGATAGCACTCTCTGGTATGCTCCGTCTAAAGCAGTCTCTTTCCAGCCCGTGTCTAGGCACGGTCTATCGTAAGGCATCTAGTCTAAATCTTTCGTTTAAGCCCATCGAACGTGAAGTCTACTCCTCTTTGACATCAAAGTCGTTACGGTCTAGAGTGGCATCCCTCACAACAACTTTCCCTCGTCGTCGAGCCCAGCTTTCCAGGCCTTGTAATCAAACCCAAGCTCCTCCAACGTCGCGACCTCATGCCTCCTCTCCCCTAACTTCCTCGACGCAATCTTGATCAAAGGAAACCGCTCCCTCGTCCATCGCTTCTCATCATCCCAGTATGGCGGGATCTTTCCCACTCCTTCATTTTCAAGACCCTCCTTCTTCTCCGCTTCCAGGCTCCGCGCGTGGAGCATGTTGATGTACTCTAGATCTTTGGGGAACGCCAAATTGTGTAGCATCTTACTCTCCCCCTTTTCCTTCAGCATCTTCGCCTCCCACTCTCTCATCTCGCCGCGACTCGGTAGACGCAGACGATCCGCCCACGCGCGCGCAACGTACGCCGCCTGACCCTCCGATACAGGGAACGGCACGATGCGCTGCGGGATACCTGCGAACGCGAGTGTCGGGTCGTCAATGTAGAGGAGATGCTCGTACAAGTTCCGCGCGTAGGCGCCGTCTGTGACTACGGGAGGGGAGAGATCGCGGAGGAAGGGGAAGCTGTAGAAGTAGCCCGTACAGAAGACGACGCCATCGATACCCGATTCGGTCTCGCCGTTGGCGAAGCGGACTTGCCTGTTCTCAGGGATGAATTCGAGGATCTCGGGGACGGGTCTTGCCCAGGACGAACGGTCTTCTGCGGGGGTGTTGGGTACGGTCTTTTCGGAGACGATGATGGGGAGGGCGCAGACTGTTGAGATTTGGGCGCTTAGGTCGATGCCCGAGGCTGAGTTGCCGACGATGATGACTTTCTATGATGGTGTAAGTGGCTATGCATGAATAGGGTAAGGGGTTACACTCATGGTTCATCTCACTTTCCCCTCGTACTGTGCGGCATTTCTGTAAAACTTTGAGTGTGAGATGGAGCCTGGGTGTGCCATATCGAACTCGGCGAGGCCAGGGATGTCTGGGATGAAAGGGTCGTTGTAGTGTCCGCTCGCTACGAAGACAGCGTCGAACTGCGCTTTGCTCGTCTCATTTGTCTTCAGGTCCAGGCTCTCAATCTCCCAATAGACCTCACTGCCGCTCGTGGACTTTCTGACTGAGAGGATTTGCGTCGACAGAGAGATGATGGGCTTCAGCTCATCGGCATAGTTTTCCAGATACTTCTTCACTGTTTGATGGGGAGGGAAAAGTGAGGCGTCCGAGGGGAACTTTTTATCCGAATAGTTCATGAGGGTGTGGGGGATGTTTGTCTCCAAGTAGTCGTACACGGGAGAGACGAATTGCTTGGCATCGTGTCCCTCGACTGCGATGGCCGTATCCGGGTTCTTGGTTGGCTGTGTTCTGGGAATGCTAAAGTCGCCATCAATGACGTTCAAGGGGCTGTATGTCCAGACGCCACCAACAGTATCTCTCTGCTCAAATATTTGGACCTTGGAGAACTTCTTCTCCGCTAGCAGGTATCTGATAAGGCACAAGTAAATCAAGTAAGTATAAAGTTGTTAGATTCGTCGGCTGGGGCCGGATCGGCGGGCTTACTTTGCAGCAGCCAGACCGCACGGCCCGGCGCCGATGACGGCGACCCGATCAATGTTGAGCTTGTCTTCCAGGTACATGGACGACATGATGGCGGCGGAGTCAGGCCGGGTCTGGACGCGAGGAGGGGTTGCAGAGAAGCGAGAAAGCGATAGTATGGAGGGGTATCTGTGCAGCACCACTGATGAAACCCTCGGACGATGACCACGAAAAGAAGACTCGGCTTTATGGAAAGAGTGACGAGCAACTCTGAGCGATTTGTGCTTTATGCTCCGCATGAGCATCAGCCGATTTACATTCTTGGGTCTTCAGATTTCTGACGAGAGTATCCGTACAGAGACTACAGGCGAACCTTGGTTCGGCGATATGCTTCTGCTGGTCGGACGAACGGCCCACTGAGTCGCAGCAAAAGGAATGACTGCCAACACGAGTCGGACTTGGCCCGACCACGTCAGCGCCAGCGCCAGGCTCGGTAGGTGTTTGTGCGAGTCGGGGGCTGTGTTGGGCGGGTGGGGGGAGATCACAAGCGTTCTAGAGCGTTCTTGGGATGAACATTTGTTTCTCATGCAAGCCATAGTTATCTAGCTACTGTTTCTCCAGTTTCTATGTCCAACTGTCTTTGCTTTCAAGTAGTTGATGCTTCAGTTGAAATTCTCAGTTGCCGACTTTGACAATATAGCAGCACAACCCCAACTGCCGGCCGGCCCCTTATCTTTCACTCTCCCTTCTCTCCCCCCCTCAACACGAAGACAAAATCATTAGGAAATATTAACTCCGAATGACGCATCCCCGACAGCGGGGCCAAACTGGGCCGACTAAACCAGAATAATCGCTACAGGGAGGCTTCTTATTCGTCGCCCCTGAACAGGCCGTGGTAACGGCGTGCTCTGGGCCCGCTTGAGTCGTGGTCTTCCACCATCGGCAACTGTCTGGTACTCGGGTACTTTTGTACTGTACTCCTGGCCTCTCTATTGCCGGCCGGTTCAAGGCCTCCCAGTCTTAGCCCCAGGCTCAGTGACTGGATTACTATCGGATCTGCGCGGAGAGTGACCTGGGCAGAAGCAGAGATAGTGTGTACGTGTATCTGTAGTGTGTGCTAAGGTAGGACAGCCTCGTTGCGACGCTGGGGAGGGGAGAGAAGAGAATTTTCACTCTTCTTTTCTTTGCAAAGAATGATTATCACTCAACAAAAGATCGCCATCATACTACGAGACCCGTAGCCATGGAACCGCACAGCCGCTGAAGAACTCTCTGCCTCTGCCCTGCAGATGACGATCCATTGAAAAAGTAAACCAAGGTGACAACAAGCGGAGAGGTTCCCGACTCAGTTCCAGTCTCGCTTCTGTTCGAAAAAGGATCCCCCATCCCAATCCCACTCCCAGCCGACCAACCGGTTGTGTATGCGACGTGTCCAGCGAAGAAACGCCCCCAAAGTCCCCGACAGCCCCGACACGAAACGGGCGTTCAGTCGGCGTCTCGCCGTCGCCCAGTCCCCCCATCCCATTTGGCATTCCCGCACCGTCGCAATGTCGCCCGAACATATCAGATCGAACATTCATCGCTTTCGCGTCCGACAGACATCCCCATCCTCGTCAGCCCTGCGTCGCTCGGCTTCTCCTCCCGCCGTACGCCCTCCACTGCCGCCCCAGACACCGTCCTCAGCAGCCTACTCGGGGCCTCCGGATACCGCCCCCGATGTCTCATCGTCAGCAGCAGCCATCGCGGCGTCAGTCTCGGGCTCGGCCCCAGCGCCGCCGTCTTCAGGTCCAATCTCACCGGCGCTGACGGGTCAAAGTCCAACCGCAATTCCTAGTGCCGCCAACATCTCCGCTTCCGTAGCAGTATCAGCAGCGGCGGCGGCGGCGGCGGTGCCGTCATCCATCTCAGCATCGTCGCCAAAGGTCGCCCGCGACATCCCCGCCTGCGACCGCTGCCGCAGCTTCAAGAAGAAATGTAGCCGCACTTTTCCCATTTGCACCCTCTGCGCCAACGCGGGACATAAGTGCTCCTTCTCCACGCCCGCCGCCTCCACCGCTGCCCAGACGCACCATCTGCGCGCCCGGATAGAATGGCTCTCACGCTTCATCAACGAGAACCTCCCCGTCCCCGGTGCCCCTGGCGTAGAGACCCTTGATACAGGCACGGATATCGCCTCCGTCTTGGGATCCTCGCCGGCTGCTACCACGACAACCACAGTCGTGGGCCAGCCGATGGAGATTCTTCCAGCTACGCCGGCCGCGAATGGGGCCACGCCCGGGTCTATTATCAGTGCCGAGAGTAATCGTGGGGAACCGCGGGATACTTTCGCCGTGCACCAGCAACCGCTTGGGACATCGGGGCCGATCCTCTTTGACCAGAGGAGTATCGCGGTCAACGTAGAGTCGGAATCATCGTCGTCAAGGGGCAATGATCACATGCGAGCTCTGCTTCAGCCCGCACCGGAGCCTGGAAGGATTCTTGGCATTGAGAGTCTACGCGACGGAGAAGGCTTCACGTCATCGAGCTTGCCCCGCGACGCCATTGCTCGTAGGTTCGTAGACGCCTACTTCCGCAACGTCAACCGGGCGTACCCATTCGTCAACAGGACAAAGGTCCTGCGAGACCTCGAGTCACTAGGCGAATCGTCCAAGCGGCGCAGGGATGCCGACTCTACTCTACTCTATCTCATCATGGCGATTGGGTGCACCACCCTACAGCGCGCCGGCCAAATTCCCAACGACACGGCCTCCAAGTTCGACGTGGCCTACGCCGACATCATCCAGGAGTGTCTCGTAAGAGAGGACCTTGAGTCGATCCAAATCCTCGTCCTAGTGGCACTGTATTCACTCTTCGACCCAAAGGGCATCTCAACGTGGTCTATAGCAGGCATCGTCTCCCGGCAAGCCATGCTCCTCGGCCTGAGCAGGAGATCCTCCAAGGATAAGAACCTTTCGGCCATGGACATTGAACTCCGCCACCGCCTATTCTGGAGCATCTACGTCCTGGACCGGATGATGGCCATCTCTCTGGGTCTCCCTGTAGCCCTCATCGACGAAAACGTAGACGTCCCGCTACCAGGCCTCACAATCGAAGAGTTCGCCTCTCCAGACCGTCAACACTTCGCCTCCATTCTCCAGACAAACCGCCACGTCATCCAGCTCAGGCAGCTCGAAGACCGCATTCTCAAACAGATCCACACCCGCAAACAATCAGAGGTCGCCGCGCTCTCGCAAGCAGACAGGCGCGCCATTGTGCAGAACATCCGCTCCGAGATCGAGAATTGGTACAGCAACGGGTGTCTCGTCTCACCCCTGGAACCAGACAACGTCCCCATCCACAACTCAGTCACCTGGCTCAGCGCGCGGTATTACCATCTCCTCCTCCTCCTCCACTACCCCTGCCATTTTAACTCGTGCGGCTCCATCGTCTCCGCCGTCGAGCTGCTGCGCTTCGCCCAGAAACACCTCCAGTCGACCTCGGTCCTCCTCCAGCAACGCCAGTTACCCCTGAACCGCGTCACGCTATGCCGCCTCTTCCCCGTCGGTCTGGTCCTGATCCACAGCTTCATTGCCTGCGCCGCAGAATGCACCTCCTTCTCGGCGCGCGACGAGGTCGCCGTCATCGTCAGCATCCTTGAGGCCTTCCCCGAGGGCTGGAACCAGGCGCGCCAGGCAGCCCAGGTCTTTCGGCAGTTCATGGGGCTCATCTCTGGCGTGCCTAACAACGGGTACACGACGCTGCACTTTCCCGGGAACAACAACGTGTACGGTGGCGGCGGCGGCGGTGGCCAGTTCTCGTCTAGGGAATCGTACCAGGCTATGGTGCGGCCGCTCATCACACGGCTAGTCGCGCTGATGCAGGAGGTCCTCGGCCGGTCGACGTGTTATGCCTTTCATGAGTTCTCAGACGACTGTGGAGGGCAGCCTTCGGCGCCGGCGGGGTTTAGGGGCCAGACTGCGTTTTCGCCCACGGGGCCTACGCGGCATTCGGCGGCGGTGGGGAACGATGAGTCGGCCATGGACTATGGCTGGGGATCGTTGGAATTGGGGTTTCTCTGATATGATCCTGTCTTGTAGCCAGCTGCTTGTTTCACTTTCTTTAGTACTTAGATACCTTAATGTGTTGTAGCGATGAATCAAGTTCGACTTTACTGATATTGCCGCACCTCTGATTCTCTAGACATGTTTAAATCATCCTGGCGTGGTGATTACATCAAATATCACGATTCTTCAGTGTCAGGAATAGCCTAATATGGAAATGGAAAGCCTTGGCTTCCAATTTTGACGTTGCCAGGGCCTGTCTGGATCACTGATCATGATAAGAACCGGTTCACATTCCGTCCGCACCCTGAATCGTGGCATATCCACCGGAGGGCAAGGGGCCTTGCTCGAGTAGGAGGAAAGAGCAGCCTGCCGTAAACTCCCCGGAACTTGGAAGCGTCAAACGGGCTGGGGTCACGGGTTACTGTGAACTTGTACCCATAAAGTCCGAGTAGCGAGGGTCAAGGAGCAAGGGGAAACCCAAGAACGCTCTAAGCGAGGGGTACCAGGGAGTCGCGTCAATCACATCATTCTCTATGAAGTACTCCGTACCCTATCCGTACTTTCTGTGAAAAGACCGGCCCCTTTAGGTCTCCTTCGCACATCTACAGGTTTCAACTCTCATCCAATTAGCCTATACCACTATCTTTGACCTAATTACTAGACCGCATGCCCTTCTCTGCAATCATGCCCATGAAGTTGAGCTCCGCCTCCATGGCCTTGGTGCCTGCGCCCATAGGGCTAGCCGTCGGGTACAGAGCCTCCAATTGCACCTCCTTGGTATGGATCTTGGGCTCCTCCTTGCTGCCGACCATCATGATCTCGAGCACGTTGCCGTTGCCGTATTGCTCCTCCGTCAACAGCGAGAACATTGCATTGGCGAGGCCCTCGGACGATAGGGCGAGGTCTTCAGCTGGCAGGCGATCGCGGCAGAATTCTTGGTCAAAGAGGGGTGTCTGCGATTAGGTTAGTTTCTGTTGTTATTTGAACAGGCTTGAAGGTGCTCATCGTACCCTCGTAGGTCCAGGACAGATGACAGAGTTCCTAATCCCCACCAACTTCTTCAACCCTTGAAGAGACTTGACGACGCTCAAAACAGCCGCCTTGCTCGCAAAGTAGAATGGCGTCTGGATGGAGTGGATGTAGCCGCCCATACTCGACACCCAGAGCAGATTTCCCTTCACCTCGCGGTTCTGCAGCCAGTAGTCGATAGCGATCTGCGCCAGGCGGATCGGGCCGATGGTATTGACGTTGAAGATGTGGTACGACCCTACTTCGGCGTCCGCATCGTCCTTTGATTCGGGTGAGACGCCGGGTGGGTTCCAGAACGACGACCAAGGCGGCTCGAAGATGCCGGCGTTGTTGACGACGATGTCGACGCGGCCGAATGTCGCGAGGGTTGCGGCCCAAAGGGATTTGAGCTGGGCCCAGTTTGTCGTGTCTGTTTTATGGAAGGCGGCCGAGGATTTGTCTGGGGAAGGGGAAGGGTGAGCGAAGTTTGCGATGGTGGTCTCGGCTTCGGGGCGTAGGGCGAGGTCAGCGATCATTACGGAGCAGCCTTCGTTGAGGAGGCGCTGGGTGATGGCTAGACCGATGCCTACATAGAAGATTAAGGATTCAGTGTAAGCCGGTGATCAATATGTATCGTCACTGCAAGTTAGGTAGAAATGGAGACTGCGTACCAGATCCGGCTCCTGTAACCAGGGCTACCTTTCCCTTGACCTCGTATTCGATAGTCATGTTAAGTCGTCAAAGTGCGAGCTTGATGGTATAGATTCTAGGTGCGGATCTGACTCGCTTCCGTCTGTTGATGAATCGGAAATGCACAACGATATGTTCTTCGGATACTGGTTTGGTTCAAAGAACAGGAAGAAAGGGGGATCAATTACATGACTTGCTAGGTAACATCAAAACCGTTGCCGGATGGTCTTATAGGATGACGATCTTCGTCCCAGGGCTCTTTTCCAGATATGCTAAGGAAGGTCAAGACGGACGGACTTTTCAGAAGGATGGGCGGTCAACGACCAGGGCCCCGACTCTAGTTATCTTCAAGACGACAACTTGATTTGACCCCGCGTTCCTGCATCCATCCTAGGTCCAGCTGTCAAACGGGGGTAATGCGGGCGGGTGTTGGGTCAGGCCATCCGCGGGCCGGGTATCCATCCTGTTGGACTTCGAATGCCTACTCCACCCCGTATAACTTGTGCGTGGTAGATAGTCCGAGGTCGAAAACGATCACTATCATGGAACTTGGACAAATACCCACATCCCACAACCTTTTAGTTAACAGTACCATTAACCTTCAGCACCTTGACTGAAAGCCAGAAAGCATTACATCCTAGAACGAAGAAGAGTCCTATCTACAGGCGGAGTCCCCCTCGCTCCCTGTTGCCAAGATGCTGTTGGTGTTGGGTTTCTATATGGAACCTTTCGCTTTGACGTCTCCCATCCCCATGCCACATGTCCAGGGCCCCTGTCAGCCACCGCATCCTATCACACAACCAACATCCCACACTGATGCATATGCCGTGGGTTCCAATCCGTCTAATTCTCCAACAGACTTTCTGGAATTGATCCTAGCTTGAGGTATTCGTACCTGACGCGCTTCGCAGCTGCAGCTGAATCAGGCAAACGCACATGGGAACACGCTCCTTCAAGTTCAGACCAGGGATGTCAGGGGCCAAGTTACGTTGAAGAATTTTGGTCCCAGCCATGAGTGACCACGGTCATGACCTCTGCTCCAGTGGCAAGGTTTGCTGTCTGTACATTTTCTTCGGATTTCTCTTTACTACTCGTAATAGTCTTTACAGAATGTAGAAACTGATTCAACTCCTTCTTGAGACTCGTCCTAGAAAATCGCCTTTGATCCCGTCTCAACTACCACGGAATCGATGGAGCGGAAGCGTTATGTCGAGTGCGGCCGGAGACGATACGTGGCAGGCCATCGAGCCTCAGGGGCTCGCGCTGGGTCTTTTGGTCACTACCGTCACGTTGGCGATTCTGACAACTATCTTTATGGCCATGCGCATGTTCATTCGATTCAAGACGAACAAAATCGGTTCCGACGACTGGGCCATGTTGACAGGATTCGTAGGTAGACCATACTCCTGTTGGCGGAAAGAGGCTAACTGCGAGACTGTCTGTTTAGTCTGTTAACTTGGGCCAATCCGCTGTTGCGATTTACGGGTCTTTTACCGGTATTGCGAGAGACAATGAATCGGGCGACGAGCATTGAGGGCTACAAGGTACGCCATGACGGCATTGCGCAGACCTACTTGATACATACTAGTTGATCTAGAGTTGCTAACACTATTTCGTCAACGGCAACTAGACACTATTGATCTGGCAAGCTTTCTACGCCGGCAGCTTGTGCTTCATCAAATCCAGCATCTGCATCACCCTCATGCGCATTACGAACCAAAAGGTCTACCTGTGGATCCTGCGAGGATTGATAGGTCTCTCCTTCTTGATGAGCGGTTCTGGCCTAATCGTCATCCTGAACCAGTGTCACCCCCTCGATAAGTATTGGGATAAGAGGATACCGGGCACCTGCTGGCCACCCATCGTAGCCACCGCGCTCTCGTACGGGGCCTCCGTCGCCAACGTCATCACCGACTTCAACGTTGCGGCAATTCCGTTCTTTCTGCTTCGGCATGTGCAGATGCGTTCCCGACTCAAGTTCTACGTGCGGCTTATTCTGGGATTGGGTCTCTTGTAAGCTTGATGCCTCGAGAACTCTGTCATATGGAAGAGTTTGCACACAAAAGGCTTTTGACTAATTACCTTGGTGACAGGGCTGGTATCGCGAGCATCATCCGAGTCCCTTTCACGAATGCGTACATGAAAGCCAGTGACGTTCTGTGTAAGGATCATCGCCTACCCCGAGTAGTCTCCTACCACTTGTTCGAGGCAGCACACTGACAGTCCGGCTATCTTACTGTAGACCACGCAGGTAACATAGTCCTCTGGACTATTGTCGAATGCGGCCTAGGCATCATTGCTGGCTCGCTACCGATGCTACGAGCCTTCTTCAAGCGGCTGGCCAAGGATACCAGCACACAGGAACCCTACAATCGTTCGGGTGATACCAATCTCGTAACCTTTGGGCAGGGCAAGGTACGACGGGGGCCGATATACGAAACGGACTTGGGGGTGACGGTGATCGGGGGAGCCGGGGATAATGAAAGCAACAACAGCAACCATGACGATGACGCGGAAAGCACACGGCGAATCATTAAGGTTACGAGAGAAGTACGGCATAGCGTTACTGAAGAGAGGGAGACGATACCGGCGAAGAGGTGACGCGTGTACGATTCAGGTTTGATGAGAGCGTCTATGGATGAAGAGGTACTTGTACCCAAGTAACATGAAACCTCTTGTCTACAAGATGGAGGGTGTTCCAGACAGGAATGCAACGCCATCCGTCAAGGGGTGCTGTCATTTCGCATGGTATCCGCTTGAGACTCTAATAAGCGTACCACAGCCATTGTACGCAAACTTATTTCGACCACTTGAGACTTCATTGAGACTAGATATTCAAGTGCGTTCTAATCTCTCCCAAAACCACTTCTGGCTTCTCAGCATGGACACCATGATTGGCACCCTCAACTAACAGAAGTTTGGCGCCGGGGATTCTTTCAGCAATCAACTTGGAGTTTTCTGCAACGTCATAAGGTTAACGTCGGCCAAGCTCGTCGACAATCTTAGTAAATTTCTCACCTGGAGGACAAATCCAATCCTTGTCACCAACTACTACCAATGTCTTGGCTGTGATCTTGGATAGTTGCTCGGTGTAGTCGAAGTACTTTTCTTTCTCAGAATAGAGATCATCTAAGTCGATTGTAAACAAGTCTGCACATTGAACAGATCTACCTTGAGCGGAGATGTCCACTTACTGTGAGATTCGGCGACGTAAACTCCATCAAGGTTGCTCTTCAACGCTGCATCGGGGTCGAACGTTTGTCTATACAGCGGCATCATGGCAAAGTAAATCAACTGAAACTCGCGATCGCTTTCATATGCACCAAAGACCTTGTTCTTCAACATGTCGACGGAGAAGCTGGGAACTTTGTGTATCCTCGCCTCTAAAGTCTTGATGGCGCCGGCCTCATCTGGTAGTGATGTTGTCAATACTCAGCCCTTGCGCAGCTAGTGCAGATTTCACAACTTACGATGATGAGACGATGCAGTTCCTCTGAGAATCAGATGTGATACCTTCGGGGCGTATTTGATGGCATAGTGTTGCGCCAGGAACCCGCCGAAACTACCGCCGCAGATGATGACCTGATCATCACCGACGAAATGCTGCCTTACCCCTTCGATATCGTCGACAATTTGCTCAAAGGTGTAAGGCTTAGTCAAAGAACTTTGACCATGCCCGCGGTAATCGAAGGAAAGAACTCGAATCTTATCGCTTAATTGGCTATAGATTTTGAAGTCGGACTTGTGATCACCTAGAAAGGGTAAATTCTTGATCAGCAAGCCTGTCGCAATATGCGGGAATTCCAGTAATCATACCCATTCCACGACCGCCATGTAGCGTGATCATGAGCGGTGCACTTTCTGGCCCAGTTATGCGGTATGCCAGACGGGCGCCATTGATGTTTACAAAGTCAACCATCTTGTCTTGAGCCCCAAGTCAGTGGTTTGAAAGTAGCGCTTATGTTTTCAGAATGGACTCCTCGGAAATCCCCAAAGCTCACGTACAAGGTAGATACTTTGCCTATAGACTTGGCAGCTACTATCACGTCAGACCATCCCAGTATTGAGGACTTCTTTCGAGATGCCGTTCTGTTATCCAAAGGGCGTATCGCATAAGAAGCCGAAGAAGCGGGGAGAGATCCAGCGAGACGAAGCGAGGGGATTAGCCCGGGATTTGCTTGGCGTGCGAGTAAGGAGTCACTAAGGACCGGAACTAGCCCGACAGAAACTGCCAAAAGGGGTAAAGACACAAGGCCCCTCCCCGATACCACATCGGAAGGAAAAAAGATTTTGTTCTCAATGGCGCTTTGTTCGCCGCCAATGGTGAGTCGGTGACGGGACATTTTGCTCAATTCGGCTTGAAGAAACGACTGCCGATGTCGTGCTCGACCCAGTAAAAATCGTTATCAAGTCTCTTTTTCGGACCATCGACCGCTTCTCTAGTGTCTCTAGGGAGGGATATGCTATGATAAAGAATCTTCCGCCCAGGTTCAATCTTCACTTTGCCCAGGGAAGCCCCATCAGCTTGGCTCAATTCACCGACCGTAGGCCGTGTTGAAGCTGTCTTGTCATCGTGCAACGGAACCAGAGTCAGTAACAGCTGCATGTCGAACCAGGATGGCACTGCACCTCGATACCAACGCGGCCAATGCCATCAAGACCGTCAACCCAACCAGCCGGAGCCAAGACAAGGACGGCATTACCGCGACCTCCGCCGTTGCCGAGGCCGATACCAAGCCGGAACCCCCACAGCAACCTGAAGCTGCCGGATGGTTCCACTGGCACGAACCCGGCACGTCGCCGGAAGAGAAGAAGTTGATCTTCAAACTGGATTGGTTTCTACTCTCATTCTCTTGTCTCATGTTCTTCATTAAACAGGTGAGCATGTACTTCCCGGCCCCAAGAGTCGCATCTTGTTGGTTTGCTAACTCCATTACCCCTCTGTAGCTTGACCAGAACAACATTTCTAATGCCTACGTATCCGGCATGTCGGAAGAGCTCGGCTTCGGTCCTGGCAACGAACTCTCCTGGATGAATACCTACTTCAACATTGGAACAATCATTGGCGGTTCTTTTGCCAATCTAATCATCACTGTCGTCCGCCCGCGCTTCTGGCTGACCGGGTGCCTCTGCACTTGGTCTCTCTTCGTGCTCTTCCTGTTCAAGTGCCAGAACGCTACTCAATTCTACGTCCTGCGTTTCTTCATCGGCTTGTTCGAGTCTGCAGCCTGGCCCGGCGTTATGTACGTCCTTGGATCGTGGTACCGCAAAAGCGAGCTGTCTCGCCGTTCCGGCCTCTTTGTCATGAGCGGTGTCTTGGGGCAGATGTTCTCTGGCTATCTTCAATCTGCCTTGTATTCGGGCATGGGCGGGAAGGGTGGCTTGTCGGCGTGGCGATGGCTTTTTGTCTTTGACTTCATTCTTGCCATCCCCGTAGTGATCTATGGTGTTGTAAGTTCCCCTCTTCAGTATCGTCGTATCTTTCTAACGCTGTTACCAGATTTGCTTCCCCGACACCCCTCATACTACAAAGGCTTTCTACCTAAGCGACTGGGAAAAGCAGCGCGCCCGCGAGCGCATTGAAGAAGAGGGTCGCAAGCCCGTCGGCAAGATGAATTGGTCCGTCATCAGCCGCGTCTTCGGCTCGTGGCAGGTCTACGCCTTCACTGCAGCCTACTCTTTCTGGACTTTGACCTGCGGCTCCTACATCATTCAATACTTCACTCTGTACCTTAAGTCTACAAAGATGTACACTGTGCCGGAGATCAACAACATTCCCACCTGCGTCGGCGCCATCAACTTCGTCTTCATGGTGTCCACAGGATACGTCTCCGACAAAATTGGCCGGCGTGGGCCTGTCTGCTTCGCCGTCGGGTGTCTCCTCACGTTCGTGTATGCCGTCCTCGCAGCGTGGAGCGTGCCGCCAATGCTGCGCATGGCCGTGTTCATCCTTGCAGGATGCTATGGTTGTTACACGCCTTTACTGGCTGGGTGGGCGAACGAGGCCTGCGGCGGCGATCAGCAGAAGCGTGCCTTTGTGCTTGGCTTCATGGTTTCGGTCGGCCAGGCCGTTGTGATTCCCTTCCAACAGCTGCAGATGCCGAGCGGACAAGCCCCTGCATTTGCCAAGACCCATGGGTGGGAGAGCGCGCTTGCGTTTGTGGTGGCATTGACTGTCTGGACTGGCGTTGGTCTGCCGTTGCTTCAGAAATGGAGGGAATCTCGGGTGAAGTTCAGCACTCACGAGAGTGATAGCGATGAGGCTTGATTGGTTTTCAAAGTGAGGGACCAAGAACGGGAGAATGTATGATCGAGAACAGTTTCTGAGAGCGCTTATGTCAGTTTGTTTCAGGGTAATGGGGTACTAGTGAAGTGTCCAAACGTAGGGGAGATGAGACACAATTATGCTATGATAGACATCATGTGAGTAATCAGTTTCGAAGTTTGAAGTAAGAACCAGTGCCATTGACTAGGTAGATGTATTCAATACAAGAAGGTTAAAGCCATACTGTGAAGAAAGGAAAGTTCCAGACATCCCATTGTGTATCCATGCCACAAATCCAGGGCTCCCTTCAAGCATCTACAAATAGATAACCCTCTGATCAAGACGCATATGCCCTACTGAAGTTGCACTTAGGCGAGGGCAGTCTTGAGGAAAGTGCCTGCGGTGTTGACATCAGAGCCATATCCAAGGTGACCAGAGGCGCTAGCGCTCGAGCAGCTTCCGGAGCTGGCGCAGCCACCAGCAGAGCACACGCCGTCGCCAGCCGCGCAGAAGCTCCTGAACTTGGCGGTAGCGACACCAGTGACGGCCTGGCCCTTGAACGGGTCACCAAAGGTGACGGACGCGGCGACGGCCTTGCCCGAGAGCTTCTTAGCGGCGTTGTGGACGACCATGCCGCCCTGGCTGTAGCCGGTGAGGACGATCTTGGTCTGGGGGCACTTGCTCAGCCACGAGTTGGCCTGGTTGGCCATGGCGACGCTGCCAGGGCCGGAGCCGGTGCTCTCAGACATGATGCCGCCCATGTCAGCCGGGTAGGTGGTGCCCTCGAAGACGGAGTCCGGGACGTTGGAGGCAACGGCTTTTTGAAGACCGGGGCCGACGACGCTGCCGAGGGTGCCCATCTCGGTGGTGCCGCGAGCGAAGAGGACGGTGAAAGCCTTGCAGCCTGAGGTCTGGCGGATCTCAACGGGGCTGGCAGCCGCGAGGGCGGCGAAGATGACGGTGGTGATGGCGGCGGTCTTCATATTTGGTGAGGTTGTTTGGTTGTTTGTGGTGGTTTTGGAAGTGAATGTCTTGTCAAAAGAGCGATGTCTGGTATGGCGATAGTCGAAAGAGTGTGCGCTGCACTTGATTGGCAGATGTGTGACTGAAAAAAGCGAAAGTAAGAAGTCGTGAAGGGACTGGACGGTTCTTGATGTTCCTGATGATCCTTCAACAACCTATTTCATGCTCAGTGATATCTCATGCTCTTATACCTCAAGGCCTGTCAGCCCAACTCCCGAAGCTCAGAGTCTTCACATATTGATACGAGGATCAGGGATAGCCTCATAGGAACCACGATGTCATCCCAAGTTTGAGGCGATGGAGCCTAGTTCGTCCAAAAACGATGTTTCTTGCGAATCCCCCGTTTCATACTGATTGGTGGCTTCGTCCGTAGACACCAATGTCTCAACCTGTCGTTCGCAATCAAAAAAATCTGGAAGCATCTGTGCGGATTGACACGGCACTCCCGTCGAGGATCAATGCGGCTTGACACTGGTCTCTCTGCGGCAATACCACCGGGCGGAAGACCGTGCATAATGTTCTGTTCCTGTTGGAATGCAGGCATCCTGACAAGCCTGAACTGCCTTGGAGCGCTTGGACTCAGCCATCACACCTGTCAGACCCAGTTGATTGGTTCTTAGTTGGTCTGTCTGGTCGCACCATTTCACGGGGTTCAGGAGATATTTACCATTTCTCAATATGCAAGTCGTTTCTTCTCCAACACCCATGAGCTCACAAACGGGCGATGTGGGCACAGCTACCACACCGTTGTCTTGGCCATGAAGACAAAACAGGGAGGTTTCCCTTCTTCATACCCCACAGTCAAGTTGGTTGCTCCGAACTAACCGACTATTGATAAAAAAAATACTAGAGATTCTAGAAAGGGAACCATTCATTGGATTGTTCTGGACCGAGGCTCTGAAGCTTCAGTGCGCCGCTCGGTCGGTAAGGAGGATGCCGGGAAAGATCCTCCCTGAAGGAAGATCACGGATTAAGTGGGCGCCAATCGCATCTCATCCTCTTCAACATCAGGCTCACTCCGAAACAAGGATATCCATGTTTGTTGTACTCAATGAGTCTTTCTCAACTTGATTTACATATCACATAAGTCAAACCCCCACTTCCTGGCACCCCCCTGTTTCTGGCACCCACAAAAACGCGAAAATCCACCACAACCCAATGCCCACCCCCAACCTCCTTTTATCACAACATTTTCAATTCGCGTCCAAATGGGCTCATCTTTTGCACATACCTTCTTCTATATCTAATGCCTCAATATACCGAAGATCAGCTTCGTCAGGCTCTCGAGGACATCTCAAACGGCAAGAGTCAAAAGAGAGCCTCATTGGAGTATGGGATACCACGATCAACCCTCCAACTACGTCTCCAAGGTGGTCAGACTAGGAAAGTGGCTTTTGCTGACTGGCGGAGGCTGTCTCCTGACCATGAGAGTAAGCTGGCACAATGGGTTCGCATTCAGGCTTCGCTGGGCCTCGCACCAACGCACCAACAGGTGAAGGAATTCGCAGAGCGAGTTCTGGCTGCTGCTGGGGATACCAAACCACTGGGAAAAGGCTGGATCTATGCCTTTGTGAGAAGGAACCCTATCATTAAGGTTCAGAGAAGTCGTTCTATCGATTCTAGACGCGTTAATGGGGCATCTACTGAGGTCATTAGGAACTGGTTTAAGTTCCTCGCTATCCCTGAGATCAAGGACATCAAACCAGCCAACAGATATAATATGGATGAGACTGGCATCCTCGAGGGTCAGGGAGCTAATGGGTTAGTGCTGGGTATGGCTGAGACGACGTCTGTTCGCAAGAAACAACCTGGGTCGAGGGCATGGGTCTCTATCATTGAGTGTATCTCAGCCTTGGGTAGGGCACTTCGTCCTCTTATCATTTTCAAGGGGAAGACAGTCCAACAGCAGTGGTTTCCATTACATCTCGTTCCATACGATGGGTGGGAGTTCACAGCAACAGATAATGGCTGGACTACAGACTTAACTGCCATTGAATGGTTAGAGAAGGTGTTCATCCCACAGACTATGCCTGAGGCTGAGGGGGAGGCTCGACTGCTGATTGTGGATGGGCATGGGAGTCATACGACGACAGACTTCATGTGGAATTGCTATATTAACAATATCCATTTACTGTTCTTACCACCACACTCCTCTCATGTCCTCCAGCCTCTTGACCAGTCTGTCTTCAGCCCTGTTAAGTCAGCCTATCGGAAGGAGCTCGGTTACTTGTCTCAATGGAACGACTCTACCATTATAGGTAAAAGGAACTTCCTGGACTGTTACCAGAAGGCTCGACTTGCTGGTCTATCAGTCTCGAACATCAGAAGTGGTTGGAAGTGGACTGGTCTACACCCTGTGGCGATGGTTAAGCCCCTGATGAACCCTATGGTACTACCTGAGCCTCCTGCTAAGCCCACCACACCCAAACCAACTAGTCAGGGCAGAAAGCGATGCCATAATGGTCAACAAACTACCCCTGTTGAGCCATGGGATTCTGCCTCCTCTGCAGTGGTCTGGTCGACACCCAGGAAGCTGGCAGAGCTCAGCGGTCAACTGCACTTATACACCCAACTCGACAATGATACCAGCACTCAACGGCTGCTATTCAGGAAGGTGAAAAAAGGCTTCACAGAGCAGGCCTGGCAACTGGCAGCTGCCCAGCAGCAACTAGCTCACCTGAGGGCTCAAGTTACCAACGCTGCAGTGAGGAAGAGGAAGACTGTTCAAATCGATCCCAACACGAAGTTCGCGAACATCAGGGATATCCATCGGGCTCAAATCGAAGCGGGTGAAAAGGAGGTTATCACGGCTGAATCCAGCGACTCTGAATGCCCTAGTGAGGCTGGCAGCTGTATTGTAGTGGGTGTGGTTGAGGATCAATAGTTAATAGTAATGAGGAGGTCGGGTTGTGATCCCATCGTTTTTGTGGTGCCAGAAACAGGGGGGTGCCAGGAAGTGGGGGGTTTGACTTATCTCAATCATGTGCATTTGATGTGGAGGGCTCGTGTATAGGCACAAGCAAGTTTGATGATGTGGCGGCCGTCATTGCAATAAATTGAAGTGGGAAAATAATATGAACCATAATGGTTGTCCTATTATATGTGGAAGGACTAGAACGTTCATATTGGCACCGGTCGGCATAAAGAAGATGTCGATCCAAGGCCCGGCAAATAAGCATACAACCCACCGTAACTTATCAATCCTCTTAATTGCAGGGGTAAGTCAAGCTATTCAGGTTCATCTCCGTCGATGGACACTAGAAGAAACACGCTGGTGGCCTGGAACTATTCTAAGCCATCTTCGTGCTTGGCTCTATGATCGTGAGCTCTGGAAAGATTATTCGAGCCGATCATGAATCAATCAATCAGAAGTAGCTTGATCTTCTTCGCCACTGTCTCTGCAACCCCTCACCCAGTATTTGCCCGCACCGCCTCACGTCAAAGTAAGCCTTCCTTGTAAAGGTTCGGCAGGTTTAAGAGAACAACTCAGCCTCTACAGACCCTGGCCAGTATAGCAAAAGCCTCACGTCATAGGCATACTCGTGATACACAAAGCAGACTCGAAAATCGCCAGCAGAAAGGCATCACCAACGCAATGAGTGCTTCTCGCCCTGTCTGACTCAGAACAATATCGCCCTGCCTCACTCTGAAGGTACCTAGTCTAGGCAAGGCAAGTCTTACGAGTGTGTCAAACATCGATACGACCTTCCCCTTCATCGAAGAGTAGCCCTTGGGTTCATCAAGGTGACGAATGCCGTCCATTCCTCGACCAACCTCGGCTCGTTGCAGTTGAAAGACACGTACCAGTGGATCATCACAGTTCTAACTGTCACAGAGGTCGATCTAGACATTCTTCATGAAGGGAAGAAGCCTGCAAGTCGCCTGCACCAGGTTAACGTATGCCCAAATTAGAAGGCCGGTCAGATGGGAGGGTAGGAATCTGCCCAACGCTATCACAGTCATTGAAGGATCAAGCTGCAGCAGAATGTCTTGGTCACATGCTCCCATGAAATCACATAAACTGGCCGTCGTTCTTCATCTAAGCACCGCCAAGCTCTACATGAAGCGTGGCGTGGGCAGCATTTTAACGAGTATTTTGCTTTTATTTGCGCCCCATAGCGTTATTCCCATATGCCGAGAGCCGAAGAGAATGAAAGGGGGTTCATTCGTGGTCTGCAGAGCCGTTTGGACCACCTGGAAAAAGCAATAATAACACACCTTGTGGGACGAGGCCAGGTTCTGGATGCCCACAGTCCGAATCCAATCCCAGAGCGTTCGCCCCCAACGCTCTCCCACCATCTTTTTACAGACTTGGCGCCCGAAATTGTCCCCCTGTAAAGGCTCAGAGAGACACGCACCCATTCGCGCTGTTTTCAACAAAGATGCCACCCAGTATCTGTCCCTCGTTGAGATTGCTCTCCTGGAACCCATCGTTCACAACTGTCTTGGTCTCGGTGGGCTTTTTGAGCAAACCGATCTGCAACGCGCCGCCGCCTGCGTTGTTATTCGGGAGGACCTCGGTGACAGACTTAAGTGGATCGTTTCCTTCCGAGAAGAAAACTTGGATTGTGCTAACGAATCATTAGACACCGGAAAAGACCTACATTCTTCCGAGCCAACGAGGACGGAACGATTAGACTTACTTCTTGGAGACATCGAGGGTGACCGCCCAGTTTTGCCAGATATCGAACTTGAGGGCAGTCGAAAAGATAACGCTGTTGTTCCTGTCCAGCATCTTCCAGTCGGTTGAAGACGGCCCGCCTGCTGTGCTGTTCTGGCCGAGAGGGGTGTGCCAATCTGCAGAGCAAACTGCGCACCACCCGAGTCGTTCGTCTCGTGGAAGGACGTTAGGTACTCGTGCGTCAGGTTCAGCTTTCGGGTCGAGTCTTGCATGAAGCTCCAGTGCGTCGTCATGACACCCTGGTTCGAGGCATCGGAGCCGTTGCCAAGCAGCAGTCCGGCGCGGCGGAAGCCTAGCAGCGGGCTGTTACCGCTTGGATTGAAGATGGACTGGTCATTGATGGTGACTTCGAGGGGCTTGAAGTCGCCAGTCGCATTGGAGACGTCGAATCGCGAGGGCTTCGGCACTGTTGGGAACAAGAGTATCTCAGACCATGGCGCGGGGCCCTTGGTGAATCCCGGATTGAATGGGCTGGCATTGGTGTCAAAAACCTCCAAGGTGAAGTTCTGCGGGATTCGCCCGTCTAGTACCACCGGGCACTTGACGGGGGAATCGAGAGATGCGCGGGGCACGTTCAGCGCAAGCGCCTGCAAGGAACGGACAGCTGTGTGTGGCAGAATCATATTGGCAAGAGTTTGAATAGAAAAGAATGACTGAAGTTCGTATTGTAAAGAAGCGAATGACGACCGAACCTACGAGAACCTATCCTAGACTTTGGTCATCTTTGGTGATGTTGATGAGAAGTTATACTGTTGGTATCCCTATCACAGGGAAGTTGGTTCGAACCGTAGGGTCCTGGGGGTGACGAAGTATCAATATCTCTGTATTGATTGATTCTGCGTAAGGAGTAGAAGGGAGATTCCAACCGTAGGTTGGTTGGGTAGTCGCGGTCTAATTGTACCACCTCGAGGTGGCCCATGCTCTTGCCCTTATCCGCGGTTGAATTGGACTTCCAATCCGACATATACGGAACATCAGCTCTTGGTAGTCGGCTTCGCCCCACTCATCTGATACTCAACTTTATTGTGGTAAATAAAGGGGAGAAAGCTTATTTGACATCGTCTGAAGATTATTCTCAGGATGCCGCACATGGACTGGAGCCGCAACCGTTGAACTTTGCTTGTTTCCATGTCCTTGGAAAAGGTTGATAGAGGGCCGTTAGGCTGTTCCCAAAGACTCCGGCGGACTCTTCTTTGTCGTTGCGCCTATTGGGCATCGTTGCGATGTCACCTTGCAATAGCCCCGTTTCTTTGTGTCAAACCTCTCTCTTTCACACGCGCGGGCCATGTAGGCGTTGGGGATTGCAACGGACCCTTACAATATTCGGATATTGTAAGATTTTCTCCTAGCTACTCATGTTAAACCCATTTGACCCAACGGTCTGGTCCAATCAGCGCCATGAGACAATTTCAAGATATAATTTCTTCGCTTGCTGCGTGACTACGGCGGCCGCCCCCAATGCATATACCACAAAAACCCCTGCCACTGATCATCGAGAAATAGCGCACCCCAGCCAGGGCCCTCACCAAGCGTAGGCTTTTCACTTGACGCGACGCTTTCTGGAGCTAAAGCAGGTGAGCAGAGAGTCCGAAGTGGCCGCTTTTCCGCGTCCCTAGCTTGAAAATGGACCTGGCTACACCGCATACAGTCCGAATCCCGGTCTGAGTTCCATTCGAAGAGCGACACGTCGCACGACATCACAGTTGCCTGGTATCTGGGAGGGGTTGAAGAACATCTGCAAGTGACTGGGTCTGAGGTGAATTCGCTATTAATATCGACTCCGCAAGCCTCGCCAAGCCACGTGTGTGCAACTCCTTCTCGACGACATCGCATTTGTGTGCAATAAGAACATGGCTGAATTTCTCATCGAAGATAAGGACTTGGCCGGTCTCAAGGGCAAGGTGGCCATCGTGACTGGTGGATCATCAGGCATCGGCCTCGCTGCGGTCAACACACTGCTCGCCCAGGGTGCCTTCGTCGTCAACGCAGATATTGAACCGCCAGTGGAGCAGCCCGAAAGCTCTTACACGTTTGTGAAGACCGATGTCACTGTCTGGGCTGAACAGATCGCACTCTTCAAGAAGGCAAAGGAGGTTTACGGACGTATCGACCATGTCTTTGCCAACGCTGGTCTCGGTCCTCGCGCCAACTACTTGTCTACGGAAGTAGATGAGAAAGGCGATCTGAAGGAGCCTACACATCAGCTTCTGGATGTCAGTCTCACAGGTGTAATGCACACGGCTACGATCGCGATATACTACATGCGGCAACAAGCCGAAGGTGGCAGCATCGTCATCAATGGTTCCACAACCGGTCTTCAACGGCTTCGTGCCGTGGACTACTGTGAGTTTGGAGCCTTTGTCTGACTAGTCTTGTTAGCTAACAATGTAATGTAGCCACGGCCAAGCATGCGGTTCTTGGATTCGGACGTGGTCTGATCCCGCTCATCGCATCTGCCAGCCTGCCCATCAGAGTCAACACCTTGGCACCGACATGGGCGGACAGCAGCGTGCTGCCGGACTTGAAAGGTCTTATGGCCAAAATTGGAGTTGAGATCCAGACCGCTGAAGCCGTTGCTCGCGGCGCAGCGTATCTGATGGCTGATACCTCCCGGAACGGAAATGTGATCCACGTGCAGCTTGGAAAGTACAAGGAGATTGACGAGGCTGTCTTACTCCCTGCATTTGAGTCTATCAAGGGTCCTGATTATCCTGGCGAGGACGAGGTTCTGCGCCGCCTCACGGAGCTCATGATGGCCGCATGATAATTATATTACACGCTTGGTTAAGGCTTGGGCAGAGGTTGGCGTTGAAGCTACGCAATTTTAATGAATACATCACGATGAGTTTGAAGGTCATCGGGGCAGCAAACCTACCAGAGAATGCCCCAAAACGTCAAAGAAAGATATGAATAGAAGTTGTTCACGTCTAGCTTTGCTACAACATCGAGAACCCCCCAGAAGCGGAGATAGTCTGCCCAGTAACCCAATTCGCTTGCTCCTCAGCAAGCATTGCAACAACAGACGCCACATCCTCCGGTCTCCCCATCCGATTCTCAAAAGGCGTCATGGCCACAATCATCTTGACATGCTCCCCATGCGACTCAGACGCCCCCGACTCGCGCGCCATATCCGTCTCCGTGACACCAGGCTCAACCGCATTGACGGTGTGTCCCGCCGGGCCCAGCTCCGCGGCCAGGGCACGCGTGAGGCCCTCTAGCCCGGCCTTGGAGGCTAGGTAGAGACTCGCGGAGGCGTAGCCGCCCCGTGCCGCGACGGAAGTGATGTTGATGATGCGTCCTGGGCGGCGGAGGTGCGGTATGACGGCTTGGGACATGAAGAAGGGCCCTTTGAGGTTGACGTCGATGCTTTCTTGGAAGTCGGCTGGCGTGACGGCTGATACTGGTAGTTTGGACGTTATACCAGCGTTATTTACGAGGATGTCGATGTGTTCTCCGAATACTTTGACGGCGGCCTCGACGATCCGCGTGGGAGAGTCGGGCGAGGAGATGTCGGCTTGAACTGCGATGGCATCCGCTCCGTTGCCCGAGGCCTTGATACTGTTTACTATATCTTGCGCAAGACTCTCGCTCTTTTCCGCGACGTAAGTGATGACAACCTAGGGATTGCTGTCAGTGATCCTTGTTCATCAATGTTTGGGATAGTTGACTCTGGACTGACGTTAGCGCCTCTCTTGGCTAGCTCAAGAGCAATAGCAGCACCGATTCCTCTAGAACCGCCAGTCACAATAGCGACTTTACCGTCCAGAGACTTAGCTTGCGTAGAGGTCATATTTTGCAGATCTTAACTGAATAGACAGAGTATCAGGACACAAAGCTAGGGCTGCAACGATGTGGAGGGAAACAGTCTGATGAGAAAGCGGGGTCCCGCGAATCAAAGACTTTGTTTAAGCTTTGAATTCTTTCCAATAGTAGTTAGGCATCTAGCAAAATCCGGAGAGAAACAACGGGTCTTGTAACACAGCTCTCGGATGAGATGTTGAGAGTGAAGCTCCTTAATTTGCACGACTTGGGCCTGCTTGTCAACAAACACTAGCTCTGCATTCCAGGCACCCGAGTTGCCGAGAAGGGCGGAATGCGTTATCAGTCGAAGGTAAGGCGGGCAATTACACGAGTCGCTGCTCCTTATAGAGTTGCGATAGTAGTTAGACTAATGAGAAGAAAAATGTCTTTTTTGGCTATGTCATCCTCGTGATAAGATGCCAAGTTCAATTCAGGTTGGCCTATCTTGACTGCGATCTTGGTGCAATGGTTGCCCCAATTCGCAGCTCCCTGCACACATGCTGCGACAAAACAACAACGCCATCAACCATGCTTTAAATCATCTATCCCTCCCTCACGCTCCAAAAAATGACTGAACATTGAATTCCGCCTAGGTAGTCTAGACGCAAGCAACAGTCTGCGTGCAGCTGTCTCCACGCTTGAGGCCTTTGCAGGAGTCCTCGTTGGCCTTGGTAGCCCTGGTGTCAAAGGTATCCGTCTTGCCCTTCTGGCAGACGCCCGTGTTGCCGGAGCAGAAGAGGTTGATGCCCTGCTGGCAGACGGACAGGTAGTTTGCGGTCTCGTAGGTGGCCTGGGCGGAGGCGCCAGCGACCATGATGCTGGCGAGGACGGCGAAGGTAGGGAATTGCATTTTGGCTGTTGCTGTGGTGGTGGTGATCGAGATTGAAAGAGAGGCAGGTTGTTTCTTGGGAGTGAAGTTGTAGAGAAAGAGACAATTGTTGATGTGAGTGATGTTGAGATGAGGATTAAATACTACGCCATCGAAGGGTTTACTCAAATACTTATATCCCATCGAGTGCCAGATAGCTCCATTTTTACCAAGGCTCAAAATACCCACTATTTACCCATTATTACCCCGCATTCAAAGGGGTACTTAACGATACGTTATTTACCTCTAACTATAGTTAGTTACTCTTTTACTTATTATCGCTAACGTACTTGATAAGCGAGCTGCCCACCCAACCGCGTTCATCCTTCCTCCTCACTTCTAATGCGTATCACGCCACAAATAATCATGTCGTCACAAAGCAAAGAGGCCTAATTGAACTTAGTAGTCGAGGCTATCCAAAAAAACCCTAAACTCAGCATTCGAGCCGCAGTAAGAATCTATTTAGTCCCCCCTAGGACCCTAGGTACCCGATTAAAAGGCATACCTATACGATAAGATACTATACCTAACTCACGCAAATTGACGGAGCTTGAAGAGGAGAAGCTAGTTGAGTATATCCTCGACCTGGATTCCCGATCGTTTCCTCCCCGGATTAGTGGTATAGAAGAAATGGCTAATCGATTGCTCGCCGACCGCGACGTGCCCCTAGTTGGGAAGCGCTGGGCTTCAAACTTCGTTAAACGACAACCATAGCTCCGGACGCGCTTTTTTTGCAAGTACGACTATAAGAGGGCCTAATGCGAAGATCTAGATACGATAAACGCGTAGTTTCGGCTTATAGCGAACACAATCGCGAAATACGGTATTATAAACTCCGATATTGTCAACTTCGACGAGACTGGGTTTATGATGGGCCAGATTGCATCCGGGATGGTCGTCACGAGTGCCGAAAGGCGTTCAAATACAAAAGTGATGCAGCCTGGCAATCGTGAATGGGTTACAGTCATTCAGGCCATCAGTTCGTCAGGCTATAGCGTTCCGCCGTACATCATCGTTGCAGGCCAATATCACCTCTCCACCTAGTATATAGAAACAGATCTCCTACGTAACTAGGTCATCGCAACGCCTGAAAACGGATGGATAACAAATGAAAGAGGCCTAGACTGGCTCTAGCACTTTGATCGGTATATAAAACCGCGTGCAACTAGCAGTTATCGCCTCCTCGTCGTCGATGGGCACGAAAGTCACCACTCTGCGGACTTTGAGATATATTGCAAGGAAAACAATATCGTCACACTCTGCATGCCGGCCCATTCGTCTCATCTACTTCAGCCCTTAGACGTTAGGTATTTTGGGCCACTAAAGACGGCTTATGGTCGATAAATTGAGGATAAGATGCGCCGGGGTAATACCTATATTACGAAGGAGGACTTCTTCTCTGCATTTCACAACGCTTTCACGCAAGCCCTAACGGTAAAAAACATCCAGGGAGGCTTTAGAGGGGCCGGGCTTGTTCCTTTGAGTGCCGAAAGTGTGCTTTCGAAGCTTGATGTCAAGTTACACACTCCAACACCCCCAGGGTCCCTACCAACAACACCCCCCGCGTAGACTTCTCAGACGCTAAATAACCCAACAGAGGCCTCTTCTTAGTCCGAACTCATCAAAAGGAGGATCTCCCGCCATCAAAATAGCTCCCCAACTTCAATTATTAAAGCTGTAGAGCATTTATCAAAGGGAGCGCGGGGATTTATGCACCAGATTGCCTTATTAAGGTCGGAGGTCCAGATCCTCCGGGAGGAAAATAACCTACTTAGCCGACGTAGGAGGGCTAAGAAAACACGTCTCAGATAAGGAGGAAGTCTTACTGTAGCTGAGGTAGAGGACATTCAGTCGCAGAGAGAGGCTACGGCCTAGATTGAGGAGGAAACGCGCCAGAGTAGTGGTCGTCGGCCGAGGATAGAAATAGGTCGAAGCCAGCTAGCTGGTCAAGCTAGCAGAGTCCGTACTAGCCAAAACTCGGCTGGTCATAAGCGAGGTCGCCCAGCAGGAAGCCGGAATATATTAATAATAGCGAGGCTTATGTAGAAGACCAGCCAGCCAAGTTAAAGCCAGGCTCCAACCTCGTCCCAGCGGCGAACAAGGAGCCAGTCCAGTGCTCTTGGTAGAGGGAAGATTATAGGAGATCATGCTAGTAGTTGGCCGTTATAGCCTAGTATTCGGAGGCGACGATCTGAATAGGAGATACTATTTAGTAAAGGGGACGAGTATTAACCTTTACGACCACGTCACTTAAGTACTTCAGGTACTTAGGTAGTCTACAATATATAAAAAACAGCTACACGTTATAAATAGATAAAGTTGGCCTGTTTGAGATTCATAAAACTAGATATAGGTAGGCTATTGTTACGGCTAGCTAGTCGTAGTGAGGTATATTTGCAGAAGTTGAGGCTGCGATACTAATGAATAGTTCTAATCGATGTAATAATCGGATATAATAACCGGAGATTATTATACTTCGTGGTTAGATAGCTTCCTAGAGGCTATGTCTATAAGTCGTAAGGTAGAGAAGGCTTCGGTGATTAATCGTAGTCTTATTAGAGAGGTTCTTAATAAAGATAGCTAAAAGCGATCATAAGATCTAATACGAAGTTCATTACTAAAGAAGCTATAGGAAGTCTGTCCTTAAGCCCGGCTCAAGTCCATCTTATATATAAGTCTTGATCCTATCTAAACATATTCTTTATAGTTAGGACCGATATCACCGTATCGGTTCTTCAGGGGTAGACCGCCCTTATTATGTCGGTCCATGTTCAGAGACCGCTTATCGCCCGTCGGTCCTTTTTATTATTACGTGACTTATCCATAGTTCTTCCGTTCCGTAAGGAGTTTCCCGAGTTCCCGGGGTTTCCTGTATATATTTAGTGAATAGCCGCCGTAGGCCCGCGGGGCGGGCCCCCTGGCTTTGTTATGCATATTGGGTTGTAATAGGCGTGTCTATAAGTCGTAAGGTAAGGTAGGTAAGGCTCTGGAACGGTCCTGCGGGGCAGGCCTTAGTGGTGGTGATGCGTGTTGGGCTATATCAAAAAGGAAATGTTAGTGCAGTTGCATTCACCGCCTTCATGGGGAAGTAATAGGTTTTTCAACCAATTAAAATCGTGGACGCGGACGCCGCTCTATCAATTCCTATAATCAATAAGCAATAGAATATTCTAGTCGGAGGATCTTATGCCTATATAAGGGCATCTTTTTACCTACTTAGACCTTTCGTTAAGCAAGCAACTTCTCATATAGTAATCTAACTATATACTCTCTTTACATTTATCAACCTCTTTTATATAACGTGGTTCATCAGTCAGCCGGCCGGACCAGTCAGCCGGACGTTTTTTTCTAAACACACTTATGTCCAAACCACTTAAACCTTTGACGCGTAAAATCTCAACAACCATAATGCCAATCTACACCCAAGAAGACAAAGTCATTCTTGCGATTGAAGCGATCCGATCGACACGCGCTGCAGGTAGTAACTTGAGCATTTCGCGTGCCGCAAAGACCTACGGTATCCCGAAGAGCACCTTAGCCGATAGAATGAACAACCGACCGCGACGCGAACAAACTCAACCCCAACGACATAAACTCGATCCGATCGAAGAGAAAACACTTCTCCAATACGTTATTGAACAGGATTCCAGAGGATTTCCTTTGCGCCTTGGCGGTGTAGAAAATATGGCCAATCTCCTGCTGCGAGCGCGTAATGCCGAGCCTGTTGGCAAGCGATGGGCCAGGCGGTTTGTGGACTCACAGCCTGCTCTGAAAACCAAGTTTAATCGTCCATACGATTATCAAAGGGCTCTTCAAGAAGACCCAGAGGTTATTTCAAAGTGGTTTGTGTTGTTACGCAACATGATGATCAAGTATAGAATCCAAGAGGAGGACCTATACAATTTCGACGAGACTGGCTTCATGATGGGCATGATCACCGCGTCAATGGTGGTAACACGCGCCGATCGACGCGGCAAAGCAAAGTCTGTCCAGCCGGGTAACCGTGAATGGGCTACAGTCATTGAATGTATCAATTCGGGCGGGTGGTGCATCCCTCCGTTCGTGATCGTCAAGGGCGTATATCACCTTGCCAGTTGGACCACAGAATCAGGTTTTCCGAGCAACTGGGTCATCAAGCCCACTGCTAATGGATGGAAGGATAATCAGACGGGTCTTGACTGGATTAAACACTTCGACAAACATACTAAGAACCGAACTAAGGGCGTCTACCGGATGCTCATTATCGACGGCCATGAGAGCCATTTATCGGCCGAATTCGACGATTACTGCAAGCAGAACAATATTGTAACGGTCAGTATGCCTGCACATTCGTCGCATCTATTACAGCCATTGGATATTGCGCTTTATTCGCCTTTGAAACGCGCATACGGTGATAAAATCAACCTATTTATCAGAGCCTCCATAAACCACATCACCAAGTCGGAGTTCTTTATTGCCTTCTACCAGGCCCACAACAAAGTTTTTAATGAAGAAAACATTAGGGCTGCTTTTCAAGGCGCTGAAGTTTCACCATAGAACCTAGAGCATGTCATTGAAAAGCTTGATGTACGTTTACGGATGCCTATACCTCCTGTGGCCAGCCCTTCAACACCACCACCTTGGCAGTCGCAAACGCCCTCTAACTCACAACAAGCCGTCTCGCAGTCCAACTTTATCAAAAGCCGGATCTCTGCTCATAAAGGAAGCTCACCGACACCAATTATTGCTGCAGTTGAGCAATTGTCAAAGGGTGCGCAGGCAATGGCGCACTCAATCACTATTTTGACTGATCGGCTTCGTACCCTTGAGGATGCGAATGTAGCACTTGCTAAGCGTCGGAGGGCTAAAAGGTCGCGTGTGCAGCTTAGAGGGGCACTTAGTATAGAGGAATCTCAGGGTTTGCTGGAAGAGAAACAAAAAGGTAAACGTCCAGCACCTCGAGAGGATGAGGAGGGGGGTCCATCAAAGAGAGCCCAGCCGACTCGGAGACGCTGTGGTGCGTGTGGTAAGACTGGGCATAATGCACGAACCTGTTACAAAGATGTCGAATTATCAGGAGATTCTGATAGCGATAACCAATAATTGATTTAATGCGTTGTGGTTGAGAAATACTAGATGTTGTTGTGGACGTGGGAAAGAACGTCCGGCTGACTGATGAACCACGTTACGCTTAACTACCCCTATATTAATATATTCTTGCTTCTGTATAAATATTCACCATTTAATATTCTTGTATAAGAATCTTACCACCTATCTCTTAAAGCTATCGTGCCAGAAGTATTAATTAAAATAACTAAATATTTAACATTATTAAATTCCAGCCCAGCCAGCCCAGCTAGCCCCGCCAAGGCCGGGGCCAGGGCCGGGCCTAAGATCAAATACCGGATATATACCGGAAGGTTAATTACTAGTTGTCACGGGCTGAAGCCCTTTGTGGGCTTAGGCTACGCCGTAAGCCTTACGAGCCGTGCATACGTACTTAAGTGCAGCAGAATGAACAGAGAGGGATCTGTTCATTACGTACCTTTTGGCTGAATAAGCCCGGGTGCGCATTTAGTGTTACAAGCAGGTCAAGGCAACCAACTGTGGCACAAACCAAAAGCTTCGATAATGATGACTCCGCATCATTTTCCCTTGTTCTGCATTATATAGCTAGGCCATGACAGGACCAACTGTTTAGGCCGTAACATTTAGCGCAATGGTTTGTTGTGTCTGCTGCCACATTTGCCCTTGTGGGGCCCACACCGTTACAGTAGTCAGCCTATGTCTAAGAGATTAGGGATTACCTTTATATAACTAATTCAGATCTTATAATTAATAAGGTCATAGTCCGATTTATAGATTGATCTCTAAAAATAATAATAATTCCAACGAAACCTATCCTAACTAGCTATAAGATCTAGATCCTTACGTAGTCTGGCTACTATATACAATAGCTCTGGCACGTACATGGAAAGGGCCCATACGCATTAGTCCCCCACGCCCAGCCAGCCCAGCTGGCTGGGCTGGCTGCTGGAAAGCTGGCTCTGTTGACACCAACGCAGCAGGTAGTAACTACCCTTATTTCCCTACTTCCAGCTGCAACCTACCACATCTTTCTTGATAACCTTTTTGCCTTTATACGGCTCTTTTATACCTGTTGGTATCACAGGCGTGATACATATCCTCATGAGGGTGTATCTTCGGCAACAATCACGTCAATGTCCGTGATAATTGCTGTTGTTCTTCTTCCTATTTACATTGTGGGCAGGGGCCGATCGAAGTAGGTGGGGACGGCCTGGGTGGTTGCCCCACCTTAACCGGCCGTGATGACTAAGCCGGTTGTCCCACTTCGCCCAGGGCAGGCGCCAGCCAGCCCACGATACCTGCCCATTGCTCCTTATCAGCCTTGCCGTTCCGACAATACCCTATAAAATCAGTAAGTTAGAGCTTCTAGTACTTACCGGAAGGATAGTGGGATAAATAAGATCCTAGTTACTAAGAAAAAGACTAAGGGACGGGGTATTCCTTAGAGCAAAATATACTATATCCCTACTTTAGATAGGGAGGTAAGTTACCTACCTGCTACTCTACTTACTTAACTAACTAACTAGTAAATAGGTCAACCAATTCACCTGAAAGGACAATGCCCTTATACTCTTCCTATCAACTATCTTCCAGAACGGCCAGGAAGTTATCCGCAGCCGCCGCCGCCCAGCTGGGGATTCCGCTGCCAAGAGGGCTGCCCGGCAAGTCTTTGGCCCAGACGTCCGAAAGGACCTTCTAGTCTCTAAGGCAATCGATAAATACAACCACAAAATAAATAGAGTCGATATCAGTGACTAGATAAGGTCCTATTATTAATATAGCTACTCTATTCGTCGAGGGGGCTAGCAGTTAATTACCTAGAATTTCGCACTAGAAGTAGTTATTATAAATAGCTTCTTATTACAGCTCTAGGGCAGCCCTAGGTAGTAAAAGGTAAAAACCTAGTACTGATAGCGGCAGTTACTTATAGCCCAGCTTGTTTAATAGTTTAGGCTATTAGCAAAAGGGCGGCAGAGGTCACGGCCAAGATGGGCTATAGACAAAAGGAATACCTCTATTCTATGGAAAAACCACAGGAAGGGATCAAGGGGGGCTAATTCACTTTATTCCTACTATAATAATAAAAAAGCAATAAGGGCCCGCTAGACCCTAGCTAAGATATTTAGGAATAGCCTCATATAAAAGAAAAGGATACGGAAGGGCTACTTAGACTATAATATAGCTTTATATATTAAAGGGGACTATTAGTACTTATAGCATACCCAAAATATATAGGGAATAGAGGTACTGTTACCCTATTGGTTGACTCGACAGATTCACAAGCCCCTATTGGCTCTACCCCGCCCTTGGCAAAAATGGAGCTATCTGGCACTCGATGGGATAGAAGTTCTGCTCGTTAATTCACGGAGAGCTCTTGCCGTCCAAGCCTTTGATAGACCATCACAATCTCGCTGACTCGAACCGATGTCTCGAGGCCGTCCTAAGCGAAGCGACGCACTTCGAGAGCCCCGAGTGGGATGGGACGTCGGGGTCGCCGTGGAACCGTGGGCGTGGTGCGTGGTGCGTAGTGCCGCCCAACCGAGAACCTTAAAAAAAGACCCGTGTGCTGAGACGAACACTTTAGGCCGTCTCTGGCGTGGCTTTGCCCTCATGCGTTCCAATTATATTAACAATGACGTCGAAACTTGAACGCGTGTTGTCTCGCAGCCCTGGTTAGTAACCAAGTCTGTATAGCACCCCCTAGAAAACAGTTGCCGGACTAAGCAATCGGACGGACAATGGCAAATTCATTATATTGCAAAGTGGAGTGTTGTTGGAAGTTTACGCGCTTTGCCTTGGAGAACCCGGGGCTCGTTGGTGGAAAGCGAGAGCGGCCAAGGCCTTTCCCCAGATTCACTTGCGGATACCAAGCTCCGGGAATCATATGCCGTTTCCAGATGTTTGGGTCTATTTACCACGAGGCGCGCGCGTTGAGCAAGATTAGCAAGTTTTTGCTAAGACTTTGATAAGTCTCAAGGCTTGTGCATGCTTTAGGAGATGTCAAGCGATCCTGAACGAGTGAGCTCAGAGTCTAGTCTTCAGGCCCTCTTCGCGTTGTCCCAGAACAAGCCGGCTGCCGAGTGAGTCGTGAAAGCTCGGGAGATCCAAGGGTCGCATTGTTAAGTCAACTGCCAGGAAGGCTGTATAGCCAATTAACTCGCTAGAAGTGGGTAGCGATTGCTGTGATGACGCAGTTGGTGGAAGGTTCCATCATGGCTAGTGATTCTGTTGACCCCAGCGACGTTGTCAGCGCGCATTGCTGAGTTCGGTGTTGAAGTCGTCGCCTGCCATTTCACTGCACTACAATGCAGCCATAAGACCTGATTGCACGGACGAAGTGACGTCCAAAGCTACAATCTTTAGAAGAATCTTCCAAGGGAGAACCAAACAATGATGAAAGTTGGTGTAGGATTGAGTGCCTAACAGGGTTGGTTGTCTGCCCAAGAGTGCCAAGTTCCTTGAGTGATCGGCGTGTCTTTGGGCCTTCGACTCAGTCTCCCACGTTCTTCCGTCCGAACTGCAGGAAACTCACCACGCGGCCTCAAGAACTCAGCTCAAGCATTCTGCTCGTTGCAAACATGACCGCCAAGATCCGGATGACAGGCGTTGCGCACCGGCCCCGGAAGCCGGAAACCGTGGTACTCATGTGGGAGGGGTTGGTGATCTACCCGTCACCCCGGGGGAAACATCCGGGGACGACTCGGGGCGCATCGTCCGTAGGATCAATTGCGCCATCATCCACCGTTACCTCCGATTGAGCCTCAAAACATGTGGAAAAGACACCGAACCCATATAGCCGGTCATACTCGAAGGGCGATAAGCTTCCACCGGCGACCTAGAGTCTTTGTCGGGGACGACCCGACGCTGGATCCGCAAAAGACGGACAGCGTCCGACCAGCAGGCGCTTGTTTGTTTTGTGGTGTCCTTGAGGAGGGGCGGAATCGGCGGACCCTTCCACCAGGCACTCGGCATCAATTACCGCAGAGGCTGGACGAAGTAGACGTCCTATGAGATTGTCTTTTATACACTCATGAGGACTTTTCCATTGCACACATAATTCACGCTGTCAAAGGTCGGGACAGAAGTGGAACCTCATCAGCTCAACCTCACTCATGAGCTTTCACTGAAACGCCTTCGGCTCCTCCTGACTCACACGCTACAACACCAAGGCTCAATTAAACATCATCACCAAGAGGGCTGCCATACCTCATTCTCTCATCATGGCGGCCGACATCAGAGTCTCAATTGATCGCGGCGGCACATTCTGCGACGTCATCGCCGAAATCGACGGCCGTGAACCCCTCATCTTCAAGCTTCTCTCCGAAGACCCAGCAAACTACCCCGACGCCCCGACCGAAGCCATCAGGCGCATTCTCGAAGCTGTAGGGGGGAAGCCCATCCCCATCGGACAGAAACTCGGTGGCTCGCGCATCGGTAGTTTTCCATGTCACTCCTCCACTGGGATCCTGTATCTAATACTTTCTCAGCATCGTGCCGCATCGGCACCACAGTCGCGACGAACGCTCTCCTAGAACACAAGGGCGAGCGCTTCGCCTTCCTCACCACAAAGGGCTTCAAGGACGTCTGCGTAATTGGCGATCAGTCCCGTCCCAAACTGTTTGACCTCAATATCCGCAAACCCACGGCTTTGCACTCGACCGTCGTCGAGATCGACGAGCGCATCGTGCCAGCAGATTATGACCTCAACCCAACGCCCCTGGACAAGGAGGCTGCTCTCAAGGCCGCTTCAACATCACCACTAACCTCATCATCTACTCCCCAAGAAGGAGACCTCGTCCGCACACCCAACGGCGATCTAATCCGCATCCTCCGCCGCCCAAACCCAGACCTCATCCGATCTCAGCTCCGCGCCCTCAAAGACGCAGGCTACACCTCCCTCGCAATCTCCTTCATGCACGCCTACCTACACCCCGCCCACGAAGACCTCGTCGCCTCCCTCGCCCGCTCCCCCGAATTCGCCTTCTCTTACGTGACAACCTCCTCCGCAACCTCCCCGACCATCAAATTCCTCAACCGCAGCACCTCAACATGCTCAGAAGCCTACCTCTACCCCGTCATCCAGCGCTACGTCGCCTCCTTCCACGCAGGCTTTCTCCCCGATGCGCCGCCCCGCCGCGTAGACTTCATGTGCTCCGACGGCGGCCTCAAAGCGGCCTCCCGCTTCCGCGGCAACGAGGCGCTCCTGAGTGGTCCCGCAGGCGGCGTAGTCGGCATCGCGCGGTCCTGTTATGACCGTCAGGACGGCACGCCCGTCATCGGCCTCGACATGGGCGGTACCAGCACGGATGTCTCGCGGTACGACGGGAAGTATGACTACCTCACCGAGACCTCCATCGCGGGCCGCACAATCACCACGCCCATGCTCAACATCGCCACCGTAGCAGCAGGCGGCGGATCAATCCTCTTTGCGCGGAACGGTCTCTTAGCTGTAGGACCCGAGAGCGCGGGTGCGCACCCGGGACCAGCATGTTACCGAAAGAACGGCCCCTTGACCGTAACAGACGCGAACCTCTTCCTCGGACGTCTTGTTCCGTCTTCGTTTCCTTCCATCTTTGGACCGTCTGCCTCTGAACCGCTAGATACCGCCATCGTCAAAAAGAAATTCAGACAAATTACGCAAGAGTTCAACCAACAGACGAACCAGGCCCTCCAACCGCACGACGTAGCCTTAGGCTTCCTAGACGTCGCAAACGAAACAATGGCCCGCCCCATCCGCAACGCAACCGAAGCCCGCGGCTTCGCCCCCGAAAACCACAACCTTGTCTCCTTTGGCGGCGCGGGCGGCCAGCACGCCTGCGAAATCGCTGAAAAACTCGGCATCCGCCGCATCCTGATCCACAAGTTCTCCTCCTTGCTTTCGGCGTACGGCATCGCGCAAGCAGAGCTACAAAGCGAGACCCTCGAGCCGTACGGCGCCAAATTCAGCCACAGCGAGGATGCTGCGCAAGGGGCAGTGACATCCCACATCGCGGACCGCCTCGCCGCACTGAGGGGGAAAGTGACACGAGAACTAGTCTCCCAGGGCGCGGATGAGGCTTCGCTGGTCTTTGATGAGAGTCTTGTCCTGCGGTACTATGGCACCGATACGAATCTTACAATCTCCCGCCCCGAGGACGGTGATTACGCCGCCAGCTTCAAGGCTACGCACCTTCGCGAGTTTGCCTTCTCCATGGATAGAGACATCGTCATTGAGTCGATCAAGGTTCGTGGGACGGGTAGTGCGGCGGGGAGCGCGTTCGGAATGCGGGAGACGTCTGCGGTCAAGGAGCTCGCGGACAGGAGGAGCCGCGGTAGCGGAGATGTTGCTATCGCCCCGGAGCCGAGCGTGAAGCAGAGGGTATATATCGACGGCGGGTGGTGCGAGACGGACGTGTATCGTCTGGGCGAAGTCTCCAAGGGCGTCGTGATCGAGGGCCCTGCTCTACTCATCGACCAGACGCAGACAATCTTCGTGTCCCCGACATTTAGCGCCTACATCCTCTCCTCCCACGTCCTCCTCGAGAAGCAAGCACCAGCCACGACTTCATCACCATCACCGCTCCCCACCTCTATAACACAAAACCGAACCCCACAGCCCGACGCACCAGAAACCACAGACCCAATCCTCCTCTCCGTCTTCGCCCACCGCTTCATGGCCATAGCAGAACAGATGGGCACGACCCTCCAACGCACCGCAATCTCCACCTCCATCAAAGAACGCCTCGACTTTTCCTGCGCAATCTTCTCCCCCGAGGGCAAACTCGTCGCCAACGCGCCCCATATCCCAATCCACCTCGGCTCCATGCAATTCGCCATCCAGGAACAACACCGCCACTGGAAAGGACGCCTCCAGCCCGGCGACGTGCTCTTGACGAATCATCCGCAGTGGGGCGGGACGCATCTCCCGGATCTGACCGTCGTTACGCCCGTCTTTGTTGACACCGGGTCCGGATCCCCCTCCGATCCGGATGATGGCGACAAGACAGACCGCGACAACACAAACACCCAAGAAATCGCCTTCTACGTCGCCTCCCGCGGCCATCACACAGACATAGGCGGCAAAGGCATCACCTCAATGATGCCCGAGTCCCGCCAACTCTGGGAAGAAGGCCTCAACGTACCAACCCTCAAAATCGTCTACCGCGGCCACTTCCTCGAATCCCAAGTCATCGCCGCCTTTGAGAAAGCAGGTTCCTTGCCGGGCTGCTCCACCTCCCGCCGTCTCGCAGATAACATCTCGGACCTAAAAGCCCAAACCTCGGCAAACCAGCGCGGCATCCTCCTCTTGCGGAAACTCTGCGCCGAGCAAGGGGTCGGGAAGAAGGGCGTGGCAGTGGTACACAAGTACATGTCCGCGATCCAAGACAACGCAGAAGCCGCAGTCCGTAGCTACTTCAAATCTCTAGCCCGCTCCCACCCCTCGGGGCTATCCGCAACAGACCACCTAGATGACGGCACCCCCCTCCACGTGAACATCACAATCGACCCCCTCACCGGCACAGCAACCTACGACTTCTCCGTTTCCGGCCCGCAAATCTGGGGAAACTACAACTGCCCCATCTCCATCACCCACTCAGCGATAATTTACACCATCCGAAGCCTAGTAGGCCTCGACATACCCCTAAACCAAGGCTGTCTAAACCCCGTCAACATCATCCTCCCACCCGTCGGCTCCGTCCTGAATCCCGGTGCCGGGGTTGCGATATGCGGAAGCACCCTCGCCTCCCAGCGCGTCATCGACGTCATCCTCCGCGCGTTCGGGACACACGGCGCAAGCCAGGGGTGCGCGAATAGTTTCGGCTGGGGCATGGGCGGCCGGGACCCGGAGACCGGAGCGGTCATCAAGGGGTGGAACTACGGGGAGAGTATCGGCGGCGGGGTGGGTGCGGGAGATGGGTATGAGGGTGAGCATTCGACGCACGTCCATTCTACGAATACGCGCCAGACAGACGCGGAGGTCATTGAGAAGCGCACTGCTGTACTCGTCAAGTCCTACGGTATCCGCAAAGGAAGTGGTGGTGTCGGAAAATATCGTGGAGGCGACGGTATCACGCGTGAAATTCAGGCGCGTATCCCGCTCAAGTTTAGTATCCTTTCGGATCGGAGGGTGTATCGGCCTTGGGGTATGACTGGCGGCGGGCCAGGGCAAAAGGGGGAGAATTATGCATTCTTGTTCAACGAGGAGGGAGGCATGGAGAAGATTAATCTTGGCGGGAAGGCGATTATCAACCTAAAGGAGGGCGAGTATATCCAGGTCAATACGCCTGGTGGTGGAGGGTATGGCGGCGAGGATGTAGAGGATAGACATCGGGGTTATGTATGAGATGAGAGATGCACCATGAAAGACCAAAGAGATGGATCAATAAAGCTTGCAGCAGATCATCACCACGTTTCCCTCGAGACTTGATGTAGCTTGATAAAGCCTTGTCATTACATATAAACGGACCTAATCCAACATTACAACATCCAATGTGCATGGCACATTATGGTATCGTCATCCCTCGTCAACGTAAAAACCCCCAACAACTCCTATGGATATCATGCAGGCATCACTCTCAGTCTTGATTGAGCATAACTGCTTACGCGACCTCCTTTTCCAGCTTGGTATCGACCGTTCCAGGTGCGGCAACGTCCGCAATGGTCTCGTCCGAGAACTTGAGATCCTCCTCAACGGTGACAGTGTCCTTGATCTTCAGGAAGATAATGGGTGCACCAATAACGAGAGCGCCGGCAAGGCAACCCCACGTGGCGCTGAAGATAGTGTTGTACTCGGTTTGAACACCATCGAGACGCCAGAAGACGGCAGCGCCAGCGGATTGAATACCTATAGTTTTGTCAGTATAAATGCGCCACTAGAGTCGAGGAATGTGCAGCTTACCCTTGTAGAAACCTGCCAGGTTGGCAGCCTTGCGGGAAGAGTTGGAGAGAGCTCCCATGTACCAGTAGATGCTCGTCTGCCAGCAGGCATCGAAGAATCCGTAAAACATGTACAGGAACATGGGGCCAATGTAAGCCTCGCCGCCGTCGGTCCAGTCAATGGTGGGGTAGTCCAAGTTGCCCTCAATCTCGCCGCGAGGAGCCTGCTTCTTCTGCCAAGCGTACCCACCTCCCCAGATGGCCATGGTCAGGACGAAAAGCGTAATGTAGGAGGCCTTTGCGCGTACGCTACGGCGGACCTTGGGGAAGTCAAGGGCGTAGCCAAAGATGAGAGCACCGATAATCTGGGAAGACCAGTACAACAGGTTGTTCAGCGAACGAGTGCGAGTGTTGAAGTGAGGAGCGTTCATGTCATTGGTCTGGTAGGTGTAGAAGACGTTGGATGTGAAGAACATGGGGAACAAAAGGATGATCCACGGGTCTTGGGCGAGGGTCTCCCACAAGCCCTTGAACTCGGACTGCCACGAAGGGTTCTTCATGACGATGACCTTGGAGCCGTCCTCACGAATGATCTTGGGCACATCGCACATGAAGAGAGCAAGGACGGCACCGAGCAACATGAGAACAATGAAGGCAGCGTAGGTGCCGTCAGTAACAGTGCTTCTCGATGTGGTGTTGATGTTTTGGCCGAGGGGAATGAGAGCACCGATGACGGCGCCGAGGTTGAAGATCATCCAGAACCAAGAGATGTAGCGTCCCTTCTCCTTCTCGGAGGGGTAGGACATCATGATGGCACCCTGGCCAGTCCACAAGAGACCGGCGCACACGCCGAGGAAGGCACCAGCGAAAATGACGAAGCCTTCATTCTGGTTGTGGGAGTAGGACAGGAAGGACGCGGCGTAGATGCAGTAACCCAAGCCGCCCAAGCTGAGAGTCAGACGAAGACCGAGACGGTTGGCAAAGGTACCGGCGAAGAAGGCGGCAACGGCAAAGGTGGAGTACAAGGCCGTGTTGGCATCGTTGGAAGCCTTTGTGGAAACCTGACCACCGCCACCGAGACCACCGAGAGCATTAAACATTCCGGGGCAGAGGAAGCAAACAAAGGAGACCATGAAGAGCTGGATACGGGGTGAAGCGTACCAGAGCTCCTTGCCACCGATGCGGAAGCGACGATACATGAAGCCGGCAGGGCGGGGAACGGGGCCGTCAACAGCGGTTGTTGTCGGGGCGGCGGTAGCGGGTTCGGTAGCGGCCGCAGCCGCGGGCTCAGGAGTATGCTTCTCGTCGACGGAAGACATCTTGGCGGTGATGTGGAGTTGACGAGGAGGAGGTTCAGAGGAGAGACGTGAAGGTCAACAGAGCGGCGTTGCGCCTTGGCGGGACGGGAGGAATTGGGGCCGGTGGTGCGTGGCTGCCGCTTGGTGCTTCTCTTCAGAGTGTCGCAGACTGGAAACTCAATCGTGCCAGACGATGGGTGATGGTGGCCCAAAGTAGCGCAGGCGCAAGGCTCAGTTCGATGAGTTTGGTCTGGAAAGACTGGACAGAAAGAGTGAGACGGCGAGCAGAGACTAGAAGTAGGGTCCGGGGGGACGTGTGCAGCTTCTTTATGGGACGGTTTATCGGGCTGCAGGTTGCAGTTGCACTGGGCGATGATCGTGGGTGGAGCTTTGGTCAAGGTCGCGGTCCCGACGTGCCAGGGTGAGGCGTGGCGGGTGCGAGAAAGATGACAAGGGGGGGCGGAGACTGGAGGGAGTGGAGGGTGGTACTGTTGAGGATGATGGAGGTGGTATCCGTAGCCGGGATTGATGTGTTGACTTGGAGATATTGGAGATATTGGAGATGGGAGGAAGATGTTGATGGAGCGAGAGGGACGGCCACCACACCACCACCCCGTGCGGAGAGATTTTAAAGTGGCGCCCAGAGCCAAGATAGACAAGTGTCAGCCAACCAGCGCGCTAGTCCTCGTCCCCGCCCACTGGCTTCTAAGGTCCGTGCGGGATGGAGAGGTGCATGTAACGTTTCCCTGAGATTGAAACTCAAAAAAAGAAAGAACAGAGAAAAAAGAGGGTACCACGAGCATGCAGCTGCCAGAACAGAAGCTTGTGGCTTCGTGACAAGCAACAATCGTTGTCTGCAGAGGCCCAACTATGCACCATCTAAGGATACAGATACCTACCTAACTCGCAGTCATTCAACGCTATTCCCCAGACTCTCGTCCTCCAAGTCTTTCGGGGATAACCCGTGTGCCTCCGCCCACGAAGTGTTACGGAGCTGACTGACCGTGCCCACGGCATGGGAACCGGCCAGTTGCATCGGCGACAAGACGGGGACTGATAGACTCGAGTCCAGCCTATCTCCTCGTGGGTTCGTTACACGGATAAGGATGCTTGCATCGCACACGTTTCCCGCCCTACCTTACTTGCAACTCTGATTCTACTTCAGACAGCCCCCGGGGTTGCATAACAGTATTTGCGTAGAGTGTCAGCGTCTGATAGAACGACAAACAAGACTCGTCTTTTGAGGTCCGGGTTGGGCCATTCGAAGGACGCAAGGCAAGTAAGCAATGGAGTCGATTTGTATTCCCCGAGCCAGATCCTCTCTTTGCCTGATCTGTTTCCTGCTTAATCTTCAAATTTGCGTCGTGATTGGGTCGGCGCATGAGAACAAATTCGGACACTCTTCAATCTCAGAGACCTCTATCTGATATCTCAACGCAAGGTAACCTCAGATATCTACCCAAATCTTCAGGGAAGCCGACCGTTACTTCCCCTTACCCCACACTATCCAAAGGTTACATCCCCACACGTCCCATCGTTCGCAACTCCACGGTCCATTCCATCCTGTTGGATTCACAGGTGGAAAAGGAAAATACTCGAGTATCGTGGGTAGCAACGATCACCGACTGTAGTGGTGATATTGCTTGTTCTTGTTGTTCTTGAGTGGAAGTCTAACCAGGTGCCAGCGGCGGCAGGAAGTCTGGGGTATACCACCCTCGTGTGGCTGAGCCACACGGACCACCGTGGCTGGAACGGACCGCGGCAGCAACCTCCTGCTGCCTAATGTAGGCCTATTCCAACACATCCCCAGGCCAACGGCTGTGGAAACCATGGGACTTGCAACGGTCACCGGTGGTGTCTCGCCCAGCAATGTGGCATCTACTACGTACGGAGTACAGGTTCATACGCTAGGTAGACTTCTCCAGGAGTCCAGAATCCATCCGGTATCCAAACCCGCTGATATATCCAACCCGCTGAAGAGATAGCTACCCAGCATCCATACAGGCCCGAAACCTTCAGCCTGGTGCAGCAGACGTTTCCCGATCCATGAACCTGGGTATTACGTGACAGACGTACCTAGACATGTTGGCCCAACTTTATCTTGCTACCCCATGTCACTTCTCACCCGTCATCGATTCGTTAGGAACGCATCACGGCATCGGTGATATGGGGTCTCATTCGGTCCTCCGCCGTAGTGGGTTTGTCCCCATAGCACGCGTAGAAGTAGCACCCTAGATATCCATGAGTCTCGCCATTCCGCCGACAAGATGGGGGCTACATCGCCGGGCTCCGGATGGGCGAACGGCCGACGTGGTAGAGCTGCCGACTACCACGGCGCTCATCCGGGGTTTGTTGCTTTGAACTCCACTGCCTCACACTTCTTTCCCCCGCCGATAACCACCCGGCGTTCATTTACATGTCGTGGAGACACAGGGCAAAGGGTGCTTACCAGATGTCCATCGATACTTGCCACAGCCGCCACTAGTCCATTGGTGGTCAGGTAGACTTCGATATCCTCTCTCATCAAGAAGAGGGACGGGCAGTCGATTACGGGATCTAAAAGCCGCCAAAGGTATGAGAATTTTCCTTTGAGGCGTCGAGGGTAGGGATCCGAATCCAGCAGCTCGGAGAAAAGGCGTATTCTGGACAGTAAAGATGACACAGTACCCATGTTACAATTTACGACCAAGTCCAGCATTCAGACTTAACAAGCGTCACTCTTGCAGGCTGGCAATTTACGTCCGGAGATGAAGGTTCCGGGGATCGGAGCTTACACAAACTTCCGGCCCCCGAACCCCCCGTCCGGGGCTATGTCTCTCCACAATATTGCTTCCACTCGACGCAGTCTCTTGTGCAGCAACTGGACGTAGACAATAAACTGATACATGTGCTCCAATTTTGCCTGGGTCACTGTCTTTGTGTCCTCTAGAGCAGCATGATCCGGAAGGAAATGTCACTTCGACCTTCTTATGTTCCTTGCCGAATAGCGATACAGAGGATCGCAAAACCGGTGTCCGTTTCGCAAGTATGGACTGTCTATTGAGCACAGACCTTTCATTACTAGGACAGAGCTTATGTACAAGACCCGAGACCAGGGTACCTTGACGGATACCAAGCCACATCTGTTCATGGGAGCCCGAAACAGCTTATTGATCAGATCGCTGGCAGCTGGTCGTCATAATAGATGATCAACCATCCGCGGGCCAGAAATAGCTGATGATTTTACAGCCAACAGCGTTGGACACAAGCAGCTTCCTCCCACTCACGCCCAGCGTTATAGAGATATCGTTGTATCCGAGTCGCCGATCCATCAACGCAGTCAGCAGCTTGTGGATCGCACAATCACTCTTGGCGACGCATGCCTTGCTTCTCAAACCAATTTGCTCCAGGTGCTTCTCGATGGCTTTTTTTGCTGATTAAGCCAATAGCTGCATAGGGGTGCTTGAATGGGCCTGCAAAGGTGCTTGGTGAAGCGTGGCGATCACGCACTCCACTCCTAGGTCTACAACGCAACAATTAACATAGAGTGAGCGCATTGCTGAACGAGTAAATTATTGTTAGCCGACAGGCTCAGCCGCTGCTCTAGGGTTTATAAGATTTCAGAAGGTTTCAATCTATTGTACTGTAAAAGCCTTTTGTAAAACGAAAAAAGTGGCTGCAGGCGCACAAATTCAACTCAACCGCTCCCTATCTTTATTCAGATCGTCGATTCGATCCACGAGACCTACGATGTTTGTACTTAACCACATATATACTATACTTCAAGCCGCTCAACTCATTTCTCACTTTCTGTCATGTTTGCTTTATATGCACCTGCGAGTGCGTGTTGTGACGCAAGTCGATCAGGATGTCCTTTGTCAAGCGTCGTCTCTTGAACCTCGACCACGTGCTCGAGTAGCTTGATGGCATATTTGACTCGCCCGTCAGCTTGATATGCCATTGCCAGTGCGTGTTGTGACGTAAGTCGGTCAGGATGTCCTTTGTCAAGCGTCGTCTTTTCAACCTCGACCACGTGCTCGAGTAGCTTGATAGCATCTTTAACTCGCCAGTCGGCTTGATATGCACATGCGAGCTCGTATTGTGACGCAAGTCGATAACGATGTTCTTCATTAAGAATCGTCTTTTCAACTTCGACCAGGTGCTCGAGTAGCGTGATGGCATCTTTAACTCGCCCGTCGGCTTGATATACTATTGCGAGTGCGTGTTGTGACGTAAGTCGATCAGGATGTCCTTTGTCAAGCGTCGTCTTGCGAACCTCGACCACGTGCTCGAGTAGCTTGATGGCATCTTTGACTCGCCCGTCGGCTTGATATGCCATTGCGAGTGCGTGTTGTGACGTAAGTCGGTCAGGATGTCCTTTGTCAAGCGTCGTCTTGCGAACCTCGACCACGTGCTCGAGTAGCTTGATAGCATCTTTAACTCGCCCGTCGGCTTGATATGCACGTGCGAGTTCGTGTTGTGACGTAAGTCGATCAGGATGTCCTTTGTCAAGCGTCGTCTTTTCAACCTCGACCACGTGCTCGAGTAGCTTGATGGCATCTTTGACTCGCCCGTCGGCTTGATATGTACATGCGAGTTCGTGTTGTGACGCAAGTCGATAACGATGTTCTTCATTAAGCGTCGTCTTGCGAACCTCGACCACGTGCTCGAGTAGCTTGATAGCATCTTTAACTCGCCAGTCGGCTTGATATGCACGTGCGAGTTCGTGTTGTGACGTAAGTCGATCAGGATGTCCTTTGTCAAGCGTCGTCTTTTCAACCTCGACCACGTGCTCGAGTAGCTTGATGGCATCTTTGACTCGCCCGTCGGCTTGATATGTACATGCGAGTTCGTGTTGTGACGCAAGTCGATAACGATGTTCTTCATTAAGCGTCGTCTTGCGAACCTCGACCACGTGCTCGAGTAGCTTGATAGCATCTTTAACTCGCCAGTCGGCTTGATATGCACGTGCGAGTTCGTGTTGTGACGTAAGTCGATCAGGATGTCCTTTGTCAAGCGTCGTCTTTTCAACCTCGACCACGTGCTCGAGTAGCTTGATGGCATCTTTGACTCGCCCGTCGGCTTGATATGCACATGCGAGTTCGTGTTGCGATGCAAGTCGAGCACTATCTTGAATCGGCAGATCTATCCTTTGCTGGAAAGACTGCTCAAAATAGGCGACAGCTTCCTTTACTCGCCCATCTGTTCCTAAGCACCTCCCGACCAGGACAGACAGACTGGATTTGGCGTCGCCATCAGTTTCTCCGCTTTCATTTAAAACTTTGATAGCGTGCGGCAGATACTGCCTCCAGATAACCCGATTTTCGTGGTCATTGAATGGAAAGACTTCATCAATATGCTGTATAGCTTCCTTTTTGGACTGTGTTTCGAGAGACTTCTGTCGAACCCAAACTCGAGTTGCCAGATGCACCAGGCTATGCATGTCGAACATTTCGGCATCAGTTCCATGTGCGAGAAATGCATAAGAGCAGAGCGTTCCAATGGCGTGGTTGATATCAATATTGGCATCTGGGCACGGGAGGATTGATTGTGGTATGAGTTTTGGCTCAATCCGCGAGATGAAACATAGCAAACGACCCGCAGCAGCATCAGTGCTCTGAATCTGATCGAAAGACACCATCCAGGTTCTTGCTATGGCGTTCTCCAGGCTAGCATACCTGGTACTGTCACGGAACTCCAGACTCATGATGCTGACAAGGTGTTGCTCAGTTCCTTGTAATAGTTCGAGGTACTTCTTGACAGATACATGGCTGTTTCTATTCAAGTATGCAGCGGCCTGTGTTACTGCTAAAGGAAGATAAGTAAGAGATTGCAAAAGCTTATTTACTAACCCCTGATCCGAGAGAAGATCTTTGCGGTGGAGCGCTTTTCTGAGAAGATTTGTGGCCTCTTCTTCACTCATAGAATGAAGCTCTAGCCAAGCTTGATTTGCCATAGACAACGCCACTTCCCGAGAGCGCGTAGTGAAGAGGGTCAAGCCGGTTCTCTTCCGTGGTAAATACTTCAGCAACCCTTCTTGATGCTTTGGACTGTCGAACAGTATGCTTGCATCATCAGCGTTATCCACAACGATAAGCCACGGTCCAATGTTCTCAGAGCTAAGCCATTTTTGGACAGAGGTCTTTACGTCTCCATCTTCTGCGCCCAGAGGAATGTTGAATTCTTTGGCGATTGTTGCATATGATTGCTCGAAGCTTGCTTGGCTGTAGGCCGGGACCCAGAACACTGAGTAGTCTGGCAAATTCTCCTTTGCCCAGTAGGCGATGTGCAGGGATATTTGCGTTTTGCCCACCCCACCCAGTCCCACCAACGCCACTTCTTGGATCATTGCATCGAACAGAAACCTCTTGATTTCAAACGCTTCTGGACGTTCGATGAAGTTCCTGTTTTGGGGGAGCGATATGAGATGAACAATGCCTCCTAATTTAAGATCAGATTGTACTGAATTGAAGCGGAATTTTACAGCCCACCTCTTTGCCTTTCCACAGGATCTCCCGGGATTTCTGCGATCGCCGGTGTCTCATCGTTATTGGAATAACAAATCGTCATATGGCGAATAAATTGTTGTATTTGCCTCCTGGTTTCTAGAAGGTAATTCCTGGTATGGGCCGATATTGTGCTTGACTTTTCCCAGTCTGATAAAGTCACGTCTTGAAGACCCTGTGCGACATTGAATCTGAAGTATTGGCCACTATCGCCATATTGATCCTCCAGTCTCATAGCCACCTTTTTGGAGCTGGTCGCCATATTCTTCAGGGCCCTGATGATGCCCATTCTTGTGTTGCCGATACTGACGACGTCTCCAAGCCCGGTGCCAATGCTGAGAACCTGTATCTGAGGGCGCGAAGGGAACTGTCGCCGAGCCTCGTCGATGAGTATCTCACAAGGATTGTTGTAGCCAAACCCCGCGTCTATGAACTCTACGCCATCTCGGCCTACGCGGATCGGTTTGAAGAAAGTAGTAGCTGCGGATGTTGCGCGAGCCACTTGCCAAATCAGGCAACCGTCGAAGCCCGTCGATTCATCGTACGTGGTAAAGAGGGTCGGTGGAGCATCTACGTTGTCCTTCGTGATGGCTAAGACGACACTATAAAACAGAAAATAAGTAACTCATTTACCAAAATTCAATTCGATGTAGCAATTCACATACGTTTTGGTGCATTTATCGTCGCGAAACTCCATATCATGGGAACAAGTACCGTTCGTCGCATTACCTGTTTGGCGCCGATCTACACACTCTGCCGCTGTACAAGACTTCTTGCATGTGCTCTTGATTGCTTCCTCGAGTGCTGTAGCAGAGAATGCGCCCTTCGACGAGGCTGGCAAGAGCGACGTTCGTTTCGGAGTAAATGCCTTTTGAGCGACTTCGCGATACTGTAGGATGCACTCGTTGACAGTCATTCCCAGCCTTCCAAGCATGATAGCAATGATTCTAGCCTCAGTTAGCGGAGAATTTTGAATAGAGCTGATCGTCAAACCCTCCAGTGCTAGTTCCTCCGATGAAGTCGAAGCAATCACATGGTCGGGGCACACGGTCAAGACCCTCTGTTTTGCGGATCTCTTCCATCAAGTGCTCCAAGATGAGAAGGCTGGAAACGCCTCGGACGCCGCCGCCATCTAGATAATCAGCGGGAAACATGATGTAGGGGGTTGGGATCCTACCTAGCGACAGAATTCTCAACGGCTGCCGGGCTTCAGACGGTAGCTCCATGGTCTGGCAGCGCGGGCCGGCCCGTAATGGGGTTGATACTGGGGCTTCTAATTAATTAAGCTTCGGATGATCTCGAGATGAATCATGCAGTGGAGGAGCAGAAGCTGCGGGGTAGGACGGAAATAAGCATGTTAGTCGTGCTACTATGATGCTAGTGGAGCGGAAGACGATCACGTGTCGCCAGTCTTAGTCAAGGGGCGAGGTAGTCAAGCCACGTGTCGTCTGCTATTGCCTAACGCGCTAACTTTCATCTGCCGTCTCCCACACCTCAGACGTTCCCTCAAGACATCGCCACCGTCTATCCGAACGACTTGTGACGATGGCTTTCAGTGACTCTCCATCCAGCTTTGACGGGGATACCTGGTCCGACAACGAGTCTATCCATGGAAGCAGCTCAGCGCCTGCAGTATCGTCTAGGGCGGCATCGCAGCAACCTTCTGATGGCAGACTCCCACTACTTCGACTGGTTAACTAGGACAGAGTCCGCAGTTACGATGAGCAGCCGCCAACCTATATTCATTACTCTCTTAAGTGGAAATTGACAGCGAATATTAGAACAGTGTCCAAAGACAGCGAGCCGAATCTTGTCCTTGCCCCGGGTGATTTCTGGGAAATAACGTTGCAGAGCAGGCTTAGCAACCTTATGACCAAGAAGCTGGCAGCCAACAAAACCTTCAAGCCCGATGATACCACCTTGATAGTATCTGTGCGAGACCGCTCCGAAGAAGACCCAATCAAGCGATTCGATGATCTAGATATAGAATGGGAGGTCGTCGAGACGCAGCTGCGCACGTGGAGCCACTTGTTTCGTGCTGGCAAAAAGCTAAAGATCAGTGTTTCCTTCAATTACGTGGAGACTGGACCAGCGGCCGGCAGTGCCGGACGACGGGGAACGAAGCACTCAGCAACGTAACGGATGCTTGCCAAGCGCGATATAGAGCTCGAAGGCGAGCGCAACAGGACGGGATAAGCGGCGTCTTAGGAACGAGTATATAGCCTTATGAGATGTCCCGGTCCGCCCTATAATCTTGGACCGTATTGTTGGGTTGATGATGACGGGAGGAAGTATCATAAGCTGATGACTCGTTATCTGACCAGTTTGGTTGCCTACGTTGAGGATGGTAGAAGACTTAAGAGCCAAGCAGCATCCGTAAACTGCTATATGCGGAGGACCAGCAGCGTTTGGACCGTCAGGGACGGTCCCAGAGTCAAGCGAAATATCCACCTATTAACATTACCAATGTCATGCCCGGATTGGATGCTTCTGCAGGGGTTTCGCTATCTGGACACGGACCCGGGCCGGCGCCTGCATCTGTATCCCCCCATACGCCGACACGATTGAAGATCTCTGGGCCAAGAGATTCTGCACCGAGGAGTTATTACCAGTGGCAGTGCGCACAAGTGCTGGATAATTCGTTCAAGGTAGGGTATCGGAAGGCGTACGAGGTTATGGTCGAACATTGTCTTGACCTCGAACAAGTGGACGAGGACCAAGACGCTCAATTTTTCATTGATAATGGTGTCAAGAAGGGCGCCGCAATACGTTTCATTAGGGACATTTGCGAGTGGGCCCTGGGTCGGGAACTAGAATAGTAATAGATAGTAATAGACTATGCGTGCGAAACTACCCTGATCTTCTGCTGGGCACGGCCTTTAACTCAATCTATTTCCTATTGATGCTTCTCTATCTCTAAACCGGCATGCCGAAAATGGCCTTCCGCGCTTGCCCTCCTAGCACCTACTGATCGCACGTACTATTTAAGGAACTATGCGAAATTAGGACAGTTCTTATAATCTGCCTAGTGATGCTTAATAAAGCCACTTCCCACACGCATCACCCGCGTGAGACACCCACTGTTAGTGTCTTGCCCGGGCATACACCCACCCACTAACACCACTTCCTGCACCCAAGTTACGAATTATCGCCCGCAAGGCCTCAGGGAGGCCTCGCAAGCTCTCAGCATGCCGACAGCTCGCTGCCGGACCCCCTTTCGACCCTATCGCGCACGCGCACACTACCGCCGCGCCTATTGGCGCCGCTCCTATCCCGTCCTCGTACATCACAGGGAAGCGAAGTACCCTCTACCGCCGCCGCGGCGCTTTAACGCGCTAATACGGCCTAATCTAAGTACGACGTAGTATACCGCCTCCTTACTAATGTCCTGGATAACCTTATTTCCTCCTATAACGAGGCATTAAAGCCGTATATGTGGTCTATTATCTAGAGCTTTACCTCTTACCTTTCCCCTGGCCCGGGCCGACCCGGCCCTAAGGGGATACATATCTATTGGTTCCACGGGGTCGTATACGACAAATAGTGGTAGCAATTATCACTCGTCTATTAGTGATCTTATTGCTTATTCTTCTTCTTTTTCTATCTTACATTGTAGGCAGGAGTCGGTCGAAGTAGGTAGTGACGGCCTGGGTGGTTGCCCCACCTTTATCCGGCCGTGATGACTAGGCCAGTTGTCCCACTTCGCCCAGGGCAGGTGCCAGCCAGCCCATGGTACCTGCCTATTACTCCTTATCAGCCTTTGCTGTTCCAACACTCCCTAGTCCTTTATATATTATACCTAGCAGATACGCTCCTGGATAATCTTAGGTGCTACTTTAGGTATATAGATAATATAGGGCTATTCGCGATCTCCCTAACGTTAGAAGAGAATGCTCGGATATTAGGTAGTAAAGTTAGTTTTATGCTCGAATAGGGCGCCGAGAATAAAGTCACTTTTGACCCTGCTAAGTGTGAAGTAGTACACTTTATACGAAAATATCGTAAGAATAGGCTAACTGAATGGCCTGCTGTCTATGCCACGGGGCTCACTATTATGCCCGTGGTACCTACTAAGGCCGTATCCTGGCTAGGCGTCTAGTTCGACCGTACGCTATCTTTCTGTATCTACGTTGGTTATCGAGTTACTGTAGCGGAGCGGGTCGCCGATTTCTTCCGTGGCCTTAGTGCTGTCCTCAAGGGCCTCCCTCCCCGCTAAGCCCGTCTTGCCGTTACGGCCTATATATTACCGTTAGCTCTATATGGTACCGAAGTATGGTTTTCGGGCCATATTAGGCCGGCTATATTATCGAAGCTATCTAGAATAGGCACTGCCCTCCGTAATCCCTTTATGAACACTAGCTAGAAGGGTCTCTTTACCGTTATTAATAAGGCTATCGCCGCCGTGGCCCGGTGTTACGACCCAACATGAGACCAGGGCGTGCCCCGCTGACGCCTGGCGGCTACGGCGCATCATATATGCAGGACGGGACGGAACATTGGGGAAACCCCAGGAACGGAAGAACTATGGTACAAGTCACGTGATGATAAGAGATATGATAAGGGATAAGGATATGTTGGATATGCGACATATCCAACCGAGTCAAGGATATGTTGGATATTCGGCATATCCAACATATCCAGACAAAGGCGACTGTTCAGCACTGTTCAGTTAGGATCGGACTTGTATATAAGGATGGACTCGAGCTGGGCTCTAGGACAGACTTTCCATAGCTTCTTCAGCAATTAACTTCGTATCAGGATTAACATCCGCTTTCAGCTATCACCTTGACAAGACTACGATTGATCACCGAAGCCTTACCTACCCTTACGATTGACAGACATAGCTTCCCTGAAGCTATCCCCGACTACGAATACTGTTACCAGTTCCGCAGCCTCAACTTCTGCAAACTACCCCTACGACTAGCTGGCCGTAACAACTACGTAAAGAACCGCCGTACGGCGGCGTTATGGCCGATTGCCGGGACTAAAAAGGATCCGGGCCCCTTACCGCCCCCGAAGGGCTAGGCCGAAGCTTACTGGTACGCCCTGATTAGAGATCCGGGCGCTTTTGAGAAGTTCGAGCGCTTGATGCGGTACTTCGAAATGCACTCCTTGTGAAGGGATAGCGAGCCTGAGATACTATGCTTTATACTTTATTATATACTTACCGATACCTTTTGGGCTATAGCCCTACCTCTATCCTCCCTCTCCCTCTTTTATTTTTCCCGATCTACTTGAGATAATACTGGAAAATAAAAAAATGTACTCGTGGGTAATTATGCTTACGAGGGCCGGCTTTTTCGTTATAGCCCGTCGTCTGTGGACGATGTAGGGCTATTTAAGGCCTATTTGCTTCTGCCGAGTTAGGAAACCCCTGCTGGCGTGCTTTTTGGAACTGAACGGACCTTAGGGATTAGTTAATAATCTCTACTGCTCTAGGTACGAGAAGAAAAGTGTATATTATAGATTGTCTGACTTGTCGTATGCTGTTTAGATAGCGGCACGGTACATTATATGCCCAAAGGGCGCTCTGGTTGATCGGGCTTAGTTAGTTAGATAGCTAGGCTCCTGTGTCAGAGCCCTCCCGGATAGGGGCTAGTAAGAGGTAGTAAGGAGTCCAAGCAACAAAGGAACAGCTCAGATATATATACAGCGCAGGGAGTACACGTCGAGGGAGGAGCAGACTTCAGTAATTCATCATTCTACCCCTAACTGCAGTTGGCCTCTGAGAGCTTCCACCCTGCGTCAACATCCCAACTTGACATCCTGTCCCTGATGATGTTAAATACTACTACTACTACTACTACTACTACTACTACTACTACTACTACTACTACTACTACTACTACTACTACTACTACTGCTTAATAAAGCCTTTAAGCTCTGCAAAGAACTCCTTAATGGGATTCGAGTTGGGTAAGTATGGCGGCAAGTATAGTAATACTATACTAGTATCGTTGCACATCTGTTGGATCTTCGTAGTGTAATGAATCGAGGCGTTGTCCATTACGAGCACTGACTTAGGCTCAGGGAATCGCCCGTAGTACGGAAGCAACGCCTCGATAAAGTGCTCGAATACCTCGCTATCGGTATAGCCCTGAAATAGCTGCGAATATAGAACGCCATCTTAGGTATATGCCGGAAGCACCTGGTACCGCTGGCCACGATAGAACTTCGCAGTCTGCGTGGGTATCGACCCTAGAGGAGACCAACCCGTACGTCGAAAACCGTAACGCCTGTTACAACCCGACTCGTTAACGTAGACTAGATGGTACGACCGAAAAGCCGACAGCTTATATAGGTAATAGTCACGCAAGTCTGCATTCCGTTCCCGAGCGATACATTGCGCCGTTTTCTTCGTCCAGCCAGCCCTCCTTAGAGTTCTACTAATGGTAGACGTTGTCACCATGGTATCAAACTCGTCGAAAAGAAATACTACCATCTCTTGTAGGTATATATCCGGTTTCTCTATCAGCCGATCGCATAACGCACTGAATATGGAAAGGGTGATATCTCTAGGCCGGCCGGCGAAGCAGTTTAGCCTTTGACAGATGCGTCGCACGGCACGGGTACTATATCTCGCGGCCATTACGATTTCAGCTTAGTAAAGCTGCCGCTTATTAGCATATCACGGATCAAGTCGTGCTGCAATTGCGCGAGAATCGGCGTCATCGTTGATGATAGAAATAGGTGAACTGAGCCACCGTTAACGATGGAATGGGTGTGATGAAGGAAGGCCGCAAGGGACACGTGGATTTAGGTCATTTCGGCTAAAGCTCGGCTGTACTCACCATGGAAACCTTAATATCTACACCACACGATTTCGCTGCTCAATGCATGGGTATTGGCGCCATTGCGACCGCAGAACACGAAGCATTGTCAAACCCGCTCGTTCGCGGCGTCGATACATGGGCATACTCTTTGTGAACGAGTGGCCGCGTCGACTCGGCACTCCGGCGTCCTTCCCGCTGGCCGCCCGGCTTCTTCCGGAGGCGAAGGTAAGGAACGCGAACAACTGCTCGTCGGGGGAAAGCTCCTTGCTAATGATTGCAGATGAACCATCAAGACGCTTCTGGTTTGGTGTCATCATTCGATAAACGATAAGTCAACCGTATACAGCATCGCTTGACTTCGCGAGCATAGCATCGAAAAAACGGTACAAGCCAGTAGGCCGTCCGGACCACCGACTACCGATCGACTCCCACGCAAGAACAGAATATGTCGAACGATCCCTATACTCAAGGCGAACAATACCGAGACGTTTTCTAGCTTTCGATCGTCAAGCTAGAGTACGAATATCGTGCGCCATCTCGCCTCGTAACCCTGCTAGAGATCTCCAGGAACATGATACTCTTATGGTCTCTAACGAGACGTCGGGCATCTTTCTTGGCTAGAATCAATAACAAAAAGCACTGAGATATGGGTCGATTAATAGACGGAGGGCTCGCTCAACACTTAAAAGGCAAGTGTTCACGCATCGCTCTCCGCCAACATAGGTCTTCGAGGAGCCCGAAGTAAGATTCGCGCTCGACGTAGGTGCGCTCGACGCGGAATAGCGCCATCGAGGATGCACCGAAGCAGATCGCTGCTCCAAACGAGGTATGCGGTAGAAGTATCACCAGTGCCATAAGCTGCTTATCAAAATGCTTGCCTTACGAATGGAATGACGGCTCTGATAAAGTAATATGTCTCTAACGCGGTGCATAAGTGGGAGGAAGCCGAATGTCGCTGACGCTGTTGGCTGTAAATGCACACAGTCAGCTTATTTTGGCTCGCGTCATGTTGGCTATCTAATATGAAAGCCAGCTATCAGCGATTTGGTCAATAAGCCATTTCGGGCTCCCATGAACAGCTGTAGCGTGGTCTCTCTCAAGATACCCCTGCTTTCTGCCATGTACCTAATCCATGGAAGGTCTGTGCTCAACAGACAAACTATACTTGCGAAGGGGACACCGGTTTTGCGAACCTCTGTACACATACATCTCATAACTTCACGGCGTGTCCCGAGCCCATCCTCTATCCTTACCGGAGGCTCCGGTCCATCATCAGAAATCACAAGATGCAAAGGGATCAACGTCGGATTAAGGACTATATTACCGAGTGATCTGCGGTGCCATTTATCCAGATCGGCCCAAGCAGGTGAAGTTTCCCGTCGGCCTCCCACCTAATCAAAATTCCTTCAAGGCCAATGTCTAGTCTCAGAAACCTTAAAAATGGCCGCCGGACTTGTACGGACATCGAGATGCGGAGTCTTCCGGCCCCGTGCGCCGATTTACAGATGCATAACGGTATAACCAGCAGGGGTACACCTTTCCCACCAGGGCGAGTCGAGACAGAGTTTCTACAGATTGAGTAGTTTTTCCAACTTCAGAGGCTGAGCATTGGATTGCCAAGACTAAAGACGAACCACGTTAATTGTATTCATCATATGAACACCGTCTTTAAGCAATTAGACTTACTCGTGGTGGCTGTTTTCTGCCCGGGTAAGCTGTGTAAAGTCCGCGATGTATGCGCTGTATTGGCGCGTATAACAGCGTGTATAAATCCATACGGGTCTGTAAAGAAGATATAAAGGAGCAACTATACCTCCTCATTCTTTAGCCTGGGTGTCTTTCAAATCATCGACTCAAGCTCTACACTCACTCAGCCCACTTACAACCATCCACAAACGCCCATCGCTTCCAACTTAGTATCTCTACTCAACTCACACCAAACTTTACCACCGTTCGACACAATGCAGTTCTACATCATCTCCCTCCTCTCACTCTCCGCCCTCGCCCTCGCCCTCGCAGCGCCTCAAGCCAACGTCGCGCCTACGTGCGGAAGTGACGGCGACTGCACTAGCTTCTGCAGCGGAGGACCATGCACCAAGCCGTTCTGCGGACTCTCTGCTTTTGGGTACGTTACGAAGAAGGAGCAAACTCTCCCTCGCCCTTGTGGAAACTTGGAGAAAAGCCTCGGTGCTAACATTGTGGAATTTAGTGACGACCGCTGCTTCTGCGGTGGATGCTAGATGGCATGACTACATCTACCTTCGGTCGCGAGAGAGTCTATGCGCCGAGGGTTTGTGCCGGAATTTCAAGGAGGTGCGACTATTGTACATATTCACGGCCATGGTCAAGCGGGTGCAAGGATGGGCTGCGAAGCCAGTGATACTTGGAGGGCGCGCATTGGCACGCGAGGATTCCGTGCTTGAGAGCAACAGACCAAGGGCTCATAGACGACGTCTGTTTTGAAAATTGCAGCGATTTTTCTGTTATCAAGCTCCCTTTTTGAGCGAGAATTGAGAGTGACTGAAAAAGAAGAAAAAGCCAGCTAGAGGTCTTGTAATGTTGGCTGCACCAGCTCAGAGCCAATACTTTTCTTGGAGTTGAGGTTGTGCAGTCCATCGTGGATTTTGACCATGCTTTAAATAGTTTTAGTTTTTTCTGCTCCAGGGCACCTGGCAGTTCTAGGGTACCTAGCAAGCCGCCAATACGGTACTGCCTGACGTTGGACGCACTCCGAGGGTCACAGCTGACAAAGCCCCGCCGGGTAAAGCCCGGGCGACTCCCACAGCTCAAGGTCGAATCAATTGAGTCTTCTCCTTGAGCTTCCCAACATCGTTCGACATCTATGCAAAAGCTCAAGCAACAGTTGCTCTCATCCATAAAAGTCCTTTGCATCGAGTGACAAGATGGATACGCTCTCGTGGATGTTCCTGGCTTTTGCCGTTTTCATGATCGCAAGAGTACGTACCCCACATCCAGTCCCTGACTCCCGGAATGGCGCCTGTCTCTCCTCTGCGTGAGAGGTCGTTGGTGACGCTCATCTTCGGACATGACTTCAACGCTGCTAACCAATCACAACCCCTTTAGACACTCTTCGCAGACCGCTCACCCATCCCCGAGACATCAGGCAAAGTCTACAAAGTCGCCAGCGCCGGCGAGCTAGACGCCCTCCTCGCCTCAACCACTAACGTCGTCGTCGACTTTTACGCAGACTGGTGCCCGCCCTGCCGCGCCATCGCGCCCGTCTTCTCCGGCCTGGCCGACAAGCACGCCGCGGAGGGGAAGCTTGCTTTCGCCAAGGTCAACGTCGATAACGTCAACAACGTCGCCGGCCGCTACGGCGTGTCTGCCATGCCGACGTTCATGTTCTTTCAGAAGGGGAAGCCTACTGGTGTGGCTGCCAAGGGGGTGACGCCGCGTCAGTCGGTTATCTTCACTGAGGATGGGCGGGTTGATAAGATTCGGGGTGCGGATCGGGCTGCGTTGCAGGCTGTTGTGCAGGCGCTGGCTGGTGAGGGAGAGGACGCGAAGAAGGAGTGATGGGATGCTAGGATTGGCGTGTCGCCCTTGGGGAGAATACCTCGTGCTCCAGTTGAGGATAGGAACAGCTAAAATTTATTGATCAGAACCTAAGGAGCATTGTGAACGGAACATCCCGGAAAGGTCCTTGACGATGGCTAGTATTTCGAGTCTCGGGAGCGAACTCACAAGTTCGGCACTCATATCCTCCTGTTCAAGATTCATTCATCAATCCAAAGATGACAGAGCACCCAGGTACCCTAGAGTGGATGCCCGTCGGGTTTTCCAACTCCCGCTCAGGGGTGTAGACGGCAGAACCGGTAAAATGGGTTGTCAGTGGAATGCCCAGTAATCTAATTCGCGAGGCAGTCAAATCAACAAGGGTGAAGTGGGACGACCACGCGGGCTAGGCAGCTTTCAGCATCGCTTGTGCTGACATGTTTGTCTGCTAGAACCTCACTAAGATAACCAACTAACGTTCCTTGATGTTGCCTGGAACAGCACTCTTTCATCTTCCAAGTGGGAAAAGGACGCCACTGTGTTTGAATTCATCGTGAATCAGCTTCGCGGCATCGACGGCAGACCAACCCATCACGATGGCCACTTCTCGCCCCACCAAAGTCCTGAGCGTCGGCCTTCCTCGCACAGGGTCCTATTCCATGATGCTCGCCCTCACCGAGCTGGGCTTCAAGGACGTCTATCACGGCCTCAACGCCATCGACAGTCCCAACGACTGGCGCTTCTTCGGTCGTGCCTCAGACGCCCTATTCCCGTCATTACCTTTCTACACCGGCAAGGGCATGACCGCCGCCGACTGGGACCACGTCTTTGGACCCTGCGAGGGCATCACCGACATCGCAGCCCCCTTCACACCATCACTCATCGATGCGTACCCAGAAGCCAAACTCGTTCTCGTCATCCGAGATTATGAGAAGTGGCGGGTATCGATGAAAGAGGTGCTCTCTGGAATCTTTGGGCCCCTGACCTGTTTCATCCGAGACTAGGTCGAGCCCATGATGGGCGCCGACAGCACGGGGAACATCCAGAAGATGATGCTGGGCTGGGTGGGAGGTAGCAACGTTCCCGAATTAGAATCGAAGCTCGGCGAGATCTATGAGCGCCATCACGAGCATATTCTCAAGACGGTCCCCAAGGAGAGACTGCTGGTGTACAAGCTTGGTGAGGGCTGGGGCCCCTTGTGCGAGTTCCTTGAGATGCCTGTGCTGGAGAGGCTTTTCCCACAAGGCAACGAAGCGGCAGCACTCAGAAGCAAGATCTTTGATAAGCAGAAACGAGTTCTTCTGGAAGCCGGAGCGCGCTTCGCGCCGTGGCTTGTTGGCGCAGGGGCTGTCGCGGAAGGGCTTTGGTATACTCTGTCCATGTAGTTTGGCTAAGCGAGAGACGGTGTGTATGTTGGATCGTACAGCCTCGGTTTGCTTCACACTCTGCCGTCGATATCGCGCCTTTTCATGAGCCTCTTTACTGAGAAATGGTTGGCTATATCTCGTAGGAATCCGACAGGAGGTTCAACGTCACTCAGCAGCTCCTCGTATGCGGTTATCCGAGGGGCATCCCAAACGAGGTCGACCTCGTCCGGCCGCAGAGTCTTTGTGTGCTTGTAGTATTTCCAGAAGCAGAACAACAGAGGTGCGAGAAGAACCATAGTGTAGTGGATGAAGAACGAAGTAGGATCGAACGGGCTGAGCGAACGGTATCCGTAGCAAATAACGACACAGCTCATCCAGACCAGTCCAATGTACGCGCTATACGGCTGGAATTGACCGATATAGGGGAGACGAGAGCGATCAAAGTTGTGAGTCTTGCAGGCCCTGTGGAAGCAGATATACGTGACGCAGATGACAATGTAGTCGATTAAAGTCGCCGCGGTCGTTAGGGAAATCAACCAGTCGAGTACCTTTGCCGAAGAGCTCGAAAGCTGCAGCAACGAGAAAAGGGGAAACACCATAACCACCGCAAGGCAGTTGATAGGGGCACCCTTCTTCGTCGTCTTTGTCAGGAAGTGCGGTGCCCTCCCCTCGAGTGCTAGACCATAGAGCGTCCTTGTCGAACAATAAGTGTAGGCACTGCCGGCCGAGAAGATAGTGGTTGCCAAGAAGAAAGTGACAACATGTGGCAAGACGTCGATCCCGAGGTTGCCCATGGCGATGATATACGGCGATGCAGCCGCGCTGCCCGTAGAGCCCCCATTGCCGGTGTATATTGCGACGAGAGTCGGATCCGTGTGGCTGACAACAATACCAGCGGCCAGGGCACTTCCGACAAAGAAGATCCAGATGCGCCAGTAGACTGCTTTGAAGGCCGTTTTGACGTAGATACGGGGATGTTTGGCTTCGGCGGCCATCATGGAGACGTACTCGGGTCCGACGCAGGTGAAGGATGCGGTCCAGAGAGCGGATAGGAAGCCTTCGAACTTCCCGAGGGAACCGGTGTTAATGTCCTCGGCGAAGTAGCCGGCGGACCAGGCTCGGAATCCGTAGGCATCGTGCTGTGGGTTACCTCCTGCCATTGTGACTAGGGTAAAGGCGAGAAGCATCGCGAGGAGAATTACTTTGCCGCTTGAGAGGTAGAACTCAGCCTCTCCATAAACCCCGACGGCAAAGATATTGATGAGTCTAAATGGGAAGTAAAGTTAACTTTGATCTACTTCCCTGAGCTTCGATTGACATTGGAAGGGTATACAACGAGCCTCTAGCAAATGTTGACACGTACCCATAGAGAAAAATGCATCCCAAACAAATGGCATAGACTGGGATCCTGTCATTCCAGTATGATATCACCAGCGTCAAAGCCACAATCTCAAACGGGATAAGGAAGACTTGGTAAAAGAAGAAGTTCCAGCCAGCCATGAAGCCGAACGCATCGTCGACCCATTTCCCCGCAAGTCTGACGAAGCCGCCGCTGACAGGCATGTAGACAGACATCTCGGCCATGCAGTTGTTGCAAAGCGAGAGTACGATCGTATAGATGACAAACGCCAGCAGAAGGCTGCCCGGCCCAGAGCGCTGAAGGGCACCCCCCATGCTGACGAAGACGGCTGTGCCTATGGAGCCCCCGATCGCGACGAGCTGGACCTGGCGGTTGCTGAGACGGCGGTGGAGGCCATCGGTGACCACAGGTACTTCTTCGGTCTCGATGCGTCGAGTGGAGGTGTTTGAAGGATCTTCGATTGAGGGCTTGGAGGTTACCGTTTGCCCGACGATTGGTTTGGTCCAGTGCGTTGGAGGGGTTGACATGGCGGATGTAGGTAAGGTTAGCATTGGTATGGTATTAATTACTGAGATGTTGAAACAGGAAGGAAAATAAGGGGAATCTTTGCGGGGCAGAATTTTCTCGTGGTCAAGCCATAGAACCAGCAAGGTGCTTGGCTGCTCTTAGAGTTGTAGGTATTGTCGCTCAGGGGTGAGTATTTATATTCGTATACTCATGGATGGCCCAAAACCTTACCGTGAAGGGTGCCCATATTACAAACAGCCTGCAGAACTCGAAGGCGAGGTGGAAGGTGCATTATCTGGTGCCGAGAGGGAGTCTTGTCCAGAATTAATATCTCCGCGGCGGCCCATACTTTCCAAAAGTGTAAGTGTCTCGAGCACTGGAGGACTTTGGGAAGCCGATACCTCGTAATTTGATGCCCTCTGTCCCAATCCATATTATTTCAGCCTCTCTTAGCCCATGATGACTTTTCAGTGCTGTTCTCATCAAGTAAACGCCACGACCTTGTCTCTGTAAGGCTGAATTTCCACTGCTTGGCCGACAAGAAGCAAATAGACACGAGGACATAAACCAACGACTTGGGTGTCGTGATGAAATCGCCAATCCTTCCGTACATGAGGGTCCAATCATCGTATGACACACCGGGCGGTCGAGTGTATTCTTTCTCGATCTCCTTCTCGTCGGTCTCCGTCGTGTGAAAAAGCCATTTGCAAGCTCTCAGCCGGATTCAATCGTTTGGAACTCTTGCATTGACGCGCACACATGGGTAACTGTGAGAATGTCACGCAGCAGCTCAGGAGCTGAAGACTGATGACGAGCTGTTAAGAGCTTATTATGCTCGGTTTTGGATATCGTATTGCAATCGGTTACGTGAAAGCCTCTGATCTGTCTATTTATGATGGTGCGGGATGTGAGGCCCGATTCAATGCATATGAAATCTCAGAAAGCTAACCATGTCATCCACACCCTGCGGCTCGTTGACCCAGTGACCTCCTGATTGATATTCATGCCATTCCACTGTACACGCACTGGCGAATGAATCAAGAGTCGTCCGCAACTGCCGACCAAGTTTGATATTGATGACTTCATCGTCCACGGCGTGAGCGAGGAAAATAGGAGTTTTGGCCATTGGTTCTGTGCCGCTTGTTCTGCGATATGTTGAACTCTCCTCCGCCAACTCATTGATGACCTCAGGCGGTGGCATCCAGCTGCACAAACCGACCAGCCCACCCAATTTGGCTATTCTTGGCGTGGTCAGAAAAGCACTTATGGAGGTTGCAAATCCTTGGCTGATGCCGCCTAGGAATATTTTGTCCATCGGAACCAAGGCGGATTCGCTCTCGACAAGGTTGACGAGGTATTCGATACTTCGTCTCAGGCCGGCTTCTTGGATACCAGCTTGTTCTTCTGGGTTCTCCAACGACCAGACATCGAACCACTGTGACATCTCGGTACCAAACCTCTTGGATGGAAGCAGCGCGGCCCCGGGAAAGACCCACCGAATGGACGGCAGTAGGTCTGGAAGAGTGCGTGGCTGGTTTGCTGGCTTTGATGCTTCGCTCTCCAAAAGCTCGTCTGCGAACTCGTCGCAGATGCTGTCTCTGCCGTGGAGAAAAACGACTGTGTGGGTGTGCGCCGCCCGAGGTTCAATGCAGTGCGTGGTAAATTCCATATTGATGATGTCTTGTAAGGTTTTCGTGGTGGAGCTGTGGGGGATGAGTCAGGAACAGGCGGCGGTATTAATCAGGTGTGAGAAGGAATGTCGGTTGGGGGGCTCCGAAGGCGGCACACATTTACCTATTAGTGAGGAGTATGTTTGTTTGGTGGTGGATTGTGCGATTGTTTTGTCTGAGTACCTTATGATGGAGTTTCTGTGTGGCATGTGATGAGGATGGAAAGAATCTTGCGAGCTCTGAATAGCAAGATATTGGCCCTTTTGGCCCTTTCTCCGGAAGCCTCTGTGTTGCCGTTAGATTTTAGAACCTCTGCGGTTTAGGGCCGCCTTTGACCTTTCCGGCCGACTTTTACGGTCGATCTTTCCGGCCGACTTGCTCGGATCTACTCAGTGCCATTTTCAACCTTACGCGCCCGTATTAATGGAAGAACTTCGCGACTTGAAACCGTACCAAACTCACGGAATTTGATGTTGCTCGAAGAGGATACGCTAGTTGAGTATATTCTCGACCTGGATTCCCGATTATTCCCTCCTCGGATCAGTGGTGTAGAAGAAATGGCTAATCGACTGCTCGCCGACCGCGACGCGCCCCCAGTTGGGAAGCGCTGGGCTTCGAACTTCGTCAAGCGACACCCACAGCTCCGGACGCGCTTTTTTCGCAAGTATGACTACAAGAGGGCCCAATGCGAAGATCCAGACGCGATAAACGCGTGGTTTCGCCTTATAGCGAACACAATCGCGAAGTACGGCATCGTGGACTCCGATATCTACAACTTTGATGAGACTGGGTTTATGATGGGCCAGATTACATCCGGAATGGTTGTCACGAGTGCTGAAAGGCGTTCAAACACGAAAATGACGCAGCCTGGCAATCGTGAATGGGTTACAGTCATTCAAGCCATCAGTTCGTCAGGCTACAGCGTTCCGCCGTACATCATCGTCGCAGGCCAATATCACCTCTCCACCTGGTACACAGAAACAGGTCTCCCACGCGACTGGGTCATTGCAACGTCTGAAAACGGATGGACAACAAATGAAAGAGGCCTAGACTGGCTCCAGTACTTTGATCGGTATACAAAACCGCGTGTAACTGGTAGATATCGCCTCCTCGTCGTTGATGGGCATGAAAGTCACCACTCTGCGGACTTTGAGATATATTGCAAGGAAAACAATATCATCACACTCTGCATGCCGGCCCATTCGTCTCATCTACTTCAGCCCTTAGACGTTGGGTGTTTTGGGCCACTAAAGACGGCTTATGGTCGACAAATTGAGGATAAGATGCGCCGGGGTAATATGCATATTACGAAGGAGGACTTCTTCCCTGCATTTCGCAACGCTTTCACGCAAGCCCTAACGGTAAAAAACATCCAGGGAGGTTTTAGAGGGGCTGGGCTTGTTCCGTTAAGTGCTGAAAGTGTGCTTTCGAAGCTGGATGTGAAGTTACATACTCCAACGCCCCCAGGGTCTCTCCCAGCAACACCCCCAGCGTGGACTTCTCAGACACCAAACAACCCAACAGAGGCAAATTCTCAGTCAACTTTGATTAAAGATCGAATCTTAAATCATCCAAATAGCTCGCCAACACCAGCTAGTAACGTAGTTAACTATATCCTCAAAGGGACACTAGCTATGATGTATCGTAATGCTCTTCTAGAGGCTGAGAATAAAACCCTTCGGGAGGAGAATAATCTACTTAGCCGACGGCGGAGATCTAAGAAAACTCGTCTCAGGCAAGGAGGGAGCCTTACTATAGCTGAGGCAGATGACCTTCAATCACAGAGAGAGGCTACAGCTTAGATTGAGGAGGAAACGCGCCGGAGTAGTGGCCGTCGGCCGAGGACGGAAACAGGTCAACGGCGATGTGGCGTCTGCGGGAACACTGGACACAATGCGCGCACATGTCCATTTCAGAGAGAAATGTCTAGAGAAGAGAATTATGGGTAGTTTCAATTAATTAAACTTTGTTGATGTTGATCAAGATTTACATACGTGGAGTGGTTGCTGTCGAGCGATCCGCTCGCTTGTCCGATCCGCTCGCTTATCATGCACGTTAACAACTTGCTTGTTAAGAAATAGGGTCTGCACATTGCAGAACCCCTTCAGGCCATTTGCGCCCCACTCGGTTCCGATGCTACTCTCCTTGTGCCCTCCGAACGGAGCGAGGGGTGAGAGATCGAAATGTGTGTTGATCCAGACATTCCCGGCTTGAATTTGTCTAGCAACTCTTGCTGCTTTATCCAGATTATTCGACCAGACAGATGCTCCAAGACCCATCGAGGTATCATTGGCTCGGGAAATGACCTCGTCTTCGTTGCTCCAGGATAGAAGGGGAACAATAGGTCCTATTCGAGATGTGTCAGAGATCCAAGATATATGCAGCAGGACGTTACTTGGAGGACTTACCAAAAGGCTCCTCGACAACCAGACGAGACTTCTCGGGAGGCCGATCGATGATGGTAGGAGTTATGAAATAGCCTTGGGACTTCTCGATGTTGCCCCCAGCGGCAACTTTCCATCCTTGAGACTCAATATCCGAAAAGAATGTCTTGACTCGTTCATACTGCATTGAGTTCTGTAGAGGACCGTGTGTTACCCCGGGTTGCGAGCCATCACCAAGGTTATACTATACCCCTTGACGTGCTTCACTAAAGCCTCCTTGAATCGATCAAAGATGGACTCATGCACATAGATACGTTTGAGATTGAGGCAGATCTGATCGAAGTGTATCGGTGAGTACATGTAGTCTTGACGATATGAAAATGAAACGGAACGGGAAAAATAATACCTGGCCGGAGTTGAGAAAGGCGAAGAATGCCACCTGTGTTACTTTAGTAAACGCGAGCTTATAGAACCTTCAGGTTGAACCCACCTTTTCAGCGACCTTGTCAACATCTACGTCCGGGAACACGATGGCGGGATCGTTTCCTCCCCTTCCGGCGTTAGTCTTTGCCTCGATAGAACAGATCTCATGGTACACTCACAACTCCAATGTGACCCTTTTCAAAGTTTTGCTAGCACTCTGCATCACCAGTTTTCCGGTCGCTGTGGATCCAGTGAAGCTGATTTTATCAATACCCGGGTGACTTTTCAACCAAGGGCCAAGGTCATCGTCTCCGCTCAACGACTGCGTGTTCTAGATTCTTGATCCTGCACTTTCCCCGAAGTTTCTTTTTCTCAGCTCCATCAGGCATGAAGCAAGTGAAGCGAACGATGAAGGTTTGTCTCGCAAACCATCAACAATTGTGGTGAAGGAAGGTGTAGTTGGACGCCACTTGGTGAATGATCGAGAGTATGTTGGCCATATTCGCCAGAGTTGGAGGGACGACCCCAGGTCGACATCATGTATAGTCTTGTCGTCATGGTGAACAAGCCTCGCCATAGTAGGTGCCGGTATAAATATATCATTTTCGCTTCGTTATTTGGTGCTTGCTTGCCTAAGTCGCCCATTCGTTCAAGTCTAACCCATGAGATCTCTGCTACATCTTGAACTTTGATGCGTAGTAGGAGATACTCGTGTTGCAGGGTGCCATGCTCGCTGTTCCATATGACGCGGGTAACGGATCCAGGTGTCTGATGGCTGACAATGTGGCGGATGATGCCCAGACCTCCTATTCCCAACATCCCTTCCTTCTCCAGTTGTGTCTGCAGCGCTGAAACTTCAACCATAAAGAGTGAGAACTGGGGGGTTTTGACAGAATTTCTAACCGTTTTAACTAACCTGTGACACCTTGGGGAGTCGTGGGGCCTCGACTTTGTGACGCACCCATGATTTGCTCGGAAACTTGGAACTCTTTCAGGGTACAGTGATGAGTAAGAACAAAACCGGCGATAAGTGAAGTGTGTACAGTGTATCACAATCCATGAGTTTCTCGGAGTGCTTCGAATCGGTTTAAATGCAAGTGAATTTATGTTGCGATGGTCTGCGCCTCTATGATCTCAGAACGGCACTGCCCCATCTCGGCGTTTTTGCTCAGTCGAATTTAGTGTAGTTGAATAAGGCAACCAAGACTAAAAGTGAAGGTAACGAACCCGGAGATCGCTAGCTCGTGATGCGATGACCCGTGATGCGGTGGCTTGTTGAGCTTGACATAAAGAGGCAGTGTCCGGCGTCACATTTAAAGTCATGGGCCATGCTTCTACACTCTTATCCACCACACCACCTCTTCATTTCTCAGGCTTCCGCGCGCTTTAGCTGCAAACTGGTCCCAGGCTGAGATTTTTTTTGTTGGGGTCACGATGGCTACGAAATCAGCGCCGCGATCCCCAACCAGCGGCCAAAGGCCATCAAGCGTGTTGGGAGCGACAGGCACCTATCAGGAAACCCCGCATGCTAGTGTGTCACGACCACATAGCCCACCATTCTCTGCCTACCTTCAGCTCGTCGCTTTTACTGCCACCATCACGGTTTCCGTTTCCATCTCGGCTAGCCAAGGATTTGCTACGGGAGGCAACTTCTTCGGTGTTCCCCTGACTAATGAGACTGATCCAACCATAACGACCGCCATTCGAGCCACTGCAGACGCTGCGTATTGGCTTTCATGGGCAGCAGCAGCATCTTCGGTCTCATTGATGATCGCACTCATGTTACAGCTGATGCAAACAGATGAGATGTTTCTGGATGCTCTAGAAAGGACAGAAGGGGGCCAGAGTCTGAACCTCCCAAGAGTAGTTGTGGGATCTGGGAGCTGGGTCGCTCTCTTGTTGCAAGCAAGCGCATTAGCCTTTATAGGGCAAGCTCTGAGGGCAATTAACAACAATAGTGGGAGTATGATACAGGCAAGTACCCTCTCTTGTGAAGTTCCAGGTGCATAGTAATTCTGATTGCGTTTTAGTGGGCATTACTTGCCGTGGGGACAATTTTCGTGTTCTTTTACCTACACACCATCAAGTTCTGGAAGACGGTCAAGAAGTTCATTTCAGGATATCAGACTTGAAGCGGCAGGAATTGTTCTTGTCTTGAAGTCAAAGCTTTATTTTCAAATGGTTCAAGAGGGAAACTGCATCGAGGATTGTAGAGGATGACGTTGGAATATTGACGGCAGAAAGGTGGATTTGGAAGGTGGTCTGGGCCGTGCAAATGGCCCTTCCACCAGGTATTTATACCCAACGGAACTCTTTGTCCCAAGGCCAACTCTAGTCCTCTCGTCGGAGACCCCATCTTCAGTTTCGCTCAGTCCCGGTGGAGATCAAGGCCTACTATAAGTATAGGAGATGGCTAAAGCATGGCGTTGGCAAATGATGATCTCTCTGCGGTGAGGTTTGACACTCCTTGCATTTCATTCTTGTTCGACTTGGCAGCTAGCGGTGGTATATCAGCGAGCATGACTTGCAATTAGGTGAAGAAGACTTGCGACCTGGTTCATTCATGTGCAATCTGTCTCCAGGATTTATACTTGGCCGTGAATTTTGAAACAAAATTAATTACTCTGGCAGGCTATCCACATGGTGCGAGACTCGAGAGGATTGGATACCAACTACTCTCGTTTGATATCTTAGTCAAGAATCAGCAGAAGACTTAAGTAAGGCCCCACAGGGGAGAGGGCGACACTGAGCAAGATATTCAGAGTTCCAACTACATTTTCGGGCAGCACCGAGGAACGGCTATGTACGGCGATAACCAATGTTTTTTACGGGCCTCTCAAGATCTCAGCTACTAGAGGAAGATCTCAACCAGTTGTGCAATACCTTACTAGGTGGCTATAAAGCGGATCGATGGGATTTGAAAGTTGAAACGCCATGTCCGGCAAAGCATCAAGGTTTACAGTTGCTAAGCATTTGAAAGCTTTTGTTTCCTAGCTTCAGCTAGGATCTTCCAGGCCTGGCTCAAGACTGTGCCAGGTCAGCATACAGTCGTATACTCAGACGGCTCCAAAGCTCCTGACGGAGCTACAGGGTACGGCTTTGTTATCTACCGCAACAATAAACGTATAGCCCAGGGCTGCGGCCGTCTCGGCTTAGCAGAAGTGTTTGATGGTGAGGCGGAGGGGGCGAGGGCTGGGCTCCGACGGGCCCTTCAGACCTCCCAAGGCCAGCCTATACATATCTGCATCGACAATACCAGCGTTATTCAGGGGATTCGCGGTAAGATCCCAGACTCCTCACAAGCGGCCTTCCTTGAGATCCAGGAGGTAGCTAGGATACACGATATACAAACCCATTGGTCTCCTGGGCACCAAGGTATTAAAGGAAACGAAGAAGCAGACAGCCTAGCTAAGGAGGGAACAACTCTACCAGTCCTTAGGGGCCAACTAGCTACTCTATCAGGTATCAAGTGGCTTGCTAAAGAGCGGCCAAGACGCCAATATAGACGATGGTGGAAACAAGAGGCAACTCCCCGCTATACCCAACTAGGGCTCAAGGCTACCCTTGCTTGCCCTCCTGAACTTGGCCTCCCTAGGGCTGCCCTTCATCACCTCCTCGCGGCACGGTCAGGCCACGGGGACTTTAAACAATATCACCAACGCTTTAACCACACAGAAGCACTACTCACCTGCTCCTGTGGATGGGTTAAGGAGGCAGACCATCTAGTCTACTGCCGAAAGACCCTACTGAGGAGGCAACAGTGGCCCACCCTCTACCCCTACAGCCGCCAGGAGCCCGTAGGACCTATAGGGTCCCTCGATCGCTACTTCAAGGGGCTAATCACTGACTCTGAAGGCTTCCAGGCCTTCCTCTGCGTGACAGACTTCTTCCAGAAGATCTGCCCGCGGTACTAGGAGATAGGTCATAACCTATCCTCCAAACGACAGACTACCTCTAATAAGAAACCAGATGGTTATAACGGAACTAGGGCACCAGTGGGAACTAGGGATGGATAGAACACATAGTAGCTCACGAGCAAGATTTGGAGGACGTCAGGAGACGGCGTGTACTATATAGTATATAGCTAGAGCCTGCGACCCTTCACGCCACATACCCTTCGGGAGGTCTGCCGCAAGGGCGGCTGCGCCCTTGCCGCCATGGCGTTAAATAGAACAACAAAAAATTTCCTAGCTTCAGGCTCAGTATGAGAAATCGACTTGTCTCGTAAATGTCCTTCGCCGTCTCAATCTCATCACTTGCGTTCCAGAACGCCACCTACTTGTCAATCTTTGAGTTGTCTGACACGGCGATAAGAACTGCGCTTGACCTCTGATACCTCTCCTTTGTTGTAAATTGTTCCCGGCGGGTGATTCTCACTGCCGTGATTGAGGAGCTTAGCATAACCCCATCGAGGGCCGGGCTAGATTCACGATGTCACCCCCATCACAGCGGCCTCCTGCGTGGAGCGTGAATCGAATAGGGCTGGGTGAATAAGTGATGTGGTCCTAGAGTCCGAGGCTTCGGGTCTTGAAATCTACGATAGAACACTATTGGAATTTTCTTCACGCCTCGGTTCCGGCGAACCAGCGGTCAGCTGAACCTCAGCCCCAAGCCATGTCTTGGCTAGAATTTACCGAGCCATGCTGCCTACATGTACCTATTTTACCAGATTGGGCCGAACACTTCTCGTTCCTTCAAGATTTGGACTCTTTCTCTTCATCTTACGCCAAGACATGGTAATGTGAAGGAGGCTGCAGGAACCAGTCATGTCAGGCGCCAAATTCCTCGTCTCTTCAGCCTCAAGACACTAAGCGCCTATGCCTCCCTCCTAGCCTCCCTCTCTCGACGCAGAGACGTATGTGATTGAGAGGCAGGAGGAGCCAACCGAATGGCATACCAAGTATGTAATACGCCAAAATGCCAAGATTCTGGCTTGTGGACCAAGACGCCTTGTTTCACCACTCGAAATCAAGATATCCCTTGCAAGAAATCGCATGCAGCAAGCCATGATTCGCAGTCGAATCCTTATTCAGTGTTCAAGTTGGTATCAAGGCTGATTGGTGCAGGTTAGAGATAGCCTGCGGACAAAGTCGTTCAGAACCGCCTTTGCTATGATACGAGACCTGCTATCTCTTCCTTGCCGACATGGTATGGAGTGATTGACTACATGAAACCCGGATACCCCGAAGAATTTCAGGACGAAGACTGGCTACTCTCATTACGCTTGAAAGATTACACCAAAGCGGAATCCCTTCCTGCTAACGGCGGTCGGTTTCCCTGTGTCCCCCGCTTTGGAAGTTGCGTCAAAAGCAAAAGACTTAACTTATTTCCCCAGCATCGTGTTCCTACTTTAGAGCATCATAGGTCTAAACGATATCTTCCAACACTTTGACGAGTTCGAGTACACTGCCCGGATTAAATCAAGCACAGACGAAGAGCTTGAACAGAGAGAGGTCGTCAAGACCCGTCAAAAGATCGCGGCATGCTTCAGCGGAGGAACATACCTGGGAATGGCCATCCCGACTTGCGGCGCATCGTTGATCATGGCTCTATTAACAGCTCGTAAATACTACATCTCCAGGCAGAAGCTCAAGATCGTGCAAGCCGAGCTAGAGCGCCGCAAGATAATACCCCTGTATGAAGCCCGGAAACGCGACGTCGCCATATCCGCCATCACCGGAACCATCGGTCTCGCAGTCGGCATGGCGACACTCGGTTCTACCGATTGCCTAACGGACGGACTCATGTTCACGCCGTTGAGGAATTCGGGAGCTTCGGGGGCTTCAGCCATCGGTGCTTTGTCTGCGGACCCCGTCGGTACGGTAGGCGACGCCATCCAGGGGGCGGCCGCGCAGTTCCAGGAGGTCGGCACCAATATCACGGGGGACACCATGGGCCAGATTATCCTGCCGGATGTTCAATTGATGGAGGTACACTACATTGACACAGGAGCGACGGCCGAAATGCTCGTCGCTACGCCGGAAGTGGCCGGCGCATGGAATATGGGTGTCGATTTGGCGCAGACGGCTGAAAAGGCGATGCCTTCTTTCCTGGCGACGGCAGGGTCGGCATTGGTCATGGAAGCCATCGCAGGATATGGGAAGGCTCGAGGACGATGCTACCCCCGTCTTCTGGGTGTGTTTAGTGCCATGAACTGTGACAGTTGTGGAGAGCAAATTGGAAAGGGACAGTATCGGCGTAAGTTCTCCGGCCCCCCTTCACCGTGTTTTTCAGTCTATCTTGTAGCGAGTTGAAGCACGAAGAACATGGTCGCAGCTCTCAATTTGCTAACATGTACCGTGCTAGATTGCTGCCTGTGCGCGAACGATAATTTCGACCTTTGCCAAGCCTGCTATTCCAATGGCTCGAGATGTCTATCGCCTTCCCACGACATGGCCCTGCTACAACCAGCCATGAATCAAGACCTATCTCCAGAGACACCTATCATAAACTTGTATCCAAATTGGGAAAATGAAACCGTCCAATTTGTCACACGTTCCCAACTCTCTGGTGGAAAGTACACGTTATTTGGGTGTGACCACTGTGGAGAGGCAATACGCCAAGGTAACTGCTATCGTAAGTTTCCTCCCACAGCTTTCAAAGGTCCTTGCAACTGATGTTACATGCAGATTGTTTCCATTGCGGAAACTATGATTCCTGTAAAAAATGCTACAAAGATGGTTCCAGCTGCGGGGTTACAAATCACGTCCTCGCGGCGCTTGTCTGCGCAGTCGACTGCTCAACTCATCGGTATTGGGTCAGTGACTGCCGATGGTCCGAGGGCATGTCTTCTGCAAAACAATGCAGTTGTTGCTACGAGATGGTCAACCAAGGGCGATACTACCGTAAGTAACTACCGTCGTTTCCAGCCCTAGCCGTTTCCAGACTGCTGATGACGTTGTGGTGCAGATTGCTGTAACTGCGATGGAGACACCAAAACGACAGGCTCTACCTTAGCCTCGCTCTGTAAAGCGCCCACAAGTAGCATCACGTGCAACAAACAGTTGCAGCTCGAGCTTTATTCGACTAACACTGTTTGTCCTACTCCACCACGGATTTCCGGTAAGCCGCTAACAGTAGCCTCGCTAGTGACTTGTGCCATTAGCATGTCATTTGAATTTACTGCTGAAGTGGGAGCTCTAACTTCCCGGACCGGCCTATTCCGTTGAGGGTGCGGAGAGAGTGTGTAGGGGATGTTCTGGAGCGCTCGGAGTAGGATTAGCCCGCTCGGGCGCCGCTCGGCGATGATGCTACGGGCCCCTAAGTTCATATAACTACATCACGTGACGCGAAGTGGGCTATAATGCTTGAAGGCATCACGACATTGATGAAAGAACACCAAAGTGAGGCACAAGCACAGGCCATCGAGTCGATTGTAGCAAAAGAAAAAAAAAATTATGGGTATCATACGCCGCGCGTTGATGGCTGCAACTCGAGCGGTCTCCCGAGACCCAGGTACGTATGCCGCCAACAATGCCATCCAGTTTATTATCTGAACCATTCCACGGTAAACCGATGTGACATCCCCAACCGTCTAAGGTCTGACACCTATCGTGATCATCGTCATGCAAGCTTTCTACTTGCACTCTCTAATCCATTGAAATCGTCTGAATCGTCCGAATCTCGAGAACGCTTCGAACCTCACGGGCATGTTTTCTGCAGCGGTCGCGACTGAAAAGATGAGCACAGCCGGTAGGGAATCTGCGTAGTTCCGATGCTATAATGCGAGGCGGCGGGAGGTGGCTGCTAGGGATGAGCAAGCTTGTCGAAGGTTCCTGTGGGCACGGCTGCCGAGTAATGATGTGAGACTTGCTCGGCAAGGTATTATAGAGGGCGAGCTCGAAAGGGAACCTCGGTATTCAGACACATACTTGAAGACTGTCCAGTGAGGAAGCATCATCGGCTAGACGCAGGCACTGGGACTGGGCGATTGCGATGGAGAGACCGGCAACGTAGGGGTCTCGAGTGGGGTCCGCAGGCGTGATTTCGGCAAGACGCTTGGCGTAGAGGGATGCTGTGGCCCTGCTCGTGCGTTGACTCGGAAATGAACAACAGATGTGCTCGAGCGACGCCTGGCGAGCCTTGCGAATGCCACTAAGGTCGACGTAAAGGAATGCGGGTGCGGGAGCGGGAGCGCCGCGGAAGAGGCTGCAAGGCATGGGGGTTTGATGTTGGTCGAAGCCAAAGGTGAGGTGGTCGGTCGTCCGGCTGAAGGACGGATAAGTTAAGCGGAGGATGTTTTGGATTGCGGATGCCTTCGCTCGAGTATATTAACCGAGGGCTAGTGTTACGATACTGATCTCCAGCCGCCGGGACGGAATAATGGAACTGGGATCGGTACTGGAGTCGTGGCTCAACGAGGCAAGAGAAAGAGGAGTCCTATGCATGTTGTGGTGGGAGGTCGTCGTGGATCGGCGCACCGTAGGAGGTCGAGCTGACGAGCGTTCCAGTGAAGCGGAGGAACAAGCAGTCACTCTCCGGGATAGAGGCGGAGATTGGGGTTGACCGAGAGAAAAGATGCATCAACAAGCGACTTCTCTGCTGGATGTGTTGGCGTTCTGCGCGGCGACGACAGTGATGGAGGCATGACGGCTGATGGTGCTTTGGACATTCACAAGTGGATGGAAGGAAGACGCGTCAAGTTTACGCGTCACTTTGCGATTAGCGTATCGCCATCGCACAAACGGATGAAAGAGAGCTGGCTGAATAAACGTAAATATTGGGAGGCGGTACGGAGTAGTAGATGCACGTCTTCAGCTGTTCCGCCCCATCTTAAGCTGAACTGCTTCAGCTGCCATCCAAAGTGCAGTCCTTACTTGATTAATACCTAATGGCATAACTCATTTCTTAATGCTACACGTAAGGTAAATGCCTCTATGTTATTGCTCAGTGAGAGTTACTAAGCCTTTTGATGCTTTGCCGCCCATGCACACCGCTTTTCATGCCTGCTGCTTGTCAGACGCCACAGTTGTGCAAACAGGGACTTTCGGATTGGTGATAGCTTGAATATCTTTATATCCGACGCAAGCTGGCACTCCCTAGAAGCTGTGTACGATACATGTCTTCTGTCTTGGGTTGTAATTCAGTGCCAATGACCAGACTTCCGCGTGTACGTTGCCGATGTGTTCCATTGCCATTGCCTTACGTTTTCCCTTGTCCTCCAACCCAGACTGACATACTATACACCCAAATCAGGCGGCTCGGGAGGCAAACTCAATGGATGTGCGGAGGATTTCTCTGATTTCGGTAAAAGGGACAGACCAGACTTCCGCGTGTACGTTGCCGATGTGTTCCATTGCCATTGCCTTACGTTTTCCCTTGTCCTCCAACCCAGACTGACATACTATACACCCAAATCAGGCGGCTCGGGAGGCAAACTCAATGGATGTGCGGAGGATTTCTCTGATTTCGGTAAAAGGGACACGAATACAGCTGGCCCTGGAAAGCCCCAATCCAGTGAGGGGAACCTGTTAGCCAGACACAGACGAGTGACAGGATGGAATGGGATGGGGAATTGAGTGATTGAACAAATATTTGATGACGTACCTCGCGGCTCTATTGCCTCCCCTTCTACCACGTCTCTTGTCCTGTCGCTTGTTGCTGACGGGATCGGAAAAGTGCCACGGGCGCAGGGTGATGTTGGCGTTTAGTCGAGTGACGCTCGCCCAGCTCATCGCGCACTTGACCCTTTCGTTCTTCACGTCCCAGACCCAGACGGCAACAAGACAATCATCGAGTCTGGTGCCGGCGATGTTACGCGGGTTCTGGCGGTCGTAGGGGATCTTGACTGCAACTACGGCGCGAACTTTGCCATGAGTGTACGAGATGTATCGGGCGCATTTGGCCTCGAGCTCCTCCAACGTCGTTGGGCTCGAGTGGGCGACCTCGGCGACCACACGCGGAATGTAGCTACCGTCTGCTGGGTCTGCGTACTAGGAGACATCAGGGATGTACCTTAGGGGGTCGAGGAGGGTGCCTGGTGACTCTGAGCCACCGTCGAGGGAGTTTGACGAGGAGGGTGGGGGAAAGAAGTCGGATGGCCACCCGAAAAGTTGTTCAATCTGAGGGAAAGTGGTTTTGGCGGCGTCCGAGACGAGATTGCCAAATTTCTGGGTGACGAGGGCGTGGAGACGGCCCTGGGTCATCTTAAAGCGAGCGAGGCGCGTCTCGGGGTCGTACTCGACATTGAAATGTTCAAGGGATACGCGAGGATCAGTCTCGAGGCGTTGGAGAAGGGAACAGAAGGCAGAGGGCTTGAGTCGAAATTTTTGATTATGGTCGTTGTTGTCTTCTACAGCCACAAATCTATTATTATGATGCGAAATTGGTTTATTGTTGCGACGGATAAGTTGGACAGCAAATTCCAAGCAGGCATGAATAGTCGTCTCCATCTCCGTCTCTGTGTCCATGGCCATATCAGCTTTCGCAGGAGGCTCAGCCGTGATGGCCATCGTCATTGAGGGTACGTCATTCTGGGTACGACGTTGGGTGTGTGAGAGTGTGCAGAAAGGCGGCTGTTATCACGTCACAAAGACTAGGTTAGTGGCATTGAAACGCAAATTGAATGAGAATATTGTGCAATGAGTAATGCGGGCGAGAAAAGAAATCCTTGTTCCGCTGTCAAAGAAAAAACAAAAGAATAGCACAACTTACCGTTTTTGAGATAGGTGAGCTCCTAAGCAGCAGAGTGCAATACGCATGTATTGACTTTATGTGTTAGCTAAGATTATCTTAGTGGGGGAGAAACACAGCCGTATGATGACACTAACCCCACTAAAAGCAAAGGGTCACGTGACTGTGGTCTGAGAGGAGTGGGGCCAGTCAGGGGAGGGGTGGGCGGATAGAAGTAGTTACGGATGGCGAACAGTACGGCGGTGCAAGGGCAGGGCGCAGCCGGGCACTGTTTCGCATGCTGGGATCCCGCTCTTCTAGCTGCCCTCATTGGCTTATCTAAGGGAGAGCAGACGGGATCCCGAGTTTTCCAGTGGGTATGGTCGTATGTGGTGGTTGTGGTTGGCAGAGTGCTCAAGTAGGGCGGGGCGGACGCCATTGTGAAAGCTGTCCATGATCATCATCACATTTCTGGTCAGTGCTGAGAGGATACCATGTAGAGCAATAACCTATGTTTTCTGCGGGTCTCCATCTGTCCTTAAAACGCCGCTCGTCCCTAATGCTTCTATGTGTATCGTTTCCGGGTCTCCCTGACTTCATTAAGAAAAGGCCGTGAAAGGGTATGGTTTGGAGAAAATGAGAACAAAAAACAGCAACACAACCACAACGCCCCAACTACTCTGCTGATTTCCGGGAAAACCGAGAGAAGAAACTCTTCTTGGGCTCTTTGTCCTTTTCCTTTTCCTTCTTGAGACCCCTCGATTTGCTGGCCTCTTCCTGGGTATCGAGCTGCGTAGTGTTGTCGTTCATGACCTTTTGCGCATGCGAAACGGTTCCAGGATGAGGACCAGGCGGTGGGCCCGCCGGTGGACGAGGTGGTGGTGGTGGAGGGCCCGGAGGGCCCGGAGGACCCGGCGGCGGCGGTAGCGGAGGAAGTCCGTACTGGTGCTGCGGCGGATATGGGTTCTGTCCAGGTGGTGGCGGGAACGTATACGACATTGGCGGTCCACCGGGGGGCGGAGATGCCGGCGACGGTGGCAGAGCATAGCTTTGCGGCGGAGCCTCGAGCATCGGTAGCTGATTCTGCTGGTCTTGCTTCTGCTCGTCCGAGAAGAGGTCGATGACCTTGCCGGAGCTGAAGAGTCTCTCGTACACGGCGAGCGTGGTGCCAAAGTCCTTGTGGCCGTCGACTTTGACGGCGTCGAGGAGTTCCAGGACAAAGGTTTGGCAGTTGTTGGTGATGAGGTTGTAGGCTGGCTGCCGTGACCTGATGCTTTGGATGACGTACTCGCCCGCGCGACGAATGGCATCGTCGTTGAAGGTTGTTTCGCCAACGGTGAAGGTGCGCCATTCTTCGCGCTTGTATCGCTCATTGGTGTAGATAACGTGAAAACTCTCATCCTAGATGGGGTGGGTTAGGCCGTGAAGGAGGAAAATGGGTGGGCGGTGAGTGAGTGAGATGAGAGGACTTACCATCCACAGCTGGTGGGCGTAGTCGCCGATCAGGACGGCCCAATGCTGAGTGGGATCGGGATACTTGTTGATCTTTTCGGTGATCATCTTTCCCAGGCCTGTCTCCTCGGCGAACCACTTGCCGGCGAGGCCTCCGACGGGGTGCCAGCCGACCTCGACGACGCGTGAGGGGCCATTGATGACGGGCTGTGTGACGGGGACGACATTGGGGGTCTGACCCAAACCGACGGCATGCTTCAAGGCGAGTTCACCCTTGTTGTAATTCTTCTTTCTGTCGTTGAGTCAGCGCAATTGCCTCAAAGATTGACGGTGACCATGGCGTTGTAGTCAAATGAGGGGTTGGAGCCTCATAGGGCTGGGCTGGGATGGGGGAGGGGTCGCGAGACGCGTAAAGTGCATAAAAAGGAAGATGACGCGCATACAGGAACTCTCCCACTTTGTCCCGCTTTCTCTTCTCTTCCTCGTCGGATCCCGGTTGTGACATTGCGATATACCAACGGCGCAGCGCGGGTTTAATGGGGTCAATGTGTGTGTGAAGTCGGGTTGCGGGGGGAAGGAAGGATTAAGTGAGCGCCGATAAGCGGCCAATTGGGGTCGATCTGCTAGCTCAGGCGCAACAAGGAACGGCGAACAGTGACAGACAGGTTTGCTGTGTTTGTTTGTTGGTTGGTTGGATTGGGGCGTCAGATCTTGGAAGGTAAAAGGGAAATAATTGGGGGGAGAAGGCTGGGCGTCTTACAAATGGGAGGCCTTTGGATGGGAGGACTGAATACACGGCAAGTACGACCACCGAATAATCACGGAAAACAAAACCAAGGCAGAATAACCCGATTACCGATTGCGAAACTTGCCATCGTTCACAGTCCACTGCCTCGATTCGATGGGCCTCGATGGCCGCGGGTTCGGGCTGACCGACACGTGGAGGCGCATTAACACTTTTTTAATCTAATTTCCAGCTGCACCGCGCCTCAACTCGGCCAATCAAATTCACGATCCGACATCAAGTTGCTCACTTCGGGGACCAAAATCCACGCGGCCAAAGCGGCGCAGGCCTTGTTTTTTGCAACCACAGCAAGGCACAATTGAGGCTGGAGCTGCGAGCATTGGTAGCTGAGATGGAATGCAAGCAACAGCAGCAAGCCGCGGGTTCCGTCTGTCCAGCACTAATTGATCTCTTGCACCCTCAACGGGCCGGTCGGACAAGGCTTCTTTCAACCTCCCTCTCAATAACATTTGATTGTTGATGACCGACCGTGAAGGGCTGCTGCTGCCGCTTACCGATCGGACCATACTCATCTCTTGGCAGGCCCCGGAGTTCTCGGTGTGGAACTGAATACGCGTACTCTGTACGACAAGCCCCCGCGTGTACAAACGAGCCGAAGGAATTTCACAAGACTGCTCTCTCACTCATTATTCATCCCATCGCAGTGACCCGAGTAGCCCGGGACCCGGATATACGGCAACGCATGATCAGGCCTTATGAGATGGATCGAAAGCACCAGATCTACGCGAAAACTCAACAAGCTTGGGCTCATCGTTCATAAGTCACACCGTCATAACTTCTCACGGGATCGTGATATTCGCCACCCGCGCAAGTCTTCATCTTACTACCTATGAAACTGAGATGGGGTCGGTTCAAGCACCTTGAGACTCATCTCATAAGTCTACGGCTTCATTTACTTGATTTCACGATGAGGATTTCCAAACATTCACCCTCGTATTCAGCAACTTCACTGAGCCATGTTGAATTCGAGAACAAAGTATAGAATATTCAGCTTGACACAGTGAGAGTTAGAATTTCCCTTCGCATTCGCATTCGCAATTGCAACGTCTCATCTAAAGAGAAGGCCCAGGCGCCCTAGTTAGTTCATAGACATTTCATGCCAATTATTTGGGGTATACGGAGTAATGCCGATGAGGAAGCTTGAATAACTAAACGCATACTTTCGTTTTCACTGAATAGTTGTTTGCATATGACCTCAAAGTTGTTCATTCGCTAACGAGAGCGTTTCGTACCCTGAGCTTGCAAGTTTGAGATCCTGTCTTCGTGCTATAATGATATTGGATAATATATTTCACATTATATGTATCCTAGACTCCCTTCTCGGCATACGATCCTCCAAAGACTACGACCAGCTCATCACATCTAGCTGACCCAATCATCAACAACCTTCTCAGCCCTCACTGCATCCTCCAAAATCGCCCTCCGTCTCTCCTCACCCCTAGGCACAAACTCAACCTCGAACCTCTCAGGCCCCATAACAAGATCAGAATGAAATCCCGTCTCAATACTCATATCCAATGTCTTCCCCGGCGCAGGAACAACATCAAACTCCCACGCAAGCTTCGCAATCGTCATCAAGATCTGGTTTTCAGCATAATCCGGCCCAGGACACATCCGCCGCCCCGCCCCGAAATTATACGTCGGATGCCTCTTCTCCCGCTCCGCCGCCGCCGCCAGCTCCGGACGCACGCCCCACGGGTTCTCCATATACCGCTCCGGGAGAAACTCGTCCGGCCGGTCATACCATGCCTCGTCCTTGTGGATTCCGTACGTGTTGGTCAGGAACTGCGTGCCTTTGGGGAACGTGTAACCGCAGTAGGTGTCTTCCCTCGCGAGGACGCGAGGGACACCCGATGGCGCAGCGGTGCGCCAGCGCATGGCCTGCGTGGTTCAGTCATCGTCAGTTCTCAACGTCATGAAAGTCCCACTGGGACGCGTAACAGACGACTCACCTCATTGAAACAAGCCTTCAGATACTTCGCCTTCCCAAGATCCTCAAACCCAGGCGCCTGCCCAGGCCACACGGCATCAACCTCCTCCTGAAGCCGCCTCTGCATCTCCGGATACGCACCCATGATAAGCACCACAGTACTAGTCGTAGCAATAACAGTATCAACAGCAGCATCCAACGTCCCCGCCCCCAAAACAGCAAGCTCATGATCCTCATACGTCGCCCCTTTCCCCTTGACCTTACTCTCCTCCCCTTCCCGAATCATCTTCGCCATAAGCGACTCCGTCTCCTTCCCCCTCCTCCCACTCGCAATCTCCGCGGCCTGCACCTTGGCCCCGTCGAGCATGTGATACATCGTCCTCATCATCCCCTTCTTCAGCTCCGCAGCCTCCTGCTTCCAACTAGCCAAAAACTCGGGAAAATACTTCATCACGGGAAACAAATCCACCGGCGGCGCCTGCGCAGGCGTAAGGAACCGCAACCACGTATCCTGCGTCGCAAAATACGTCCTCGCCGACGCAACCTTGCCCTCCTCCTCAACCCGCTGCCCACTAATCACAGAAAGCGGCGTAGCCAGCGCCCAATGTCTCAAATGCATATGAAACCGTCCCGGATCCTCCAAGATCATCTTCATCAGCAACGCGGCATGCGCCTCCTGCGTCGCCACAACCCTCTTCAGCTCACTAGGCCCAAACAGATGATTCCGCAGCGCCGTGCGCAATTTCTTGATGTGCTGGTCGTTATTCATGAATAGGATCGTGCCGGGGTTGATGAGCGTGCTCGTGATGTACGGCTGCGGCCTGTCCGAGTAGATCGCGCCGCGCTTCCCGTAGAGTTCTCTGATGTGTTCTGCGCTGGAGAGGATGACGTAGTTCTCGGTGCCGATTTTGATGCCGAGTATGTCGCCGTAGGTTTTGCTCCATTCTTGGAATTTGAGAAAGGCCTTTTTGGGCGGGATTTGGAGGACGTTGCCGAGGATTGGGATGGGGGGTGGGCCGGGGGGGAAGTTGGGTGGTCTTCGGGTTGAGAGGATCCAGGTAGTGAGGAAGTAGAGGAGGACTGCAGCGGGGATGATCAAGATGGATGGGGAGCCGATGAAGGACGTGAGGCCCATGGTGTTTGGTGATGTCTCTCTTGTTGAAAGGGGGAGTTGTCAAGCAGAGATGGGTGCGATAATACGATGTGGATGGGAGCAGGGAGTTAGTTGTCACGCAACGTCCCTCGAAAAGCCAGTAGCCCCTCTTCAACCCTCTCTTTTATATTCTTTATGTTCATCCATCTCTATCAGTAATCTAACCCACATCTTTCGCCATCGAAAACTTGTGTAACCTCCGCGAAGCACCACCTCGCGCGGCTCACAACATCTCGCCCGCATCATATCGTGACATCGGCACTCTTCCCCATACCCGACTGGTTCGATACCAATCTTCCCCACACGAGATTACCGTTATGATGACCGTCCGACGTTACAGCAAGAAGCAGGCCGAGCAACAGCTGTATGGTGTTTCGAAGGTCGATCTATCGTTGGGCACAGTTGGTCTAGCATGCTATTACTAGCGTAGGGAAGCTTACCTTACGGTTACGTGCAACCAGCTGCCACCCCCTCTCCTCGCGGAGTTGGCTGCAAAGATCAGATCAAAGACCTGCAAGTGATTGCGGGCCGAAAGGATTTTGGCTCGAGTACCATGCAGTCAGCGACTGGATATACGACGCTGGCATGCGAGGACAGGCATGTGCGGCGTAAGCAAACTGGAGTCACACGAAAACACTCTCCCAACAACATTCATGTATGTGAGTGCCACCCAATCACCTCACAGGTTTTGGCAACCGGCTCATCTATCCTTTAGAGATCTTTGCCTCATCTGATAGAGTCATAGATAGCCATGACGACGAATTGGCAGTGAATTACTGTTGCCCAGACATGATCACGGCGCTTAATGAACACGGAGCCTATGGCTTGCCACGTTACACGCCGTCTGGAATTGCCGCTGTGCCTTGGCGAGATGTTGTTGGACGTCGGGAACAGACAAGTCGACGAACAGCCCCGCCATAGCAATCAGGAAAGGCAAAAATATTAGGGAGCAACTGTCATTGGGGCTTTCCGAAACCGAGAATCGAACTCGGGGCTATGCCTAACCTCTCACTGGAGATGAGAGGGCATCATGTTGGCCACTACACCATATCGGATGGATGGATGAAGAATCTGTTTCTGTGGAGTACTATATTCGGTGGACACTCGGTGGAGCGGACCCTCCGCCCGCGGGGGCATTCATGCATCACGATGTGGGGTCGAAGACCTTCACACAACCCACTTGGGAATCGCCTCATGGAAACTGAATACAATGAGGAAACTTCACAACTTGTGGCATAACGGATTTCACAGGACATTGTACACAGGCATTAATGAATTCTGAACATTAAGTCGTCATCAGGATGCGTATCCTATTCATGATATCTGTCCCTGCTCCATCCTCAGAGGCAGCGTGCAGATTAGCCTACATATACAGTGTACACTTTTTGGTCTTTTAGACGCCTAGGGAAAGCCTGCCGCATCACCCGCAGCGATACCGGTGTCCAACAGAGGCACGAAGGCCTGGCCTGGTATACCCACAACTCCAGTCCATCCATCCATCTAGAGACCAGCCACCATCCAAAACCACCAAAGATAGGATACACAATGGAAAAAAACGTCCTTCCTCCAGCCAACTCTTGAGCGAGTGAAGGTCGGATCCAACAAGGAGTGTAAATGACTCCGATATCCACGAACGACCCACTCCTGGTCGCTGTCGAACAAGGGAGAATGAGATATTTCCCAGCATGCAGAAAAAATGTGATAAGTCGGTTCCAGCGCCGCGCGTTTTCGGGTCCGGCGGATGAGGCCTCAAGCCCAGACAGAAAGTGCAGGGCAAGAAAGCAGATTAACGCCGTGTGTAGTGCCATCCTAGGGATGGGACTTGTCATGACATAATACCTCGACGAGAGGTTAGAAAAATTGGGTATCAAAAGTGAAGCAGAATAAGGGGTAAAGTATGTCGCCGGAAATGGGGAAATGATGTTCTCCGTTCGAACAAATGTTGTCGCGATGTAGGACGTGTCTTCCGTAACCTCACATCGGTGTAGGTGTCGGTGCACCTCGGTCTCGGCTCATCCAGCCAAAGAGGTCGCCGCGGCCCTGGGTGCTCGTGATGCTGGTCTGGGGCTCAATGGGAGTTCGCACCGCCATCTCCCGAGGCTCCAGGAGAAGACTCTTGCGGTAGTAGCTGACTTGAACATTGCCTTGGTCGCTCTCACGAACACGCACGATCTGCGCTGCCATCCAATCCTGCATCTCGGGGATCTCGGTCAAACGGTATGGGATCTGGAACCGCTGAAGCTCTCCAATGATCTTGGCCGTACGCGTGTGCTTGTCGAAGTTGACGACGGTGAGACCGCCGCCATTCTCCTCGCAGCCATCGCCACCGAGGGTAGGAATCTGCTTAGTCGCAGGGTTGCCAATGTCGACGAAGGTCAGATCGGTCAGGAACATGCCGAGGAAGGGTAGGCAAGGAGGGACATGGTCGTGGAGGCGGGTCCGGAGGACTTTGTTGTTTTGCGCAGGCTCAACGATGGCCTGCAGTGTGCGGAGCATCTCGCGTCGTTTGACAGAAACAATGTCCCAGGTCTTGCGGAGACGGCTGATTGTACTGCTGTTCAGACTGCAGATGATGGCCATCAGGCCGTCATAATTGTGGAGTTCTAGGCATTGATGAGCCACCTTGATCCACTGCTTGATGACGGCGGCACGCTTCTTGACCTCCGAGTGTTGCAAGATGGTCTCGGCGACGAGGTTAGACAGATCAGTGGACAGGGCCGACATAGCCTTGACATTGGGGGCATCAACACCACCCTTCTTCATCCACTGGGACGCGAGAAGTTCCTCGGGCATGATGGAGCAGAAGATGTTCATCTGTCTGATGGTGAGCTGGCGGGCAATCTCAAGAGGCTCGAAGTCCAGGACAGTAGGGTTGCTGCCACCGTTCTTCCAAGCAAATAGCTGATGAATCTGGCTCTTGGTGAGAGCCAATGGCGGGTGCGGTGTGTCGGCCGGGATATACTGCGCAATCGAGGTGTTCGTCTTGCCCATGGACGACACAAGGCGCGGGACGAGAGCAATGTCCTTGGCTACGCGCTGAGCAAGCTCCAAGAGTCGACGACCAGCGGAGGGCAACACTGCGCCAAGCTCGTACTCCGCAAAAGGCTCAATGAGGCTGAGGGCTTCGCGATCCGTCTCGTCGCGCCAGTGCGACTCGAGCCAGCCCTTGAAAGCGTTGTAAACGCGGAGCCTGACTGGGCCGGCCATGTGAGGTGCCTCGGCGACGTAGTGGAATCGGTCGATGAGAGTCTCAGCCAGCTTGAGCGGGCTACTGAACAAGCGGAATGTGAGATAGAAAGTTGACACGAAAGTCGCGTCGGGAGTAGATTCGTGGGTCGTAAGACGCTCAACCAGGGCTGGGAGGGAGCCGCCGGTAACCTGGCCCTCCTTGTTGAAAATCAGCTCGTGGGCGTATGTCTTCTCAAGCATCTTAGACTCGACATCGTCAACTTCTTCGTTAATGGCGTTTGCGCTTCCAGCGTTGCTGAGCTCTGACATGGAAGGCTTGAGTTTCGGTGCCAGAGAGTGATCCGGTGTGGTCGCGCGAGTAGATGTTTGAGAAACCAAGCTGGCCTCGGAGTCTCGGCTGAGATAAGTGCTACTGCTGCCCGCACTTGAAGCAGCTATACTGTCAACACGGGAGGAACTGTTGTAGTCGCCATCCTGGTTTTCGATGGGGCTGTACTCATCTCCCGGGAGCAGGGATGTAGACAGTTTGGGGAGAGGCGGGAGAGTCGGCCGCATCGACGATACGGAAGACATCATATTGGCAACATGGTCATTGTTGAGGTTGAGTGATGACGGTCGAGAGTTAGGTGCAGAGGAGTTCTGAGAGGAAGGCCGACGTCGGTGACCGTGAGATTCACTGCCATCCACGGGTGGTAGTTGAGGCAATGGCTTGTCGTTGGCGACGAGACTCGGGCGCTGCTGGTGGTGGGGCGTTGGCGGCACAACCGAGTGCATAGAGTCAGAACTTCGAGTAGACCCCGCGACACTGGTCGCCTCGGTGGTAGTCGTTTCTGCAACGGATGGTGCGATCGATGGCCGACGGTATTGCGGCTCAAAGGCAACGTCCAAGACACTGAGATCAATGCCCAGCTCGCCGGCCTCGAATTCGCACTCAAAGTCGCCGACACGCTCAATCGCCCACTTCGTCTTGGCTACACACTCGCCAGCAGCCTTCACACAGCCCGTTGCGGCCATCAACAGCAAGCTGTTGTCCTGGGGCATGATAACGTCGGCATCCTGGAACGCTGCGTGGCGGATGATTTGCCCAGCCGCGATAACCAGTTCCCTAATGCGCTCAAACATCATATCCCTTGCCCTGGCTAACATGTCAGAGCTGGTACTTTGACCGCACACAATGTCAACAACAGCCAGCAGTTCTCCACCCGACGTCGCCGAGAGCTTGATGGCGAAGGCCAACTCCGGCCGAGACTGGGACTGCAAGTGCAGACGGCCAATGAAGGAGCCCAGGTGGGACAAGAAAGTATCGTGGCTCTTGTTGAGGCGTTCCGAGACAAGATGATGCGGTCTTGACAGCGGAGAAGGGCCAGCCAATGAGACGCGATGTGAGATGCTGGATGACAGCCGTTTGACATTTTGAGACATGCGGTGCGAGTTGGGACTGGCGGGGGACTGGCGGGTAGAAAGCCGCCTGCTATTCGGTGCGTTGGACGTTTGTGCCGCGTCGCCTGTTTGCGAGGGCGTACCCCTGGTGGGTGTTCCGTTCGTCGGTCCTCGGGAAGCTGCATTCTGAGTTGCATCAAACTTGATCTGATCTGCAGGCGGCGTCGGTGGGATGTAGGATTCTTCAATGACGGTAGCCATGACAGTCACTGCGGGGGCGCGTTGCCTACGATCATCCTCAAGGATATCGAAAAACCTTACACCCTTGGTCACGATCTTGAAAGCCTTCAGAATCATCTCGTCAATGATATCGTTGACATCTTCTGTCGGTTGGCCGATGCCCTTCTGAGCTTCTTGCAAACGCTTTGCTGTCTTCACCAAGGCTGACAGCTCGGAAAGTAATGTCTTGCGTGCGCGCCGTAGACTTTCGTTGCGGGTTATGATAGCCGACTCCCTGGTCAGGCAGTGAGTGCGTTCCTTTTGCGTTGTGAGTAAAATGCAAGAGGAGGGAGGGTAGGACAAAGTCAGAAGCTTACCAACAGATAGCGTACTCCGGCAATGATGCCCTTCATGAATTCTTGGTTCCCGAAAATCTCGCTGTCGTTTACGGATGTGCTTCGCAAAAGATCCCAGAAGTTGAGCAATGCTTTCAAGAGGTTCCTCATCTCTTCCGGGTCATATGCCTCGCAGTAGTTGGTCGGAAGCCATCCCCTTGCGCCTGATACCAGCAGGGTTCCATCGGCCCATCCATTGGTGTGAATTGAGTGCACCAAGATAACTTCTCCCTCGTTCAATGGAAGGGTCACGCTCGAATCGGTCATGGCGTAGCTTGGATGGAAAGGATAAAAGGCTCGCAGGAAGTTGTGGAAGACCGGTGGTGGCAGCTGGTCCGCCGCCAGGTCTTCCTGCGAGCCATTGGGTGTTGCGGGCGGTGTCATGTGTGATGTTGTGTACGACTTGGAACTGTAGTGGTCTTGTTTCGAAGACAGAGCATCGCAGGATCTGGATTTGTGAAGCTTGAGAGGGGCCACTTGGAGGCTGGCACGCATGGAATGGTCGCTCAGCATTACCATGGCTGCTGCTGGTAAATCTCGTAGAAAAGCATGGGCAACAGTCGTGTAAGCGATGTGCGCGCGGTTGATAGTCGTCGGGTTTCGAGGCCGCCTCCTCAGTCGGGTTCCAGGTCCGATGCAGTCGTCAAGTCGAGTCTAACCTATCCCTCGAATACGGTATCGTCCTGCTGCGCCTCAGCTGTGGCCTCGTGCGGGTATCGGATAGGTCAATGAGTGCCGGTGCTTCGTCCACGCAAAGGTCCAGTCGGTTCGATCCAAAAAGATGCGCCTCTGGCGTAGTGTGTGTGTGTCCTTCCCTGAAGAGCAATCGCGAGTCGCAAGTCCCTACTTCGAGTGGGTTGATGTTGATGTTGTTGTTGTTGTTGTTGCGGTCAGGTGTCGCGATCGAGCTGTCAAGCTGATGTTGACAGTCAGTTGACGGCGGAAGAAGTGAACAGAGGAACAGCCCGCTTGGCCTGTGTGCAAGGTGGTTTTGATGGGGAGACGTAGAAGTTATGGAATGTAGGGAGGAGATGACGGGCATTGATGTGGGAGGGGAATAGGAATAGCAGGAATGTCATAGCCCTGGGACGGACGTGTTGGAGGGATCCTTGCTCTTGCTAATGGTGGATAGCTGCATACCAGGACCAGGGCTTGACTCAAGGTTTCGGGAGCCCGAGAAGAGGCCCTCCCCATGTGAGTGCCCAAAGCGAGGGACGATCACGTAGTAGGGAAGTGGAGGGTGGACTTCTGGAGGGGGGGGGGGTGACCAGCCAGGCCAAGCGTCCGGGAACTTTGGTGGGTGTGTGGATGAAGATGGAGGGATGGGCTCTTGGATGGATGGGCAGTGGGTGGTGGATGTACCGTGCCACACCACATTTGACCCTGTAGCCGTACGTACCTTTTTGCCTTGCTCGACGGGACGGGGTACTCTTTGGTTTGATTTTTTGATTTTTCTTTTGGGCAGTTTGTCGACGTTGAAGATCAGTTGGGGCCGCCCGCAAGACTAAGAGAGTAGCGTGCTGCTCGAGGACTGGCTGGGCTTGCGACGGAGGCAAGCTTGGTGTATCGTGCGTCAGTCTGGCGTCTCTTGTCTCCCGAGGGACGGCAACACGCGACCCTTGAGAGGAACAAAGAAAGAGCTGGCAAGTCTTAGCTGCCGGTTCGTGCGTTCGTGGTGCGGATGGGATGGATGAATAACAGGCGAGGAAAGCAGTGGCATGAATTGGATCGAACGGCGTTACAAAGGTACGAGAGAGAGCTGCTCCGTACCTGAGTGCGTACAGTATTCGTACGTGGAGAAGAACGGCAGAGGCATGTCACCGCCGTATTGACCTTCCCTTCCCACCCCCGTTCAGGTGTGTGGACGGAGCATGTATTGTATGCAGGAAGCTGGTGAAGCGCCAGCGCCAGGGGGAAGGACGGGGAAAGAGAGAATGCGCAGAAGAATGAGAGAAGGCGCGAGGAATGCAATAGTTGTGATGTTCTGCTCGTACCTTATGCATGTGCATATGCATTGAAGCTCGAGCGAATGTGACGCTGAGTCGTCTTCGGGGGTGTACCGTGTGACAAGCAGACAGGCAAGACAGACAAGATGCCAGCCGAGGCGCCGCGGACGCAGGATGCAGACGCAGGATGCAGACGCAGGTTCCGTCCCGTATCCCATCCACCCCCTGACCAAGGTACAGTAGAGTAGCTCCTAGACTCGGCCCTCTCTCTCTCAGTTTTGCACCGTATTCTCGGAGGCAGAGACAACCTAGGAGTCGGCAATGCAGCACGGCGGCAAGGTGAGCTGCAGACAATAGGTAAGGTAGCTGGGTCGACCCAACACCCAAAGAGGACAGGAAAACGACAACGGCAAGTTCTTCGACGGCAACTGGGAGAGGCAAAAGCAGGAGTGTTGAGACTAGTGCAATATGCCTGGTAAACTGCACAGGACCGGCGAATGTTGCATGATCAACGAGGTCTCTGCATCCTGGACGGCCCTCGGACGGTGCTGTGACCCGTGAGGTTTGGAGGGAGGCGCAAAAATCGAGCGCACTGATGCCATGATATGATGACGGGAAATGGCAAGTGACCGACTGGAGGTGCCGTGCGCGCGGCTGTCTTCATTGCCTGCCGCCGGCCATTGGCGAATAGCCAGGCCATTGCAACAGACTTGACGCGACGGGGCCAGACGAGGTCAGATACTCGACGTCTCAATTTCGCAAGGCGGAGCGCGAGGGGGAGGGAGGCGCCGTGGTGAAGTGTTGAGCTACGGCGATGCGCTCGGGTTGCTGGTTTGCAGCATCAGACGACAGGTGCCGATGGGAGAAGGCAGTTTTGAAAAACGACGGCAGTAACCGACACGTTGTTCGTCAAGCCGAGCCGTGGAATAATTTGGAGGACATATCAGCCCATGGAGTTAACTGCCACACTGCCAGCAACGTTCTTGCATTGCTTCTCGATATGCCGCGGCAAATTGCTGTTGTCAACAAGCTTCGCAACCACGAACGACGGCATCTCCTGCCGCGGCGTTAACTGCGTTTGTTTCCTTCTTGCGCAGAGACGGCAACTTCCTGGCAATGCTCAAGGTCTCTCTTTCTTGACTCTTTCTCACGGACTGCGCCACCAAAGTGCGAGGCGCAAAGGAAACTTGGCGGTGGGCAGCGGCGGACACCAGCAAGTTTCCCAATTCAATTCCAGGAACCACATCCATCCGCAAGTCGTTTCCCCTTGTGAGTTCCTGCTTCCTTGGAATCCACGATTGCTTCCACCTTTGCGCCGACGTTCCAACCCGGAGGGAGTCCTTCAGTTCCCAGCTCCACCACGCTCCTTGTTGCGTTGCTTGCCCACATGTATTCCGAAGGCGAGGTAAGGTGAGCCCAGTACTTTGCTGCTTGCTTCGTCAGCTACAAAGTGTGATTCGTACACTTGCTGCGTCAGTGGCCTGGGTTTGCGTAGTTGCTTAGACTCAACCCCTTGCTCGCAGCGGCCTGGTCCCAGCGGTCCCTCCCAACCTAACGGCTTGCTCCTTGCCCTTGCTCGACGTTTTCCCTCCTCGTCTTCTTTTCTTCTTCTTCCCGCCCAGCTCCCTCCGTCCCCGTCCCCCGGTATCGAGACCCTCACACGACACGCCCTTGGGCGTGCCCTAGGGACCAACCGGCCCAGTTGACAAAAACCAATTGCACCAACATGTGTGTGCCTGGAGCGGGTGGCCTGGGATCCAGGTCCATCGACAGGGGGGCTGTTAGTGAACGACGGGGTCTCTCCCGGGCTTTAGTCTAGGGCTAGGGAGGAAACCTTTCCTGGCTCGCGCACCCATTTCCCTTCCCTCGTAAGTATTACGCCGAGTTGTCGACGGTCATCAAGAAAGCGTGGTAATAAATAAAACTTAGTGACCAGGAGCAGGCCGTCGAGCGTCTGGGGAATGCCCATACTGCTGCATCAGCGATGAAGGCTGCCATTAATCCACCGCCCTGGTTCTGGTCCTCTCATCAGACTCACGGGCACTTGTTCGGGACGCCAAACCTTCGTCTGCAGCCCTCGAACAGAGCTTGTGGCGTTGCCTCCTTCTCCTACTCGTTTCCCTTGCTGTTTGCTGCCTGCAGGGCAGGTTCCGCTTGCCAGGGAGAATACGACGAACGACACATCAACTCAGCTCAGGGCAAAGTTGGCAAGGAAGTTGACGTGTGTTGCGCAGCGTGCGATGCTGACGAGTCAACCCACAGAGCTTCTCTCTGGCGGGGACTTGGACCACTCTCCTCCTTCTTTTTCGGATATCTTGGTCTCGAGTTCTCGTGAGTCGCGGTCTCCCTGCCTTGTGGCCTGCACTTCGTTATCATGCCCTCCCCCAGATTGCTGGGTCCAACGCTTCCAGTCTCCAATCTGTTTGCGGGCTAGCTCATGGCAGTGGAGGCTCTTGGCTGGAGCAACATCGTTGGTGATATGACCTTGAACGAATAGCTTTTGGTCGCAAGTGCTGAGCTAATAATCAATGTCTGTTGACGGGTGACCCGATGAGCGGCTCCCACTCAAGGCTCGATCGTGCTCGCTGGCGTTGGACTCCCTTGTCATGCCTTCCCGTCTCGCCTCTTGCGTAGGGCCGTAGGCCCAAAGAACCCGAGCAATCTCACCAGCCACTGTTTGTCCTGACTGGCTACTGGTCGTGTCACTGATAGACTATTCAAGAGCCTGCCGCCTGCCCCCGAGTCGAGGCTCATTTTGACTACGCCATACCACCGGCCTTGCGCTAGATCCCCGGTCTTCGGCCCTCTGGAATCCGGCTTGCTGCCGAGTGTGAATGTGTACCCAAGGATCAACCGCTGCGAGTGTGGTTGATCAACCGTCGTTCATCGACTTTTGTGCAGACGCCAGACATGTTCCGGCTATTTTTGACACTGCTCATCGCCGGCAGGCGGGCGGACGAGAAGTACGGCAACCCATGCGCTGAGCCCTTTAGGTCACGACCTACCGGAACCTCGCTTTCTCTTGCAGACGAAGGGATCCGAAGTGGTAGAAGAGAGAGTGGATATGCCGCAGCGTGCCCATCGATTCAGTCAATACTCGGGCCCAATGAGCCCTTTTCGGCCACGATCCTCCATTCAAATCGGTGAAAGCCCACTGAATTCGATATCATGTCTGCTCCATTGCTCTTTGCAGTCGAGCTGTCTTGAATGCTAATTAGTAATAAGCGACTCTCCCAAAGGAGAGCCAGCGGAGACACAACGAGTCGCGCCGGCATGCTAATTGTTAGACGCCCGCTTGACATGGCAAGGTTGATCGGCTTTTTGTTGCTTGTCTTGCCACAGCAACCGAACCGCAATAACTGGGCGCAAATTTGTGCAAGTCAAACCAAGCGAGGCTGTCAGGACATCCTGTTGTTGATTGCGCACGACCATGAACCATGTTTTTTTTCTTCCCGAATGCACATTGCTTCTCTTACATTGACGTATTCGTTGACACTTGGTCTTGGCCCCTCGTCAGCCGTACCACAGGGCGAAAGTTGAGTGAAGCTAAGAGCGCAGGGCATCTCTAGCTGCGATTTGTGTCTCTCAAGACACCGCTGTCAGCTTGTTTTGACGGCCGCTGTTTCTTTGCGCTGCCGGCTTGAGATCGAATGCTCCCCCAAGGCTGATGAATCCCTTTACTGTCTATAATTGGATAATGCCGTGATTGAATGTAGATTTCCCGTTGCGACCAAAGGATGCCAGCCTAAATCGTCTCCGCCCGCACGGCTATAGTTTGAATCGCGTTCTCAACCGCAAGAAAAGATTTGCTGGTCATTGATCAACAAGTAAACGCAAATTCTTCTGAGTCGCTGGCGTGCGCCTCCCACAAGCCGTCGGCCATAGATGTGGCCTCATCTAAGACTGTCTCTCGGCTCTATTACAAGTGGCTCATTCCGGGTTTGAGGCTGTCCCGTGCTCGCCAGGGCAGAGTAGCCGGAGACAGTCCTGGTCAGATGTCTTTGAGTATCATGCCACCTGGATCATGCTGAGCCGCCGGGCAAATTTGGCCTGGGGAAGGCGGCGAAGTGAGTGACGAGTGTGCGCTCTTTGCTCAGGGATGGAGGTTGAACCATCGTAGAGGTGTTCAGGATAACAAGCCGCTCCGCCGGTATCGGGTACTGATCAGCATCGAACGGCAAGTTGTTTCTGCAAAAGTATAGGTATGCGGCTGGTGAAGATGGCAATATGTAGCATGCACGGCGCAATGCAAGGTAGGTGATATGTGTGATGGGCGACATGAATAGAAGCGAGATATGCATCTATCTGTAATTGGCGCCATGCCCTGGTGTTCCGTTTAGTTTCTCTGGCGCCTTTGCGAAGGAAGGACTGGCTGGTATTGTTCGGCTGTGATGTTACATGCGCCGGGGTGCAAGTATGGTTCAGGACGACGCTTCGCGGCCCAATCTTCCATTTGACATCGGGCAACGGTACAGCAAATTTGGATGTCTGGCACAATGGCACTGTCGCGGTGGCAAAGAATGGCTTGACGGGTTGCTTATTCAGGTGTTGATGTCGCATTCGAAGTGGTGGTCGAAGCCTTCTTTGCTTATTCCATGATATGTCACTTCATCCCGGGCCGCACACCGTTGCGCGCCTCATCTCCGAGATGCTGCACGATGCGGCGAGTGGTCGGGCCTAAATTCCTGCAGTGTTTCCAATAGCGGGAGGCAATCATCAGGCGAGCGTCGTATATCGCAGAGAGGAGGTAGAAAGAAGACGGAAGAAACCAAGGCGGCAGTGGCTGTGGCTGTAAAATCTTTGGCGTTGATGAGGTTACGAGACTGTAAGACTTTGAGGCGGAGGAGGAGGAAGAAGAAGAAGAAGAAGTTGATGATCTTGGCGGCAACGTCCCTCCCACGGAAGTTCCTGAGAAGGAAACAGAAGCCTGAGGCAAATACGCCCAATAGGTGTCGAAGTCTGCCTATTCCAAATCGGCAGGCACTAGATGGTATTCGCACCTTCCTCGAGGTTTACGGATACATACCTCCTGCTGTTTTTTGGAGGTGCGCACTTTCCCCTCTTCCAATATCGTATGCTCACGTAGTACAACCGCTAAACTGCAGCTATTCAGCGGGCACGTCCGCTGTAGAAGGGCGCTGGACAAATTCTCGATTATGTAATTCATACATCTGAGCACCCTTCTGTCCTACCTTCCCAAGCTTCCACTCCTCAATGAAATGCGCCCGAATTTTTCAACCCGCACCGTAGTTGTGGCTCCCGTACTTCACGAAAAATTCAACTTCTGTACAACTCTGGTTGACCTACGATGAATGGCCAGATCCATATCCGTACGGTGTACCCCGTATCGTGTCCAAAACTGGAATCATCGTCCTCAGGGGTTCTTCTTTGCCAAGCTCGGATGTCCCGTCGTCAGTCGTCAGTCCTCACCGGCCCTTGCAGGCTGCGGCTTAGCAAACCCCGTTTCCAGCTCCATCTCGCCCGTCACATATCCATATATCAATAATCACACTACAGCTTGTCACCAACAGCTGCGATCCTTCGCCCCGTATTCCACCCGACGTCACCGGGTACCTGACCTGGCGGAGCGGCCACCATCCGATGCCCTGGTCGTCTGAACTTGCACCGGACAAGAGGCGAGACCCGGCTGCCGCACAAGGGGAAAGGGGATGAATCCAGGACTCCAGAGTCCAGACAGGCACGACAGGGTATCTTGTCAATCTTGCTGGCCGACCCGTTGGACAACGGTCTATCAACCAGTTGGTTCCAGCTCCCAGCATTTGACCCCTTCCCCCCGCTGTCCAACGCCGCCATCCGGATCCCCATCCTTGGCCTCCTCTTGGCCCTGCAAGCTTGGGTCATTGCTTGACCATATTCAGACACCAGAGGCAAGCCAGAGCACACTAGAACTCGGGAGCTTGGAGCACTTGTCCCGGCCGAGTCTGTCACCAAGAAAGTGAGTAACCTCCGGCATCGACTTCCCAGCGCGCTCGTTGTAGCCCAGCGGCACCGCTATTGCACCCTTTTCCGTCTATAGTACCTGCAGCTCCAAGCTCTTCTCAGACCACAACTTCGCACAGCCTGGGCGGCGGCCGGATGTGTCAATACAGTTCCTCGATTCAGTTCTCGTCACCTCGCTGCGGGTCTGGCTGCCGGGGTACACACCTTTTGGGAAGAGGGCAAACTGCAACTGAACATGGCCCCTGTCTGCGAACTGCCTCGTTATAGGCACGTGCGGACCACCCACCAAGACGGAAGACATCGTGCAGAGGTGCCGGTGCCAGGCCTTGATCCTGCCCCGGCTTGGAGCACTGCAGCAAGCTCTCGCGAACTCTCCGCCGTCCACGCTAGACAAGCTATTGTCAACCTTGGTGCCACCTCTTTCCTCATCGACTGATCCCGTATCAACGAGTCTTCCCGGTGGGCGAATCCGGGAATCTGAATACCGTCGCCAGCCCAAAAGCATAAAGAGTCCAGAAGAGCATATAGACCCTCAGCACATGATAGTTGAATATTCTTCACGACAAGGTGTCGAGCCCATGTACGGCTGGCTACCTTTAACCGGAATTCGCCGGGCGTCTTCAAGGATTCCTCATTTCCAACGCTGCAACGGTGACCAGGGAGCTTCACTCATCTTGACCGGCAGCAAAATTTCTGCCCTTGGCCGACCTGAATGACCCGCAACTTGACCCGCCCACTTACAGCGGAAGAAATCTCACGAGTGTCAAGTTGTCAACACCAGCTTCATCGTAACGCCACGCCTTACAACGGGCTTTCGGGCTGTTTACGGAGTTTCCACATAGACCTCTTTGCCGTAGAGGGCAGACTGGCCTTGCTTTTTAAGCAAGCTCCAGTGATATCTGGCTCCTCCATACAGAAGATCGCGTTGCATGTTCACCCATTTATGAGGGTGAGGTAACCAAGTGATGTGTCTGTGGGCATACAAATGGGTCCTTCAATGACAGTGAACTAGATTCGTCAAGCTCCAACAACGAGCTAACTTTGAGGCGACATCCCACCAAGAGACCTTCCTCTTTTCATTCTATCTAGACCGATAGTAATACCGACGACCCACGCCTTTTGACTGGTTCTTGTCAAACTACCCACCATAGCCAGGCTAACGCAAGGGGAGAAGGATTCCGACTCGCTGTCTGCAGCACCAATGCACATCCAGAGGTTCCCAGGCCTGGACATTGAGCTAGATCAAACTCTCAGAGCCCTCGCTCCCTGGTCAGTGCCCAGCACTCACCCTGCTTGTTTTCGATTGGTTCGCATCTGTGCCGCTCGATGAAGAACTCTGAAGAAAGATCGATGTCTCATTTCACACCACACATTCTAAAGGTAATCTGGGGAATGAAGGTGTCCCAATAAACGGTCACGACTCGTTGCTTTGCATTTCCAAGCAGGTTTCCGCTCCTTCGGGACTCTGAAGAGCCCGTCACGCAAGTTCACTTTAATGTATAGCATCCAGCAGCCACTTTCCAAACAACGCGGATGTCAGAGGCCCAAAGGGATTGCATAACGTCAAGTGTTTGACATCGCCTTCAAGCAGTCTCATCACATGGGAAATCCGGTGAAAGTAATGCAGAACCTTCGAACTGGCACACTCCAACGAGGCGTTCTTTTGATGGTCCCCAAAATGGCATAGCGGCCTCGCCTCCCGTTAATCAGCAAATACTCGGCGGCGTTTTAGGTCTAGCAAACATCACGTCAGTACAGGTCGATCGGCCTCGTCCAACATGATCAACCTTGATAACCAAGGGGAGAGATGCAAGTTGCACGTCCTTCATTAATGAGTAGATCGGTAGCAAGCTCCGCCATTGCAAAGGCCTTGCCTACTAATTCCAGGAGCCCGGAGTAGGTTCCTTTAATGGCCAAGGTTTACTCAACTATCACTTGCATTTACGACAACAATCCAACAGGAAGCAAACATTTCGCCCGGAATGGAACGTGCTCCACCACAGCTTCATCATCACCGACAAGTCCACTGTAGTGCCAGGTGTATCCAGCGGAATCCGACTTGCTCCAGTACCATCCGGGATCTTCGGCTTTTCTCACTACACTGGTTCCTGGCTCCTGGGTCCGATGTTGCCTCGTCACGAAGTTGAGAACTGCTTATATGCATGCTAAGCATGCAGCAAGGCACGGCGAAGTCCATCCTGGCTTCCGGCCATGATCGCAGATGTAACAGCACCAACCGGGGGCTTCTAGGATGTCATGGGTGGTCTTGGCTCGTCTATTCCGCTCGTTTCGTCCGTCCCACCTCGTCATCTGTATGTCATCTGCAAAGCTGAATGTTGAACGGCACGAATCCGACCCAGACGCCTCACGAATGTATTACTTGTCCGTGCTCTACTGTTTAGGAGTCCATCTTCGTCTCGACACGCTTCCAACCATACCACAACTTGTCTTCGAGGCGTGATATCAACGTTCGGCTGACATGGCGGAGGTTAACAATAGGCTTGCAGACTGCAGAGACCACCGCACTTATGGCGCTCGGGCGGGCATTCGACGTGCTTCCCCGGAGCGGCTGGACCCTGAGTAGCGGGCGTGGCGGGCAAACTGCTCCTTCGGTCTCCACCCCGACCTGCCCGCCCATCCAATCTCTCACAATCATCTCGATGCCGTCTCATGTTAGTAGCACATCGCGTCATGTTCCGCAACTTGGCTGAACTCTGTTCTCCGGAAACCAGTGCATCGCGGCTCCAAGGCGCTGGCCAGACTTTTTCAAGATGGCAGATTCGATGTTACTTGACGTGGACGCTCTGTTGTGCACTCGTCATCATCGACATAACGCAAGTTGGACTGCATTCAACCGTGAATGCCATGTTCATGTATACGGGTTTCGTTCGAATCTCCCCACTGGCATGCTTTCAATTTTAGATCGCGCTGGCACCGCGCACTCAGATTGGATGGCTGATGCCAAATTGATTCGCACCACGGCAGCCCGAGAATGTGTTATGACGCTTTCATCGCAACTTCGACCATAATTGAATCTTGAGCCTCGAAGCAAGATCCTGGAAGCGTGCCCCAGGAAGTCGCCAACTCGTCCCCTTCACACTTCTCATTCCTCGCGTCGTTCTGATATAGATTGAGCATCCTACTATAATCTAACGCCTTGAATCACTCGGCACGTCCAAGCTCAGGAGGCTAAGAGAGTCTCGCGCTTATCAGAGGCCGACAAATGCTTGTCGAATTGAGATGGCAGAGCTATCAGGAGCTATGGCATCCGGGGATCTCGGCCTAAGGTAGTCAAGGTAGGATTCGATGCTGTCGGCACTCTCAAATCTGCAGTAGCGGCAACTTGGCCTTCAGACCAGAACTGCAAAGGTACCGCAGTGAAGGTATCTTCTCATAAGATGTAAGCTGTGCTTCAAGTCAGCCGCCACCAGAAGAGTCGAGGCCTAACTCCGTGGCGATTGCTTGAGGTTGCTCTCGACTTTAGTGAATGCCGGTCGAAGGAGCCTTGCCACACCCAACAACTCCCACATCGGACAATGCAGCTCACCAGTTGTGAAGCTCGGTGGCAGCTAACACACAGGCCCTCAAAGGGTAACTGGTTTGAGTTGGGGATGACGCCGTTCGATCCAGCCTTCTGCCCCCATGAACGCCTCCAACAGTAACTCCAGACATCAATCAGCAACTCTTAGTCAATCGAGTTCTTTTGTCAAAAGCCACTGCTCTCTAAGGCTTAGTTCAAACCAGCTCAAGGTCCTGTTACAGGTTCATGCCAAGATGCGGCCGTCGCATGGAAATGAGACATCTTCTAAGCCGGCAAACCGGAGCGACGGACGTGCGAGCCTCTCTGGCGCGGTGGCCAGAGCGTGTTCGTCTGCTTAGCTCCGAAGGCCGACGCAGGTCCCTGAAGATCATCTTTTTCCGTCTCGATCTGGGGATGGACGAGAAGAGGCGCTTTGGTTGCCTATTGGCTGGTGAAAAGTCATATCGAATAGTCTATCCTCACCCGGCCCTTTTTCTTCTGGAGATTAACGAAATATTACCTTATCAAAAGAGAGGATCGAGGCAACCTGGGATATTCCGTTAGCGTGACTTTTAGAGAGACCGGTATATGAGTATATCTGCCATGTGCATGTCTCGTAATTCATTGTCGCATTATTCTAAGCTAGCTAACTATTTTGGTCGCTCCCAATGGGAAACCGCTGGAGGGAACGCGACAAGGAACAAGTGATCGACAAAGAAGAACAAAGATCTGATTTCAAAGTTCCCAAGTCAAGCCTGGCTAGGGCCAGCCTTTCGTACCGTTCTAGAAAAGGGGGCGTGTGTATCCTTTCGTTGCCATAGTTTTGCAGACGCTATGCCGCGTACAGTCATCAGGCATCAAGCTCTCTCGCCGATCCGTACGGCTTTTCGTCCTCGGAGCAGACCCTGATTCATAAATCGCGTGGTTGCTGGGGTCGATGGACCGATTGCCAGGCTTTCCTCGGCCGAAATCGCACCGCACTGAGCAGTTGAGGACCTTGTGTTTAGAGATTACCTCAAAGTACACACCCCCGGTGCTGATCATGAGTGACCGGTGCAACGGATGATCAGGAATCCGGGACGAATCAAGACAAGACAGAGCAAAGATCAACGGAAGAAAAAAAATCATTGTACACAGAATTCGATATATCAGAGACAATCCGGTGGGATTTAAAGTTAATTATCATCGGTATCTGATTGCCGAGCTCCGCATTAAAAAAAATTAAAGAATGCAAAAGGTCCATCAGTTCACTGCGGCGCATAGACAAATGCCAACCTGTCAATCTCATCCCCGTCCCGTCCCAAGTATCCGACAATCTGCCATCCCGAAGGCGCCGTGTGCGTCGCGCAATCCGACGTCGTTGTACCGGCCGAGACCGTTCGGCCCGTGCTGGTCGTCGCCTGGATGTAAAAGTTGCGCGTCTCGTCGCTCTTCTTGCCCCAGCAGAGCTTGGCCGCAGTCCAGTACTCAGTCGCAGCAAGCGTCAGCGTCGCGGCCGTGCCACCGGTACCGCCGTGCGTGAAGACGGTGCCGTCGGCGAGCGTGACGGCGACGGAGTCGAGGCGGCTCGCGCCATGGAACGTCAACGCCGAGGCCTTGGGCTTGGACTTGCTGGCCAGGGCGGGCAGGTCGGAGAACCAATCGCCGTGGGGCCCGCCGGAGAAGTCGGACTGGCGCAGGGTGGAGGAGAGGGACCAGGTGAAGTTTGCGGTGATGGGGTTGTGGTCGGTGAGGATGCTGCCGTTGGCCTGGAGGAACTTGCTGCTCTCGTAGTTGAAGTAGGTGGCCTCGAGGTTGACCACCGCGTTGCCGCGGTAAAAGGCCTTGTCGACCGTCTCGCAGTAGTTTGTGGTGCTGGGGTTGGCGCAGAGGGTCTCGGCGGTGGGCACGACGCCGGCGCGCTCGAGCTGGAGCCAGACGTCGCGCATGCCGTTCTGCGAGGCGAAGACGCCGATCTGGTCCGACGTGCGGGTGTAGCGGGAGTTGGTGTCGCCAAAGACGAGGACGGCGTTGCCGACGGACCAGGTGTCGATGTAGGTGGCCACCTGGTTGAGGTTGCTGTTGCGGGCCGTGAGGTCGTCGGCCTCGGTGCCGGCGTCGGTGTGGAGGTTGTAGACGTCCACGTAGACACCCTCTGCGACCCGGAGGCGCATGAAGGTGAAACCCTTGGGGGTCAGGCAGTCGGACCCGGAGGCATTGGAGCAGGTTGACCACTTTACGCGCTCGAATTCGATCCAGTCATAGTTGGCGAGGGTGTTGAGGCCGGAGCCGAGAGGCACGCCGCCCGAGGTTGCCGTGCGGTAGGGGTGCGTGTCCGTCTCGTAGATGTAGGCGTGGTAGTTGAAGTCCTTGTTTATGGTATGTTAGTTAAAGTGCTTTTTTTCTATTTTCTGCCATTTCTTGGAGGTTCATGGCTAATCATAGCAGTAGAGTTCAATCTTGAAACAGTGACATATGGGAAATGCTGGGATCGCGAGTCGTGGATGTCCTTGCATTGACGCAGGGACGGAGCAACATGTGGCTCATGCGCTTTCCCCAGGACCCCAACCCACGCGATCAATGATGGGAAATAGCTTTTCAGCTGTCGGGAATAGATTCCTGCATCAAGACTCACCTCTTGAACGTTGATGATGTCGTAGTTGTACTTGGCAAAGTACGACCCGATGGTTCGCGAGTTGGTCGTCTTGTCGCCGGGCACCTCGTTGTTCTGGAGGATTTCGGGCAGGCCAGCGACGTTCATGGCGAGGATGGTGAGATCGCCGCTCGTCTGGGCCAGAGTGCCGGAGGAGAGGGCGCCTCCGGCAAGGAGCATCTTGAGGCTGGTGGGCTTCATGGTAGCGACCGGATCTTCTGCTCTTTGCGCAACGCGAGAAGTTTGATCGGACGGAGGGAGAGAAGAAAGATCGACGGGCGAGCGAGAGGACAAAGCGGCGCTGGCTGGAGACGAAATTCCAACTACACGCGAGAGAAACGGCGAGCAGTGATGATATATAAAGGAACCTTTCTGCTTAACCTAAATGTAATTAACTATGAACTCCCCTCTTGGCAACACGAGGCGAACCAGACATAAACACCCTGGTTAACCTTGACGATGTGGCATGTGCTAAAGAACCAGGGCCACAAGCAAGATTACAACAACTTTACAGTTGAATTTGGGGAAGGTGACAAGCAATAGCCATAACGTGATCTACATTTGACTCGTGATGGGTGGGACATCTCTCGGTGGTTGATGCTCATCTCCCTCGAACCCCTCACTGCCGCGGCACTGGTGCCCGAATCGGTCGTTCTACCCCGTCCTTATCGACGTATCGACGTGACGATGTAACCTCTCCCACCGGTCAATGCTGCACATGTCCGAGCCGTTGAATGCGGAGCGGTCGTAAAAGTCGGACACAGGGGGGGCCAGCACCGGACGAAAAGATGGAATATAGTATAGTATCCGTCTAATATCGACACGAAATATACACACACGTGCGGTGAAGTAGCATTGCTACACTCAATAATGACACTTCATTGGCATGGTACGTTTCTATCAATTTATTGAAATTAGGCCTAGCAGACATGCTGACTGTGCATATCATAGAGAGAGGGGGAAGCTATATTCCGAGGTAAACATATCATTCACAAGTATAATTAGACGGCCAGCTGTTTAGATGATACTGATTACCCTGATGGAGCTGAAAACGCACTTGGATAGAATTAGGTCCCGACCACTTTGCAGTGGAAAGCTTCTTCAGGGTTCACTTTTGAGATTCGCTATGCTGCCCTGCAGGCTCAAAAGTTGCACGTGGATCCACGTGGAGAGTCTTGGCTATGAGATTCGTCGACGAGGGGTTCTCCTTGTCGACATTGTTTCTTCAAACAACCTAGGCCCCCCCCACGGAGGGCAGATATTCCCACGACGTTTTATCGTCTCTCGGCGACCCAGCCGGAATCTTGGGGTTCCTCGACGACATATTGCTTATTCCGTTCGGTCACTATCTTCCGACGGCCGAGTCTGCCGAGAGGGAGCTGCAAGTATCCGCAAACAGTGGGAAAACAGGGGCAACTCGGCTCATGTGTTCGGTACCGAGTTTGGACTGGGTCGAACACTGTCAATCTCATATTTTGAGATGAAATGACGTGTCCCTGCGGAGGCACAAGTTGAACCATCCGAGTTTTACCAGGCGAACCATTGTCATGCCGCGCTTGCAGCGAGCAGCAGTAGAAGAAGATATCTCGCTCTCGGTAGGCATCCGTTGGCAAGATTCGGAACGGCCTTGCGACGGCTCGGCTTGCGAAAGAGAAGTGCGGCTTGGCGGAGGTGCGATGGTGGGAATCGGCCACTCGGTCGGTGCCTTTGGGTCATGTCTGGGTCAGACGAGGGAGGATGGTCCGTCCGTCCGTCCTCCCCGCCGGCGACTTTGTTTTGGCGCAGCCATGGGATGGCCGGGTTTCGCAACGGCCGTTGGGCCCCCAACCCTCGAACCCGGTGACGTTTCGCGAGGCGGCGCGCCGAGGTCCGAAGGAGACGGGCGGAGCCTCGACTCTGCTTTCGCAACCGGTAAGTTCCATGGACCCGAGCTGCTGGGTCGGCGCTGAGTCTCACTCTGACTCCGTCTATGGTCCCAACTGGGCCAAGGCAGAACCAAACTAAGATTCCAAACCGACTTGTGGCTTTTCCACACACCCAGAGACCTGGGCCCTTTTGCTGCCGTCGCCGGTACCGCGGTAATATAAGTCACCGTTATCGACTGTTGCATAACCCCGAGCTTTCCAATTTTAGAGCAGAATGGGGGTTTAGAGTGTTACCCAAAGGCTAAAGGTGGTTGGGAACGTTGGAATTCCAGTTTGGGTGCGAGGAAAAACGCCACAGTGGAGAGATGAACCCATGGTTTCCATGCTAACTTTGGTCGCGAAAACCGAGAGACTCGCGAGAGGCGTACAAAAGAGCGCCCCGAGAAAAGCATGACGCCCTTTGTTCCTGGATGGGTGTTTGGAACTAAGAAAGTCTGGTGCCACACACCGTGGCGCCAAGGATGGGTTCCTGACATGATTTTTTGGCTGCCAGCTAGCCTCATTTCCATGGTTCATGACGAGTGAGCGTAACCGCGACCGCGAGCGCGTTGACGAGACTACTGGTGTCTGTCTGCTACTGATTATTTCGACAAACTTTGGTAGAGGTGGTTTCGCCATGGTTCAAGACTTCCATCTTGACTCAACGGAGCTGATTCCCAATGGTTAATGTCCTCTATTTGCAACCGTTCAGACGTCACTCCATTCACGTAGCATCGCCTCGATGACCAGAGGGAGGCAAAATTCTCTCTGTAAAGCCCTGCAAGGGCAAACTACTTTTTCCAAGGCGGAAGGCATATAAGACAGCTGAATCTGGGCCTTGGTGCGGATAAGGGATGGTGAGAGAGGGCAGTGTGGGCAGGACTCTGACTCGGTGCTTGTTTGGGAATGTCTGCGCACGGCCCTAGCGGTGATCAGGGACCACCAGGCGAGCTTTGGTCGGGAGGACTGAGCTCCGGGTCTCAGGATGGTCTTGAGCAACTCTTCATGCGGAGGGGTGATGTGATGGATGGGGGCTGGCAAGGCAGGCAAGATGCGGGTTTCGTGGGCTGTTTGGATAATGATGGTTTCTGAGTTGTGAGATTTCGCATATTGGTCACAGTATGTCATTATGCTTCGTGATGGGTGTGGTTGTGGCTGTGGAAACGGTAGGTCATAGTGACCGTGTTATTGACACTTTTGGGGGTCGACGTGAGACTATCTTAGCCCTACAACCACAAGCCGACGGTCTCGTTCGATGAATGAATGAATCAGGTGGTATGTGCGGTATTTCTTTTGGGCGGCTCTCATGGATGGGCCAAATTTGAAATCTTTCCCTCGATTCCGGGGTCGTTGATCGGAATGAGAATCATGGCCGTTGATCTTGGTGATCGGTCATCACTGGGTCATTCAAGATCGCCTGGGGTAAGTCCAAAGGCCTGTTTCGAGGTCCTGTATGTTGCGGCAAAGGAACTAGAATTGAGACCTCTCAGCTGGCATCGTGATGATATTTGCCGAGAATTCCCAATGCCGTTTGTTTACCAAACCAGTCGTAAGCCAGATTGGCGAGTCCCATGCATGCCTTCGCGATCATATGATGATATTTGGATGTGATATTCCTCACCAAACGGAGAGGGTCTAGACTTGAGTTACCATCCGGCCATTTCTCTGGTGGGGCCCCGTCTTTGACAGCGGCATGCCGGCAAGGGAATCTTGCCCTCTTGTGGATGGACGATGAGGTCTTCCCTCGAATCGCCTGGAGTGGTACAGTGTCAAACGGTACCATTCCAGGGTGCGAGGTCTGAGTTGGTGAAACGGGCCGGACGCTAGGTATTCGTACACTACGGATACATCACCTTTCCAGGTGATATTAAGCATGATAAGGTTACGGTCGGTCGATTTGTTTTAGACGGTTTCTTTTTCACCCCTGCTATGGACCCCCGATGAGTCTTGAGGTGGGTGAGGGATAGAGGTAGGTCTGTCCATGTTGAGGTTGCTTGCGTCGTATGCGTGAAATCAGCGAAAACTTCGGCACACTCGGACGGGTCTTGATAACGGGTTCCTTGGGAAGCTTGGGTGGGCGTTCTCCAGTGTGCGCTCAGTCTTCTCCCTTCTTCACTGCCATGGAGACGGCCCAGATGATCAGTCCGGTTACCGGTTGTCAACAAACCCTAAGAGCTTGGATGTGGAGCATTACGCCCGTTTGAACGTATCCCTATGGAATTCGTCATCGCGATGCTTGGCAATTGTGGAATTGGAGCTGGGTCCAAGAGCAAGGGAATCGAGAATCCGGAATGAAGGACTGTGAAGCTGCTGGGAACATGGGGACATGTAGGGTGTTGCGCGGGCGTGATAGAGTTGCATATGCAGTGGTGGGGAGGGCGATGCAGATATCGAGGTGCCCTGGGCAGGGGGGACCGCTGACAATCGTTCTTGGGGCTCTCCCTGTAAAGAGCGATGAGGACATGCTGTTGAGATCGCTGGACGAGATCAAAGCTCCTTCACGCCAACGCTGGCTAGAGAAACTTGCGAGGAAAGGGCTATCCCCGCGGAATCCATGTTTTCTTCCTTCTTTTTTGTCCGATGCGTGGGTTCCTGGGAAGTCGTTCATGCGTAACTGGGCACATCACATCTCAACCTAGGATAATCACAGTGCGGTTCTAGTATCTTACGTCTAGTCTAGAGAAAAGTAGGACGGGATGCGTGGTTACACTCCGGAACACGCCGGTAGTCAACGGTGAGTGCTGCGGTACCTGTTGTTTCGCGAGCGTCTAGAAAACGTGGAGAAAAGGAAAGTGATGGATTCAAAAGGTGAACTAAATTACACGATACCAACCAGACCGAGAACTTAGAAGAGACGTAGGTCTGTGTGCATCTGAACTCTCGGGGAAAAGTCAAGCGAAAAGTTGAGTTGACTTTTTGAATTTCCCCTCTTCGAGAACATTGCTGTTTTGAGATGCTACAAACAGGACGCCCCGAAAACCAGCCGTTAGCCCACCGGAGGCTCTTGGTGGTATTCGGAATGGACTCGGTGTGCCGGAACGGATGTGGCGCTGGGGTCCGGAGCAGGCTCCGGCTTCTCCCACTCGCCGGTTGCGCCGCCCATCTTCCCGATCTTCCAAGACAAAAGAACAACGGCGCAACCCAGTCGACGTACGCAATCGAGATGGAATACAAACAAACGCATTGAAACGTGATGGCCATGTTGATCATATCTGATTGAAGCTTCATTTCTTCTTCCTTGCGTTTGGAACTCCCCCGGTTGCCCGCGTCCGATATCACATTCATCCCACCAGACGCGTTTCACGAACCCACGCAGCACAGTGGACATCTTGCTATTCTCCTCCGCCTCTGACAGACTGGCTCCATCTGCACCGTGTCCGTGCGCTCAAGGATCACAAGATTCAACTTGACTTGTCGCACTTCCCGACGACGAAGACGACCCTCGGCTTGCGCCCTGCCTGCCCCTCTCTTCAGACCTGGACTCGAAATCTGAATGCGGACTGAGGATCACAGCGTCATTCCATCACATCAGAGACGGGCCTTTCAATAATTGTTAGTCTCATATTGACCAGGTGTCAAACTGTAAGCGAAGGGCACCTTGGAGTAAGAAATGCAACGAGCTTTCCCCTCTTTCCCGCCTCGTTCCCTGACATTCGCTTGACAATGCGGGGCGGCGGGCAGCACCTGGCATCATCACAAGCAGCTGAAGTGGACGCGCGGGGGTTCCATTTCTGCAAACCCATCCAAGCTCCAGCTGTCAATGCGGGCAACGAGGGCGCGGCGCGCGGTTTCGGTCCATCGAGAAGCAGAAGCGGTGGAGGGATGGATGGCCTGCCGTTTTTCTTGCATCCTTCCCGCATTGACCCTCACTCCAAAATAGGCCAGGACTCAGAATAACACCCTCGTCCCCTGATGGGGCCCTGTCTGGGTCCTGGTCAATAATTTCTTCGTGTGAAGAACCGGCATCGTGGCTGTCAGGGTTCGTGATGCGTGCCTCCAGAAGGCGGCTGGGGGTGTAGATAGATGGAACTTCGAGAGACCTGGCAGATGGATGAGCAAGAGATAGCCTGGAACGAGGGGATTCAATTGAAAGAAGGTGAGAAACGTGCTTCGGCGTCGAGACCGGATTGACGCGGTTAGAGTGTTGATTGCTGCAGGCCAGGACACGAACCCCCCACTGTGACGCCCACCGGGCCACAGTTGAATATTGAGATCATCCAGGAACATTCCCTCAAACTCTCGACTACATGGGAGGGATTTTGCTTGTCTTGGCCGATACGTCCTAGTCGGCATCTCAGGGTCTTATCAGCTACCGCTGCACACGATCATGAATTGCTGTAACATCATCACTCGTGATTGTGCGATGCTGGGCTGCTCTAGAATGAAGCAATATTTGCTGTCATGCCTTGTCGAATGCCGTTGATATCCCGCATATGGACCTCATCTCTGCTCTTAAGTAGACGCACAGGTATGCGGTGCAACGTTCGGCGAACCGATCGGAACGTGGGCGACAATGGTATTGCTGCATAATTGCTTAAGATGAGTTATCACTGTACGGGGGACAAGACAGTGCTGCCGCAGCTTTACTTCTCGGCATCGCCTGGTCTAGGAGCCAAGCCTCTACAGAAACCTAAAGGCGATTTTTCTCGCTATTTGCCGAACATCAGACGGAGGAAGAAAAAGGCCTGGCTTTTCTAACCGTCGCTTGCCCGCGGATGACACACATGGTAGGGAGACCACATGGCAACTTGATCATCCGAAGACGAAGGCGGCTCCTGTCCGTTGAGTTGAGGGAAGAAATCTCCACCCCGCGCCGGGCTGCTGTAGCGAGGGGACTGCTCAGCAGGCTCGCGTTTCAGACCTCGCCCGTGACAACCAGTTCGGCGACATGTCCACTCTGGGACTTCTCAAAAGGGTTTCTGTTTATGCGACTACAGAGTTTGTGAGACGGTGAACATGTTCAAATGATCGTCCGTTGCCGTGTGCGACAGAAAATAATCTGGCGGGCGTTTGGAACAAGTGGACGTTTTGTTACGGTTGTCATTCGCGTTTTGGAGGGTATATTACCTGTCCTGTAAACCTTATAAACGTATCATGAATCTCTTGAAATAGTATCGGGGTTTGGAATCATGCATGACACCATGATGTAATAGTAACTTAGAGACGGTGTTAACAGTGAGAAATCCTCGGTAGTTAGGATGGCGGCGACCAATGTTCGGAGAGTTTCGGGGTGACAGCTGGTTTCAAGAACTGTGAACGATAACAGCGCAATTAAGTTGCTGGCAATGTGACGTTGAAGGATCGGACTCAGCCTTAGGCAAACTGTTAATGGATGTTTCATGACGGTTAGTCAGGGTGGCCAGCGGAATATGCATATATGAGTGAGCAGAAAAGAGCGTCTATTCGTACTAAAGAGTGGATGGAATCACCACAGGCTTGTGGACCTAATGCTATCCTAATAAGTCTTGCAGAGCTAGGACCAGGTGGAAATGACAGTCTGGCCTGTTTCGTGATGGTCAGACCATTCCGAATGGGTTATGTCCATGACTCGCATAGGAGCATGCATGGATTCTGTCATTTCACCACGCTTGCATATAGCCTCTCCACAAGTTCCATTACATCAATCCAGTTGCTGAGTTCATGTCATATGATGATATGATCATTGCTCCATTCGGCCCGTTGACGATCTTATTAAGGGATGGGAGAATCGCAGTCGCCAAGTTATTTGGAAAATGTTGATAAGCGCTTAGAAGAAGTATAATAGCACTACTAAAGTCGCTTTCAATCTTCTTCGCCGTTTGACGCATGTCTGCGTCTAACAAGATACATAATTATGGTCAACACAGTGCAATTCGCCGAAAAAGATCAAAGTTGCGACAGGATGTTTGCCATTGATATAACCTTCAGGTCTTGGTATCATTCAAATAGCGTAGTTCGCAGTTTCAAGGTTTAATGACAAATTTCAAGCATATGTTTCTGTCGGAACAGCAAGGCTGATAAGGAGCAATGGGCAGGTATCGTGGGCTGGCTGGCGCCTGCCCTGGGCGAAGTGGGACAACTGGCTTAGTCACCACGGCCTGTTAAGGTGGGGCAACCACCCAGGCCGTCACCACCTACTTCGACCGACCCCTGCCCAAAATGTAAATAGGAAGTAACAACAACAACAGCAATTATCACGGACATCGACGTGATTGTTGCCGAAGATACACCCTCATGAGGAAATGTATCACGCCTGTGATACCAACAGTTTCCATGAATCGTGGAAATGAGACTCTTTGAGTTGATTGCTAGGCAACTAGCCAAGACATCCATATTGCATTTCAAACGGCGGGTGATCAATCGCCAAACTAAAGTAGATTGTTTGGTGAAGTCGATTAATTGACAAGCGCTCCAGAGGTGGCCTCATGATGTTGAACCTAGGTAAACATCTACAGCAGTTGGTTTCTCAATCAGGAAATCGTCTGCGGTGTGAAGTATTAAGCCTAACTGTTGGTATACACGTCAGCAGGGCAACCGTACGGTTGGAACGAAGTGTCAATAATGGTCTATTATTGCTGCGTCTTGAGGTGGAAGGAGGAGGTTGTGGGCAGAGCCCACGGCCTCTCAGAAGTGGTATGTAAGGGGTCGTTTGTAAGTGCCCATACCGCCTTCCAGATCCACCTTTTCTGCCGACTGCTCAGAGATCCAACACTAACGTCGTAACAACCTATCAAGGAATGCTCAAGGCGCACATTTTCCTATTCTCTAGAATATCAGGAAGAGATCAAGATGTCGCTGCCTTGGCTTGATACGCATGTTGTTCACGCGGCGATGATTTAGGAGGTCCAGCCTACTTTGCTTGCTGGAACACAAGTTTTGAGAGGAAATGATATCCACCACCGGCTTTGTGTTTCTACTCTGTGGAAGACTAAGTATGAAGAAGATCACAAGTCAAGTCCATGACTATCTTAAAGGTAGAGCTCATTGATTACAGACTCGTTTAATCCACATTGTCCAGCCTCGGAAATTTGGATAGAGTGATATGCTGGATGCTACATGTACCATCTGCTCCATGCCTATCTTGAGGTCAGACTGATTTCAACGGTCTGCGGATTTGTATTTAAGAATTTGGCAAGACTATCAATGAAATCAGTTTCAAAAGATAACCTTCCTCAAGCTTCACAGAACCATTGATGCTCTCTAAAAACAAGGTCCAGTCTCGTTCAAATCCAGTGGAGTCACAGTAGCTGCGTTTCGAGTCATATCGATTTAGTAATGATGATTATTGGAGTCGCTGAATCAGATCGTGGCGCGTCTTGGATTTGATCAGCTTCGTTGAGAAGCCTGGCTGGACAAGGCTTGAGTCTATTTTGGAAGTAGGTAGGCATGGCTCTTTGTTGCTCAGAATCCGGTATGTCCTAGAGTGTGTATCCTGGTGTGTTGATGTACATATGTGTAATTCAGCTAGTATCTCTACCATTCAGACACCTCTTGCTCGACCAAATCCCCAGTTTGGGGAACATCCCTCTCCCGGGAATGGCTGCGTCACTTGAGTAGCGCTAGTATGGTATCAAGGACTTCGCAGTCGTCCGGACCCGTAGCCGTGTACCTCGCGTTTCCTTATGTAAAAGAACAGATGATCGATGCCATCTCTAGATTATCATCCAGCTGTACATTTTCCAGGCCTCTTGACCACAGCCTTGACCCTAACGTTGATCGCAAGGTCTGCGAATTGTCCCATACCTGTCCAAGACGTGGCCTGATATCTCGACTTCCTGTACATATGACAAACTGTGATGCCTCATTCAAGGGTCTGAAAGCTTCGATGCCGTCACAACTTTGGCCGTAAACTGCCTTCTGGATCTCTTGATTCTAAAGTCGCCATCGCCTGTGCATTCAATCTCCTCCACATATTCTTTCGACGCTCGTGACCCTGCATAAACCTTTCGAACCAGGACTTGTTGAAAGGTGGCAGCTCTCGGCCCTTGCCGTCTTCCGTGGGTGGACCAGCAATTCTTCTCAACTCCTCAAAGTATTCTTTAAAGTCTGGAAATACGAGCGCAAATTTCGGGCCGTCGCCACGCTTTGCAATGCGGTCTACTTCCCAAGCGAGCTGGGCTTCCGTCGATGGGAGGCGAGAGGATGGGACACGGCCTGCGAGTAGTTGGGCAGCGAGGACAGCCTGGTATTCGAAGATCTTGAACGTAAGACCTGCGTTGACGGCACCAACAAACAAAATTGTGGGATCCGGGGTGTAGATTGTAGTTGTTGTTGTTGTTGTATTTAACGCCGTGGCGGCAAAGGCGCTGCCGCCCTTGCGGCCGACCTCCCGAAGGGTATATGGCGTGGAGAGCCGTCGCCCTATAACTATTGCTAGATACAGTTCAAATCGTCCTCCAAATCGTGCCTTATGGCTACTATGCGTTCTATCTGTCCCTGGTTCCCGCTGGTGCCCCAGTTCCATTCTTGAATTTTGCGGCTTAAGGCCGGATATGTCTGGAGAGGGCGGCCTGCCGAAACAGGCCCCTCGTACATGTTCTGATTTGTACAAGACCATTCCTGCCCCAGTACTAGGTTGACGACGTGTACTCGCCGCATATCCACTTTTTCTTGGTCGGAGGGTGTGGATATGAGAAAACCCTGGCGAGGGCCCGGAAAGGGTCCTAGGCCCCGCATTAGGCCCCCCGATCAGAGGGACTGATCATTGACAAGGGATATGTTCAGGACTAGGACTTGTATATAGGATGGACTCGAGCCGGACTTTAGGATGGACTTTCTATAGCTCTTTAGTAATCAACTTCGTATTAGATCTTATGATCGCTTTCAGCTATCTTCCCTGAGAACCTCTTTGATAAGACTACGATTGATCACCGCAGCCTTCCCTTACCTTACGACTTACAGACATAGCTTCCCTGAAGCTATCCCCGACTAGGAATACTGTTACCAGTTCCGCAGCCTCAACTTCTGCAAACAAACCTCACTACGACTAGCTGGCCGTAACATCTAGATCATAATAACTTCTACTTTACAGAACGGTTTAAAAATAGCCTACTTAAATATAGGCCTAGAAGAGCTGCTATATAGGCCTAGCTACTAATTCCTAGGTCTGCTGTAGTAATTTTATAGTAATCCCGTTAATCCTAGGGGTTATAGTCTTTATTAGAGTAGCATAGCGTACTTATTCTATACTAACCATATCCTGCCAGGGCATTAGACGCCGTATAACTACTGGGATTGTAAAAGGGTCCCCAGGTAAGTCGTCTGTAGCGTTAAATCTCTCTAGTAAGGCCTTTCGTAGGGCCTGGGCTTTATCGTAGCTATTGTCGATTATCTGACCTTCTACTATAAGAGGCGGGCTTTTAACAGCTAAGCCAGCCTTCCGCCAGCCTACTATCTTATATAGGTCTTAGTCTGACTTAGCCTCTTCAATCTTAGCAGTCTAGTAGGCGCACTTTACCTTTCTAACCATAGTTAGGAAGGCCTTTTGCTCCTCTCGGATAGGGGGAGGTATAACTAGCCTAGGTTCCTAGGCCTGTTGGCGCCTGGCGTTACAGGCAGCTCTGTGGGCTTCTACGTACTCTTCTATCCACCAGGGGGCTCCCCTACCCTGCTTCGTCCGTCTCTTTCCTACAGCTTAAATAGCTATGTAGAAGAGGCTAACTAATTAGGCAGCTAGGGTGTCTAGCTCTGCTAGTTTAGGTAAGTCCCTTAGGGTAGGTAGAGCTGCGGCGCCTATCTATACTAGGTCGGTGAGTCCAGGTAGAGCTGACTCTGGGACTAAGAGGTGGCCAGCCTGGCGTCTCTGTTCCTGGGCCTTACTTATAAGGATAATCGTTATGATAGCTTGATAGTTAGCCCCTAGGTGTAGGTATAGGCTGATATAGGCCTTAGTAAAGGGGATATTTGAGAATGTTAGGTCGAGGGTATACCTATGAGTATGAGTAGGAGCCCTAACCTCCCTAATAAACGAAAGATCGTAGCCTTTAGCCTACTCTATAATATTATTTCCCCGATTCTAGCTAGGAGACCCGGTCTCCTAGGATCGGTGGCGGGTATTAAGGTCTCCTATAATAAATACTCTCTTTAGTAGTTGATAACCTAAGAGGAGACTAGTTATCTGGTTAATAGGCTCGCCTAGCGGCCTATATATATTGATAATAGTAAAGTGTCGCAAAAACGACGCCGTTAATTACGGGCAGCAATTAACGCCATATATACCCTACGACATAAAGTTACTAACCCTTACTTATAGGGTATTTCTTGTTTGAGTAGGTCTTTGTCACTATATTTGTAGCCTTAGACCCTTATATGTATAAGTCATAACCCTAGGTCTTGTATCTCTATTATTTTAAAAATTAACTAGGATATAAGAGTTAAAGCCTGGGTGTGTATCAATATGTATCTTATCGGCATAGCCTATCTAAGGTTCCTGGACTAGTACTACGTTAATCCGATCCGCCTAGTAGAGCTCTAGGAGAGTTGTATGAGCCGGGCTTTGCTTCCCTACGTTGTACTGCGTTACCCGTAGCATCCGTGGGGTAGCCGGTCTGAGCCTACTGTTCTGAGTCGAGGTCGAGGTGGGTGTATGTATTAATAACGTTGTAATCCGGCTTCTGAGCCACCCGCTGGGCCCTGCTGCCTGAGCTAGCCGGGTTAGGCTGGGTGGGTAGGGGGGGTAGGGCAGGGTCGTCGTTAGAGACTTCTGCTTCCGCCTCATTCTCGTCCTCGTCCATACTGCTACAGCTAGCAGCATCACTAGCGTCCGCTATAACAATCGAGTCCTGGGTGGGAGTAGGGGCGCGTGGGCGCTTTGAGCCGGGCTGATAGCTTGTTGGGCTGCCGTTAGGTTGCTGGGTGCTATTGGCTTGGGTGCCAGCCTGGCTGTTCTGATAGAGGGCCTTATAGGCCTTCAGTCCAGCCTTGCGGAGCTGGGAGAGTTCCTTCCGGCCTGGGAGGGTAGGGGAGCTATTAACCACTAGGGGCCTTGCTGGACAGTCCTTGTGGTTAGCTTGGAAGGGGCCGGAGCAGTTGGCGCACTTCGGTCTAGCTATGCAGGGCCCAGTCTCGTGGGATCCCGAGGGCCTGCTATAGTTGCTATAGAGCGGCTGTCGGTTATAGTATCGGTTCGAATAATATCCCTGGTATCTAGGGTCATGTCTAATTAGGGTCTTCTTTTTTTAAATAAGCTAAGACCTGCTACTTTGGTTAAATAGTCTGAAGGGTGGTACTTCTATAGAGAAGGAGATGACCCAGGAGACTTCGTTTGTAATAGGGTTTATACCTAGCCGGGATTACTGGGCCCGGGTAGGCTTACGTCCTGTTTGGGTAAGGACCTTATCTTCTACTAGAATAGCTAGGTCAAGGGCGTCGCCATTAAGAGTCTATATCTTAGTAACGTAACGTAGGACGACGTAGGTAAACTACTTAGTAGGGGTCTTAACTTTATAGGCTCTAAGATACTCTGCTAGTTTCTGTTTATTTACAAGGAGGGCTTGCTGGACCTGCTTATTCAGGGGTCTTAATGAGTAGCCAGTTATAATATAGTAGATATATGGGATATCTACCAGCTAGAGCCTAAGGGCCTGGCAGACTGTCCGGCGTAAGGTAAAGGGGGCGTGCTTCCTAATAGCCGCTAGGCCCTCTTCTGGGATACGGGCAAAGACGCGGAGGTCCTCCTTCGGTTAGGATAGAGCCTGGGCCCGGGCCTCCGTTAGACTCTGTATCTGGACTTCGGGCCGGGGTAGGATTCGGGTACGGGTCGGGGCTACGGCTACGGCCATGGCTGTAGTTGAAGCCGAGGCTGCTACGTCAGTCCATTTCCAGCTCGGAGTCGGAGCCGTAGTCTCGTTACCTATAATCCTCTTTAAGGCTTAGATTACATAGGTTATAGCTTCTTTTGCGATCTGCTTCCTAGGCCCCTTAAAGCAAGAGATCACGTTGTCCATAGACTGAGCAATAGCTATAAAGTCGTCCTTTCGGGCTTTATAGTGCTTAGCCTCTTTATTAAGAGCTGTAAGGACAGCTCCAGTAGCTGTCCCAGTCATAGTCGAGGGCCCCTTAGCCGTTAAGGGGGTTGTCGTAAGGGCGTCAGGCTGGCTTCCCACGAGGCTGGGCCGGGGTGGCTGGGCCTCGGTACCGCGGCGGCGTTTAGCCCTTGAGGTTAGAGACGACTCCGGAGGGGGTCCAGAGCCTCGGTCAGGACCGGCCGAGGAGGCTGGCAACAGTCCAGAGCCCGCCGGAGGAGAGAGGTGGAGGGTTTTCAACTGTTAAGGATATTGGTGGTGGCCCACCTATTGCACTAACAGTAGATGCCAAGAAAAATTAGGCGAGGGGGAAGTTGGTGTAGATTGTATGGAGGTACAGATTTGGGATGCGGTTGTTACGAGGGGTTGGAACCGAAGTGTTCTTGACTTCGATCGAGGAGCCGGACGATGGAGGCGTGAAGAAAGGGAGTGTCCAGCTGTATTCAGTGCCGAAGATTATGTCGTCCACATTGGGAACGGACGATCCGTCTATGAAATGAACGGTCCGAGAGGCCGGTTCGATATGGGAGATGGAAGCAACCTTGTGGATCAAGGGGTGGTTGAAAGCCTCATCACCAAAGTAACCGTTGAAGGTATGTCCCTTCACCACGGCATGAACAGGTGCTTGAGCCACTGAGGTCAGATCGAAAGCGATGTCTCCTGCAGAGACAGAGGCGCCGACCACCACGACCTTCTTGCCCTTGAATGCGGCCCGACCTCGGAAATGCTTGCTGTGAGTTACGCTCCCGGGACGATCTCTAGCAAATTCAGACAGACCGTCAATGGAAGGGATGTAGGGCACACTGTAATGCCCAGATGCAACTATCACAGCATCGAATCTTTCCTCCCACCAGTAATCAGTGTTCTCGCCGTCTTTGCGTAGTGTGAGCTTCCACTCTTCACTGAGACCGCTTGCTGCGGGCACCTTTTCGGCTCGTTCAACAGTAGTGTTGTAGCTGATAAAATCGCCGTAGCCCCTTCGATCGACCAGAGAGCGGACGTAGTCCTGTACCAATGACCAGTGTCGAAAGGGCGTGTCCTCTCCGTGGATTGATCTGGGGTGTTCGGACTGCTGAGTTGGAAACGGTTCCTGAGTGTACTGCATAGGGACGAAGTCTACGTTCGTCTCGAGATAAGGGTAGACAGTAGATTCAGAATACCGCGGCGAGGGCGACTTTGGCAGTTGAGCGGGAAGATTGGAGGGAATCGCTGGCAATTGAGGGTCTGCCGTTCGGGAGGAGAGGAGATCGAGCTCGTTTGGTTGAATTATTGGCGGTGGCTTCTCTTCACCGAGCCTGTGGATATTGTGAGTACGGACAATGGCTCAGTGAGATGGACTCTTAGCTCACCAACATCCTCCCGGAGCCTCACGACGCTCAAAAACCCGGATGATGTCAAACGCCTGCTCTTTAGCAAGAGCATCGATCGTGATGGCGCCGGCAGGGCCAAGGCCGATGACTGCAACACGCTTGGCGGACTTCGCTCCTTCCGCCATCTTTACAAACTTACAACGGCGGGGTTGGATAGTTGGCGAGAAGTTTGTCCACGAAGACACTCGAATGATGCTTTCTCGCCGTTTTATGAGTGAGGACTGAGTGGTGAGCCGGTCGCCGGAGGGATTTGCCATGAAGTGATGCCCCACACAGACCTGCTCATCGGGATCGAGCTCGTCAAACTTGGACTAGATCTGTTGTTGTTGTTGTTGTTGTTGTTGTTGTTGTTGTATTTTAACGCCGTAGCGGCAAGGGCGCAGCCGCCCTTGCGGCAGACCTCCCGAAGGGTATATGGCGTGGAGGGCCGTAGGCCTATAGCTATCACTAGATACAGTCCAGCTCGTCCTCCAAATCGTGCCCAAAGGCAACTATGTGTTTAACCTGTCTCTGGGTGCCGCTGGCTTGCCCGAGACAGTGCTATGGTCGTCCCTAGAACGCAATTCCGCCAGTATCTCCTATCCTTCGACCCAGAGCCCGCAGGCTTCTGGTTTATACAACGTTCCAGTAACCGTCCGGAGTATATCGTAATAGGTAATACCGCCACAAGGGCAACCACAAGGGGCAAAATCTCGTAAGACTAGGTTGTAGGGCTTGCTGTTAGGTTCTGTAACGAGCATAGCTGTATATAGCCGTGGCTATACGTCGCTACCCAAACTTGGACTAGATCGAAGGCATAGAATCCCTACGCCGTCGGTCACCGCCCCTTCTCTGTACTTCTGCCAAGATTAGGTAGCTATACAACGGGGCATGGTTCTCCAGGGCAACTCACATTGCTTTTCTCCTATTTCTGCACTTTACGTATGTAACGGTGGGCAGTTTTCGAGGGTTGACATAGGCGCTTTTTACCCTTGCGAATGGAATCAGCGTTGAGCAATCAAACAATGAAGCAAACAAGCAAACAAATAAACCAAGGACGAAGAGGCGGTTTCAGCTAAACAGTACTTTGCAAATTCAATGAGCCTTCTGAAAAGTCTCATCTCAGGTCGAAATGTACATTCCCGCTATCTATCTTCCACCACCTAGAGCTTCAAAGCCCGAAGGCAGTGAGTAAGATAGCTCGGGGTTTGTCTTGGCGCGATGGTGAAAGATTGCGTGCTCGGCAGGATGGCAGTGATAGCCACTAAACTACAGACCAAAAGTGGGGAAGCTTCAAGAACATCTAGCTATCAATCAGAATGTCTAACCGGATCGAACTGACTTTGCCGGCATGGCATGCCCTCGATCTGCGGTTTGGGGGCGATTGCGTGATGTTACCATGACTGTGGCACCGAGCTGGCCCTCTAAATGCAAGGATATGTTGGAGTAGCATTCTCACACGAACTATCAATATGCCCGGGGTTTCGTGAAGCTAAAGATGGCGTGAAAGGTAGTCTCTGAGTCCCAAATGCCGGAATGAGAGGTACGATGAAAACGATCTGCATTTGAAAACACGACCAGAACCCTTTCGCCGGGGAAAAAATATCAGTTCCAGATCTCAGTCATCTCCTCACTTTGAGCACACAACGATATGAGTGAGTCGAAGCAGGAAAGCCTACAGTCTATCGACTTGCCAGGGCAGGTGACAGCAGTCACCGAGCAACACTGGACGCAGTATGAGGAGGCACGAGCTCGTCGGAAGTAAGTCGATACATGGCAGGAAAGGTCAATCAGGCAGGTAACGGACTCGCTGACATTCTATCTGGTAGAATCGATAGCTCAGTGCTTTAACTATTGTACTTGGGTCTGCTCGTCTTTCAACTTGACCGCATGAATCTCGCAAGTGCCCTCACTGGCGGCTTTGCGAAAGATATCGGGGTAAATCAGGACACCATCAATCTCGGAAATCAGCTCATGTTTCTTGGAATTGTCATCCTGGAAATTCCCTCGAACATGCTCTTGCAAAAGGTGAGTGTGGTCTCCGCTTGTGCATGCAGAATCACTGTACCCCTTCGAAGGCCAATGGTGCTGACCGATGGACGATGAGATTGGACCGCGCAAATACATTTCCAGCCAGGTTATTCTGTTCGGCTTCGTCGCGACTATGCAAGTATTTCTGGTCGATCGCAAAGGTTTCTTGGCTTCCCGTATGATGCTTGGCCTTGCGGAGGCAGGCTACATTCCAGGGGCTTGCTATACTCTTTCTACCTGGTACATGAAGAAGGAACTAGCCAAGCGCATAGCAATTTTGTTGGTACCGACTGATTGGCTGTGTTTTACTTTTTCTAACCCTTCGCAGCTTCTTCGGGATGTTCAGTGGGAACGCCTTAAGTCCCATATTAGCATCGGGTATCCTGAAGCTGGAAGGCGAGCGTGGTCTCCGTGGATGGCAGTGGCTTTTCCTGAGTACTTCAACAACTCCTACCCCCGTTTTATTGATGGCATACTAACTCTGAACAAGTCGAGGGCATATTCACTATCTTCGTGGGACTTTCGCTCCTGTTCCTCTTGCCCGGTTCCCCAGACACGCCAGACCCGCTGTTGTCAGTTGAGCCCAGGCCTCGTCCGATTTAAAGGCTCAGAGAAGAGTATCATACAAAGGCGCCTAGAGATAGATGACAAAGAGAAGCGAGGAGGTGCGCAAGGAATGAGAATTCCTCCAAAGCTCGTATTGAAGACTGTTCTGCACTGGAAGCGATGGCCACATTTTCTGAGCAGCTTTGCTGTCTTCTCTACCTGGAGCCCTCTGACCACTTACACACCTACCATCATTATGTAAGTTTCGGAAAAATCGTTTTGATGGGATCTGGAAGATCATGGTCTTGAACAGTCCATAACTTTCATGATTGTATCAGGAATCTCGGCTTCAACCGCATCCAAGCCAATGCCCTTGCCGCGGTGGGTGCATCACTCGCTCTAGTTGTCGTCTTCATTTTCGCCTACATCAGCGACAGGACCAACAAGCGTGGATTCTCAGTGATTGGGGCTCAGTTTTGTTATCTAATTGTCTTAATCGTTGCGCGTACGGCACACCCTCATGTCGGCAAGTGGTCCCGCTGCGGGCTCTGGACAGCTGTAAACAGCTTCGCGGTTGGCTATCACCCTGTCAACAACTCATGGGTGCAACTCAACTGTAAGGAGCCAGGTGAAAGAAGCATCAGTATCGCGTAGGTTGTGTTTCAGTCTAGAACAAGAGTTGCTTTCGGATGTGCTGACGTTGAATAGGATGTGGGTGATGCTCTCTATCAGTGGATTGATGGTGGGTACGCAGTATTATCGTGGGAATGATGCCCCATTGTGAGTAGCTCAAAAACACTACGAGGTGGTAGGCTGTTTTCTTGTTCATCGCTAACCTAAGTATGTAGTTACCAAACGGGACTGAGGACACAGACAATCATGGTATCAGCGGGAATAGCATTTGCGATTCTCCAGGTTGTAATCTACACAGTTCACAACAAACGGGTGGCTCAAGGGAAGCACAAGCCCCGTGATGGTGAAGCGCCGCGGATCTATGTGACGTAAGTAGGTACTAGATTGAAAGCGACCTATCGCAAAAAAAGATTCAAGGAGCTGGTAGGCAAAGCTGGTTTGGGTTCGTATAGAGACCTTCAAGCTGGCAAGAAAAGAAGAATGCAGATATGGGAAGTGGACTCAAACTCCTTTTACTTTTCTCTTTCTTTTGAACCTGAAGATGAATAATGTTCGGAGTACCTGATACCATCAAAGAAGCGCCTGCGAGCTGAATTTGCACCTCAGCGCTCGATTATTCCTCTTCCTTTACTGTTTTTACCATATGATACAATACCCTCTCGGGTTCCTCTGGTGTGTGCTTGTCTGTTGGGTTTCGCAAGGATGTGGAATCGCCTGGCCGAACCTTTGCCCCGATCTCGAGGTTTTCGATCAGATATGGAAGCACGAGCAGTTCAGCAAGGGTGCGCTTGCACTATCACTAAGATTGGCCACTTTACTGAGTACGCCGATGTCTATGGTAAACCAGTCGGCAATCTCCATTTCGTCGGCACGGAGTACTCGACTGAGTGGAAAGGCTACATGGAAGGTGCGTTATGCTCGGGGGAACAAGGAGCCAACCAGGTTGTTAAGGCCCTTCAACGCTCGACTTGGGCAAGACTTTGAACCAGCTGGCTTGAAACAGAGAGTTCATGGCCCAGAAACCCTATATGGGGTTGAGTCCGAATCAAACATATATTCCCCCAGAGCTATAGCTGAAGGGTGATGGAATTAAACGTGTACTTATTCGTTGATCGATACGCATACAATGTAGCCAGACATAGGCCACCAAAAAGCGCTTTGCAAGGTCGTCTTATTACAATTTTCGGGCCTGGGCAGTCTGTAAGTCAACAGCGGCACAGCCTAGGCTGCAACATGTTTCAAGCCGATCACCGAGATCTTCTCGGCTTCCGACCAACAAGACCAAGCTATCCACGCTATCGTACCCAAAATCATTAGAATAACCTGAGCTCAAGCACAATCCCTGTTGGGCGTAATACCAAATTAGGGTAATGACTCCTCTCTGCCTAGCCCAGCCGCAAAAGTGTAACATGAGATGCATCTCAATGTATCCAGTCATTGTCCGTTGAGCTGACAATTGAACATGTATTTAACAGAGCTACCCTCTCTCCATATTGTGCTTCGGAGACCAGTAATTCTCCCCCGCTCTCATAGTTCACTTTTGGTGCATGCAGCATCCCCTCTTCGAAGAGGGAAAGATTGAGCATGGATTCCCAGGATCCGAAGGCCAACTTCCAAATTGTTCCAAGACAATCCGACGATGCCCCGCCCTCTGCTCTAGACCAAGCTGGGTTCAAACAGTCGCTTAGCTTTGTCCAAGAAGTTGGAGTGAGTTATGCTCCTTTATCCGCCGGCAAACGGCTCAATACTAACTGCTCTTACCTGCCAGGGCCGGTTCGAGGCTAGCGAGCCGGCAAAATATTCGACTTTTCTGAACGTATTGAACGAGACAAATGTGACGCCCGTGGAATCACAAGAAGAGTGGCAAGCTGTCAGGGCCGAGAAACAGGCTGAGGCTCGCGTAAAGCTGGAGGAACTATTCAAAGGCCACGAGGACTTGCTGGAAAAGCTGGATGCATTTATCCCAGCACTAAGCACGTGAGCGGCGAACTAGAAGCCTAGGAGACGATGAGAAGAAACCGAAGGTGGTCTGTGAAAGGATATTCTTTGGTGATGGAGGTTGGTTCGAGGGTCACGAGTAATCCCTTGGTCGAATCCAACAGAGCTACTGAACGTCCTCACTTAAGCTTTAAAAACAGCGCGCCAAGGGACCACACTTCATCTAAGGCGACTCACCTGTGACCTGCAGCAACCGAGCCCCGGGGGTGCCCAAGTAAGAAGAATACAGTATAGTTCTGAGCCTTGTTTCTTGTGTTGTTGGGACCGGTTGCAGATACGAAGCGGCACAGCCATTCAACATGACTCGAGATGGGTTCATCGCCTGCAGGTGGGGCCGCGATCAAGCGGATTGAAATGTCCACGAAGTGGTACCAGCAATTGGTAGATTTCGTGAGTGTTTGACATGTGGATATGTACCGAATCTTCTGGTTTTCAAGACAGATAGGCATATAGACTGGTACATGTAGTAATTACGGCTACATTCTGCATGACAAAACCCCGAAGTTTCGGGATAAGTGCAGGCCAAGTTAGCCGGTGTGTATCCTGCGACCGGATTCCTCTCAGAAACCCCAAAGCTTTGGGGATATTCAAGAAATTATTGCGGTGATACTGCCTGAGTAGGAACTTTTCAAAGAATAGGCGCTGCTCGGAGGTATGGCACTCAAGCGCAGCAATGAACGTAGGCCAGATAAGTATGTGCTCGCCTAGTGCGCCTTCTGGGAATGCCTCCAAGCTCCGTTGAAAGGTCTTGATGGCATCGACAGATGAGGGTGATAGGGTGTTGTCATTATCGTTAGTCAACGCTCTGCGGAGGTACATGTTAAAGGCCTGCTGGCGAATGTCGGTGATGAGGTCAAACGTAGGGCAGTGATCGGGATGTAAGCTGTAGTAGTAGTAGAGACAGTCGAAACTCTCCTGAGCGTGGTATGATAACGCCTTCATCCCGGCATCTTGGCTGACCAAGGGTGCAGCGTAGGCGCGCATCCTAGTGAGTCTGGGTAAGAAGCAGTTTTCAAACACTCAGCAGAACGGAACAAAGGGGATTACTTACTTGCGAATCTGTCTCAAGAGGAAACCTCCCATCTCTCCTGCGTCAGCTAGGGCCTCTTCACCTCCAATAGCTTTGATAGATGCTTCCAACATCTGGAAGACAATAGGGAAATCCGGCATGCCGTTGACCATGACTGAAACCAGAAGGACAACAATGGCAAGAACCACAAGTTGCTGGGTCTCGTCGCCCCAATCTGTTAGGTCCTTCCGATGCAAGAGTTGACCGATTGCCAAAGCATAGAGCCTGTCTGGATTGAGATGCGGCAGCAAGATGACTCTACCAGAGAGATGGAATGCTGACACGGCGAGGACAGCGTCCATTACCATTTCGTTTGACCAAGCAACCGGTAGGATCAAATGTCGCCAGCCGTTGTAGATGTCATCAACTACAACCATCTCTGGTGCAATGGCGTCTGAAACTGAATGGTACTATTAGTGTACGTTCAACAACTTGCGAACCGAAATCGAGGAAAACAACATTGGCATTAATTCTTAAAGCTTAATTCAGGCGGGAACTTAGGTTCCATCGATCAATTTAAGAGGCTTTATAGAGACTTCCGTGTGATTTCCGGCTCAGCCTTGTTAAGGTCTGAACGGCATAGAGAGATAATCTAGGTAAGGAACAGAAAGGATAATTAATTACATATCGAGGGAGCGCAGGCCAGGGACCAATAGGAGTTCCTTACTAGGAAAGCTTAACTTAGGATACGGCGAATAAGTTTTGTCTATAAAAAGTCTATACTTTCCTATTATCTAAATTGAGTCTATGTCCCTTGACTTACCTAGGTACTTAAGTACTTAGTAGAAAGTACGTCGACTTATTTCCTGAACTATGTAAATCAGGCAAGACGCGGGGGCGATTTTTCAGGGGCTCAATTTCGGGCTGGCGAGGTGGATGGCAAGGTGAACACCAACAAGTTGATGCAGGACATGAATATTTTCGGCTGACCTAAGCTCTCAAATCGCTAGAGGGAAGCCGTTGCAAATGATCCCACGGTTAATGCACTTTGCGCAACTCGGGCGTGTGCCATCGCAGTCGATTCGACGTTGGGAACACTCGTAACAGCCTGCCCATCATTTATTAGCCCGCCACTGATTCTCGGAACTTAGCACAAAGGTGGCGGGGTACACACCTTTGACTTTGGGTACGTATTGACGTTTTTTTCGAGCCATGAATGCTCTCAAGCATCAAGCCGCTCCCTCATCTCGGATATATCGCTCTGTTGTTACCAGAATCAGAAGCATCTAGGTCGAAGTGCGGGGAGTTCGTCTCTCAATGTTGAAGCCCAAAGCCCCCAACTTCTTCACTCCCACTTGCAACCTATCAATTGAGAAAGATCGGGGCACCTTATCGCGCTTTCCCCGCAATAGTGTTGGCCGCGGTTGCTGCTCCGGAGATCGGCATGCCTCAAGCGACCGCCTTGCAATAGTGTCATTCCCCGCTTTCTGAAGACGTCCCAAAGGGGTAATGGAGATGAGAGCACACATTATTCTGACTGACTCCCTTTCGAGACCAGCCGAATTCGCAATCATCTAGGGCATATATTCTCTCCTGGTATTGTAAACTAAGTATGGTCTATTTTGGCCTATCACGAACAGTTTTGATGACGCACCCACGACGGCACAAAGCTTTAGGAATGGAATAGATCAGTGGCTTTCGATAGCTCGTCGAACAGCCAAGTCTTGCAACTGTAACACTTTCATCGTAAACTCTAGCGATTTGAGAGCTTAGGTCAGCCGAAAATATTCATGTCCTGCATCAACTTGTTGGTGTTCACCTTGCCATCCACCTCGCCAGCCCGAAATTGAGCCCCTGAAAAATCGCCCCCGCGTCTTGCCTGATTTACATAGTTCAGGAAATAAGTCGACGTACTTTCTACTAAGTACTTAAGTACCTAGGTAAGTCAAGGGACATAGACTCAATTTAGATAATAGGAAAGTATAGACTTTTTATAGACAAAACTTATTCGCCGTATCCTAAGTTAAGCTTTCCTAGTAAGGAACTCCTATTGGTCCCTGGCCTGCGCTCCCTCGATATGTAATTAATTATCCTTTCTGTTCCTTACCTAGATTATCTCTCTATGCCGTTCAGACCTTAACAAGGCTGAGCCGGAAATCACACGGAAATCTCTATAAAGCCTCTTAAATTGATCGATGGAACCTAAGTTCCCGCCTGAATCCTTCTAGAAAAGCTTACACAGCTGTTACAATCAGACCATGTCGCTCGGAACGCGAGTAGCGAATTGCAAAGACCGAGATCTGTGGATATAAAGCCTTCAAGACTGGTCGGTTAGGAAGAACGGCTTGGACTAATACTTCTCTACACCTACACGATCCTTACTGTCAAAGACTTTCGTCCTAACGAGTCACAAGCACCAGCATCCCACACATCATCCCACACATCATCCCCACAACAACCATCAAAATGCTCCCCTCCATAACCCCCCTCCTCCTCCTCGCCGCCGCAGGAACCTCCCAAGCCATCAACATTTGCTGCTCCTCTTTCGCAGGCAACACCTGCACAAAAGACCAATACAACAAGCACCGCCAAGACGTCATCCTGAACCAAATCATAAACGTCGACGGCCGGAACTGCGTCCGCAAAGGCGCCGGTCCCGGCGCCTGGACCAGCAAGAAGGACTGGTCCGAGTGGTATGATTGCCAGCAGTGGACCGGTCCCGAGCAGCGCCAAATCGAGGTCGGGGAGTGTACTCTCTTCTGCGTAACGCCCAGTGGTCTTCTGAACGGACCTTGTATTTGAGCCTTGCTCTTGTTCGAGGTAACTTGTTGGACAATAGATCAATCATGCTGAAGGTTTTGAAAAGACGGAGAGGTGTCTTTGAACTCCCGACTTATTTTGTACCTTGGAAGATGCAGAATAACTGTGTAAAAGATATATCAAAAGTACCTGTTCCTACTTTGAGTAGAAGCTCAGTTCACAACGAAACGATGAAACAAGATGACACTAGCTGTTGAAAAAGAACCATCGAGATGATGTTCGTTCAATCGCTGGTCGTACCAGGAATGTTCACATTTGATTTGCGAATAATCCTATCACTGAAAGCACGATGTTCTGTACATGAGGCTCCAAGAATTCCAGCAAGTACGACTCCAGTCTAAAGTGGCTGAGCTTCCTCGGTCCTTAGTAGACCAACCCTGACGTTTTGGCTTGCTGGTTAGGCGCCGAACGCTGTATTTTACATCTTATTCTTGGAAATCATAATCCATGTTATCGCTGTTCGTGTATAATACTCTCAAGTCCATTGCCCTGGAAGTCACCCGCTGCCATAACTCATTGTTCTTTTCCATCGTTTTGCGCTTTGATTTACAATACTCCACAGACGGAATGAAGTGTAATATTGTCATGACCTGGTTCTAAATTCGTAAGCCCTCTCGAAATCATGATGATGGCGTTGAAGAGGGGCATATCTGTGCGTGTGGGGATTGGACTTACACCACTCGTCAAGTTAACGACTTCCCACGCCTGATGATCTACGGTCCGCCTGACCGCAATCATTCCGCAACAACAGGAGGCTGCGCATCATTCATGCATTTGCATTGGCCGGCATGACTTTTAAAGAGAATTCGATACAGAGGACAAACCGAGATTATGGAAGCCGCCAATGTAAAGCAATGCGAGGCGGCCAGCCAAGAGTCATTCCTTTGAGCGTGGCGTCTAAAGCTACAGAGGCAAACCACGACCACAGCGAAGTTGATACCGCTGGTTATGAAGAAATTTACCCGGGATGGGCACGAGAGGCTATGCTTGTTGAAGGTTCCGTTGCGCTGTCCAAGTAGGTTATACATTGTGAATGCGGTGATGCATCCGCCGAGAAAAGCGCCGAATGTTCCAACGAAAAGGAACTCGGTGCTGTCGGTGTTGTTGCTGGTAAAGTTGTAGTGGATCAAAACGATGTCGCACGTGAATAGTATAAGCGACGTAAGAAACCAGGCAGAGCCGAGGACGTAAGTAAGCATCTTGTGTTGCTTGACGCTCATTTCCTCTGCTGTCGCGACTGCGCCACGTGCTACAGGTGCGCCTGATACTGCACGTGTGCCCGGGTTTTCTGGATCCATGTCGTGGAGTTCGTATGGAGGAGGGGGTGAACGACTGTGAATAGACATGATGAAGATGTCGTGGTGTGCCCAGGCCTGAGTGGGACGAACGAATTGGTGCAGAAGCAGGTACTCAGCGGATGGAGAATTGATCGGATGCAACGAGGTCCTCTGCTTGACGATGTCTTGTGGTGGTGTTTGTATACAATATTTGAAGTAGTGTTGGTCCAAGAAAGAAAAGATGGTGTGTTCGTGGTGTTGATTGTGGTCGGGAAGAAGTGGTGGAGATGGGAGCTGAGGTCAGTATGATTTGTCTGTGAGAATGTAGAAGGGGAAGTAATGCAAGGCTTCTTCCTGTTTATGGCAGAAAATGCCATCTGCTGCTTCCTCCTCCTCGGGACATCCCACGAGCTAATATCTACCGGGAAAGCAGGGAGCTGGCTTCTTATTTTGTCGAAGGCAGTCCTCGTTCACGAGAAGGTAACGCAGGTCAACGCCTGTGTCCACGCCCCTTCCATTTAAAATCACAATCATAACTTCCTACCTGCCTTACTGCCATCTTCAGCCAGTGTTCTTTGAGCTATCAAGGCTAAATCTATTGCTCTGCCTCCAGTCACCAAATGTTGGTCGACCACAGCTGAAGGAACGTCTTTTTTCTCAACTACTCTGAGCAAGTCGGCCGTCTTCAGTGAGCGGGATCACGACAGACATTCGTTCTCCGCAGAACTTTCCAGATATCAGACGCATCGCACCATCTCACCAGAATTTGAAGGAAGGTGCTGAGGGGGTTGGAGATAGATTTGAACGACACTTCCCCTGGAAGAAAATCTGGTCCTGGCCAGATCCGTACCGTGGGCCAAGCGGGCTGATAACCTCGATCATGCAGGCTGTCTGAAAAGCATCCAGGCAGGCAATGAGTATGGCTCCTGAAGGCACTTGTGCTTTCCCATCAAGCTACAAGTCTCTTAGTTGCAAGGAAGGGGACCCGCACCATGTCGATTCACATGCCTCGGAGGGTTGTGTTCTTCAAAGTACAGGTAGGTGGGAACTGCACCTTCTCATCCGCTGGTCAGTTAATTTGACGCGGAAGGCACGGGTGTACTGTCGTTGCGTAACATGCCCGACCAGTGACGGGCTGAATACAGCGAGGTGCGAAGCTGCTGAGAAAATCAGGAGATGGGAGAAGTTGATTAGGGTCAAAGGAGGCGGTGCTAAGGAAGAGACGGCGCTGCCAACAAGAAAGAAGGGTTGTGTTAAAAAGTTGGATTAGGTTCACTACATATCTTCTCGGAGTCCCAATTCGTGACGGGTTCAAATAATGCGGAAAAGGCAATGTCTCCCAGCGCCAGAAACTCCAATCCTGGTCATTCCATGTCTTATCTCGTGTTGTGTTTTCAAACGATCCAATCTGACCCCTGTTCCGAAATAGTCACTTCCCCTGTTCAGGCCTGTGCAACGGTGTCGCGAACAATCTTGTTGCAGTCGACGGGGTTCTCAAAGACGAACCAATCGTCGCGAGGGATGTTCTTGAACGCCTTCTCGAAGCGTTCCGGCTCGTTTTTGGCGGAGATGCCGATGGCAGCAATGTCAGTGACCTTGCGGATCAGGATGAGCTTGATCCAGCCCTTGAACTCGTGGTAGCTGTGGCTGCTGTTTAGTTCATGTATGAAAACGCTCAAGGAATGGAGATACTCACATGTCGCCATAAGCCTCGGGGTCGGACTGCGTAGAGTCGCCAATGAGAATGAACTTCCTCTTGGGAAGCCAGTCGTGCACCTTCTTCATGCGTTCTACCTTGTATTGCTCCGTGGCCATTGTCAGCGCCGACAGCAGGCCTGCAACCGTCTTCCAGCTTGAGTCGCGGAGGATGATGGACCCAGGCGGGTAGTACTTGTCACGGAACTCTCTCAAGAACGGATACAGGTTGTATGGGGAAGCCGAGAGGTAGAACCACGGTGATTCCTGCGGCAGGAGTGCAGAAATGTTCCGGTACAGCTCCGGCATGCCCTCGATTGGTCTCGGTTCGTTGACAAAGGTCTCGCGGAGGATGCCGATAGGGTCGCTCGTCTGCGTCAACTTGATCGTGTCGTCGATGTCTGCGAGACGCCATGTTAGTGAACCGTCACGGAATGGTTTTGGTTTTAGGGGTACCGTACCTGAAATGATTGCCCACCCCTCTGGAGCAGCGAAGAAAGTCTTCATCTCCAACAAGCCTGTCGCACCACGCGGCACCGCTGCGCTCGACGTGACCGTCGACCCAGTCGGTTGCTCGTGAATCTTGAGCGTGTCCGTGGTAATGCCATTCGACCCCGAGGGACCCAGCTTGAGCTCCTTCATCTGATGCACGATGCGGAGGTGTCGCGCCGGCTGCACGTCCCAAAGGAACGGCATGATCCGTTCCTCAATGGTCTTACGCTCTTCTGCATCGTCCGAAAGCCCAAGCTTCTCAGCAACGCCCTGCACGATATCGACCACCTTGCATTTCGGCTCCTTTTCGAAAATCGCGGCGACGAACTCGGCCTGCCAGCTGCCTAAACGAGAGGGCTTGTATGCTGTGTTATCCAGGAGCCAGACGATGTCGTCGTCGGTCACGGGCCTGCCCCAGGGGTTGTAGCTACCGAGATGCGACAGGATACCGCTGGCGCTCGCGAAGGCCGCCTGCAAGGTCGGCACTGTTGGGTTGGGGAGCTGTGCCTCGATCTCGTCGAAGCGACGTTCTTTGCGGGTTTGCTTCTGCATCTCGTCTGCGAATGCCGCGGGGCTCTTGCTGTCGTCTTTGGCCGCCATGGTTTCGATGTTCGGCGCTGCTTACAAGTCTTTATAGGGATGTCTCTCTATGTGCGTCCTTCGCCTCTTTGACAATGAATCAACGGTCACTTGGTCGGCGAGGTAAGCAATGTGACTCGAAAGGATACTCCTGGTGCCTTGGCGGCGAAGTGGCTGGTAGGCTGATGATTCAAGGCTGAAAGGCAGATGTGTCTCGAGGGGAGCTGTTCCTAGTTGACGGGAAACGGTGGAGGAGGGTGGGAGGTGCGGCACCTTAGGTAGGCGACCTAGAGCAGATGAATGGACGAAGACAGTACGGGGTAATAGGCGTATGTCTCAGCTGGATGAAGAATTGCTGGGAATATGAGCTTTCAGCTACGGCAGCCACGAGCCGTCGGTGTCGGCGAGAGGGGGGCAAGGCGAACCGATGCATTATGTCAGAGCTAGAGGCGCTGGCTGCATCGTCTGTGTGGGAGGTGTCCGTGACATGGTTTAGGGCGAGCTGTGACAGGTCGGTCCATCAGATGGCCACTGACAAACTACCCAAGTCGGTCGCAACAAGGCTTGGCTTAATATGCGCTTTCGAGACCCTTGTGACCGCCAACCGTAAATGGCCCAGGAAAGGGTAGGCAATAACGATGGACGGATCTGCTTGTAGGCGAAGGTGTATCGGAGGCGTAGGAAATGTGGAGGGGAGGGATGGAGGGGTTTGGCAGTCGCAACAAGTCGCAGTCGCAGTCGCACCGTGACATTGGAAGAGGAAAGGTCGCAGGCGGGGACGGGAGGTATCCGGTGCCTGTCTCCCTCCTGCCTTACCTCATCAGGCTCCCGTCAACTGGAGAGGGAACCCCTGCGGTTCGACGGTCATTAAAAAAGGCATGATCCGAAAATGTCCCGATGGCACGTCACGTGTTCGCGTCACTCGCCAGGGATCCTCCAGGTCAAGGAGTCACGTGGCGCTAGCTCTCCAAAACCCAAAGACACAACATGACAGTTCAAAAACAACAAACCAAGTCGTGGGCACCAACAAAGGAGGTTGAAGCAAAAGAATTGTCCCTGGCAAGGCTCGAACTTGCGACCTTTGGATATCCCTAGATATTCTAGCGTCACATGTGTGTTATATGAGACCAACGCTCTACCGACTGAGCCACAGAGGCTGATTGGTTGTGGCTGAGCAGGGCAGTATGTCCACCATGCAGGGTCAACGGACTCCAGGTTTGAGCAACTCAGTCGTTCTACCATATCGAATGATCAATTTTCTGTCTCGATTTACTCTTCTTAGACCACTCTCAATTTTTGCTGAATCGAAATCCAGTAAAAGCGCTCTCTCGCTTACTGCGGTCTTGGATGTCTTGGTCGGACTGATCGGACATACCGGTGCAAGCATTTGTCAGGTCGTCAGACGGAGTAGGCTACAGATAGGCTATGGCATCGCCAGAGACCCCTTACACGCCCGAAGACCCGGTTACTGTGAAATCCTAGCTATAGTTCATCGTTGTATATAAGATTGTAATTTGGCATTCCTTGGCATATTCTTTTCCAGTTCACTCGCAGGAAAATCATTTACCATACCATAATAGTTCAATTGCTTACTACGGAAACCACGTAAATCACCACAGAGATGACTACTACTTTCGAGGCCTCCTTCTCCATCACTCACATCACCACTGCCTCAGCCATACTGCACATAGATGGCGGTAATTTCCTCACGGATCCCGTCTTCTCCCCGGCTGGCACCGAGTGGGACATGGGCCCGACGGTGCTCAAAAACACAAAAGGCCCAGCCCTTCAACTGGAAGACCTCCCTGTCATTGACGCCGTACTTCTAAGTCACGAAGACCACCCCGATAACTTGGACGAACTCGGCCGGCGTCTCCTCGATGGCCGCAAAGTTCTCACGACACAAGACGGAGCACGGAAACTTGCACCCCGCCCTGGTGTACAGGCTCTCAAGCCAGGGGAAACCACGTTACTTCGTGTTGGAGGGCGGGAATTTGAGTTTACTGGAGTACCGTGTCAGCATCTTCCAGGCGGAGAAGTCACAGGCTTTGTGTTGAGGGCAGCAAATTTCGGGGAAACAAATGGCTTGCCCAACGTTATCTACATCTCTGGCGACACAGTCTACCTCGACGAGATCCCGAAATTGCTCGAGAAATACCACGTCTCCGTTGCGATTCTTAACGTGGGTGCAGTAGAGGTCGCGATCACCGATCATCCTTTGCTGGTCACCATGGACGGGAAACAGGCAGCGCGGCTGTTTCGCGAGATCGGGGCGGATGTTTTGGTGCCGATGCATTACGAATCCTGGGCACACTTCGCGGAGAATGGAGACCAGCTCAGGGCTGTTCTTGAAGAGGAGGGCGTTGCTGACAAGGTACGCTGGCTAAAGCCTGGAGTCGAGACAAAGATATTCTAAGTATTTAGTAATAGCCTCTCTTTACTAAGTACATGTACCAAACATCCTTCAAGTTCTATGGCCTGCCTGATTGATGTTAGCTGTCACCTTTGATGGTGAATAGTCTGCTGCTTGTGATGCTATAAGCCTAGATACACCAAGTTCTCGGGTATCAACACCAAAATTCATCTAAAAGGAAGAGCTGTGATACTCGTCTGAGGCTCGTCTTCATCTTGAGTCATGTGGAAAGTGAATGGATCTCAAAGCAACGTTGCCTACTCCTTATGATCATTGTCCATCTTGGCTGGATTCGCACTCGTTTCAGGGTCGACAACGCCGTGGCCCATGTGTGCCGAGTGAACGAGGGAAGGATTCTCGGCCTTGATCTTGGCAAACTCCTTCTCAGCGTCCCATGCCCAGATACTATCGCTGGCAAAGACGAGATCCATTTCCTCCAAGGTGCGTTGGTTTGACTCCGGGTAGAGTGCCCAAACAACAACGAGGGATATGAAGTTGACGGCGCCAAAGAGGTACAGCGTCTTTTCGTTGAGCTTTTCGAAGATTATAGGGAGAAGAAGCACCTGTAAACGGTCTTAGAAGTTGAAACAAAATGCTAAAGAGTGGTAATTGTCGTGCACTCACCGTCCATCCATTGCCTATCGACCATCCAACAACACCCCAAGCGTTGCCCTTGGCACGTACTTGCAGGGGGAAAATCTCCGCGGGGTATAACCAGGGGACCGTCAACCAAGTCGCACCAAAGACCGCGGTATATAGGAAGACGAAGAAGGTAGCGGCACCACCCAGTCCTGAACGGTTGCCGGGATCAGCATTGAGAGTTGCTCTTGCTAGGCCTCCGGCGCAGAACATGCATATCCCCTGCGCAACAGCACCCCAGTACAGTGTCCAACGTCGACCAATGCGGTCTATAGTGAACACGCAAATCAACGTCGCAAACTAGACGATGTCAGCTTCCAAAACCCACAACATGCGAAGGTAGCAATCGATTTACTTACCATATAAGTGATGTTATTCACACCACTCACCCAAAGGCGCTGCTCCGAACTGATGCCAGCAATCGAGAAGATCGTAGGCCCGTAGATCGTGATTCCCGCAATACCTACCCACTCTTGGAGAATCTGAAGCCAGATAACAAGCTGAACACGACGGCCGGTGTGCAGTTTGCCCGAGCCTATCCCAAAGAGCATGGCAAAGTAGCTCTGCTGCTTGGCGGTGTCGTGTTCTAGGTTTCTAATGCTGAGGATCTCCTGCAGCTCTGCCTCTGCGGCCTTCCCATCCTCGCCCTCGTTTCCGCGGAGTCTGCCCAGGATAAACCTGGCCTCCTCTTCTCGGCCTACCTTGGCGAGCCATCTTGGAGACTCCGGCATGAACCAGATCATGATGAAGAGGGCGATCAGAGGGATGATTTGGAATGCGATTGGAAACCTCCAGACAAAGGATGATGTGGCGTCCTTGTACTTTGACGTGCCGCTATCACCAAATTAGATACCGGTAGTCTTGGCCTGGTGTTCGTAACTTACAATTGTAGCCAGTATGCGACAACAACGCCAAAGATGTTGAGAGTAAATTCTATGGCGACAAACTTCCCCCTAGATGTATGAGAAGCTACTTCTGTTGCCCACACTGGGGTGATGGCGTTCAACATGCCGGTGCCAATGCCGTTCAAGACTCGTGCTTTAATCCACGTTGAGGTTAGCATTCTCAATTTAGGGTTGATAATAGTGCCGCGTACGACAAAACATCCAATCCGCATTCTGCGCAGCGGATTGAAGAGCCGCAGTGCAGATAGACCAGATGCATGCGACGGCAATAGTCTTGAGGCGCCCGTATCTGTCACCGAACCAGCCGCCTATCAAGCACCCCGCGAGCGTTCCGGGAAGGTAGTAAACGGCAACCTAGAACATTGTGAGATCAGTGGCCATCTGAAGGAGATAACCAGGTGCTTACGATGCCCCCTTGCAACAACGGCTTATCAACAACCACAATCTTTTGCTGCTCGTCCCAGTGACCAAATCCCATTAGTTCAGCATAATTACGTGCAGTGTTGACGCCGCCCATTAAACCTGCGACATATGTTATCAAATTTGACTTCTTGCTTCTCTCAAACACTTAGAGGCAAACTGCTCACCCTGGTCGTAGCCGAAGAAGAACACGCTCAAGGAAGCCACGAAGCAGACTGCGTTGAGCAGCGAGCTCTTGTAGAGCTTGTTGGCGGCATTGTACTTCGCGAGGGGACCTGTTGGACTTGACATTTTGGTATAATGTCTTGTTTCTCTCCTGAAAGTTGTACAGGCATGCTGCTTCAATGTCTAGAACAGAAGATCAGCAGAAAAAGTCCAAAGGGAAACTTTAGGGCCCGGGGAGGTCACAAAGGTAGTACTTATATAAGATTCAAATCTAGATTCTTAATCCCGAGGGTCGATTGCATCGTTGTTACCCCCCACCATCGCTCCTCCAAGTTTCCTCTCCCCACACCCCACGTTTTGAACCGCACGTATCCCGTCGACTCTACGGGAAAAACAAAACCCGGCTGGTGACATCACTCCAACATCCGCCAGCGCCTTCACATACCTAGTATTTACCTCCAACGCCGGCTCCGCATACGTCCGACGCGCTCTAAGCCAATTCCCGGCAGGATACCTACCGAACAATTGCAAAGAAAGCTCGGGGCGTTGACCGGTCTGTCGCCGAGGGCTGCAGGAAAGCTTACATTGGGGGTGGAGACTTGCATGTTTTCCGCCCAACGACTGATCCGCCGGGAGAGGGACTGAGCGCAGTGAGCGGCTGTAAACGGGATTATCATTGCTTTTTGTGGCATGATCAAGTGACGTCGAGTGAGGAGCCAACCCAGATTACACCAAAAGACCAAGCCGCGACGGACAGAACGCCGAATCGCTCACTGGTATCGCACGTTGCTATCGTCGATGTATGCTCTCAGTAGTACGTTATACGCCAGGGCGATGACTCGAACTTAGTGTGCACCGTTACCTTGCATGCTCGTGACCTGAATCCAAGGACTGGATCTTGAAAGATCACTCCGCATTGCTTCCGTCTCCATGACTCAAACCCTCCCGATCATCTGTGCCGTAATCCTTGGGCCCGCTCCGAGCCTCCGACATATCCCTCCGGAACCGGAGGCGACAAAGAGCATGGGTCTGATTGACCGCATTCACAGTGCCGGTAGAATTGGACTCCTGCAAAGCAAAGGATCCTGCTTGCCTTGCGACACAAGAACGTAAGTTGGTTAGGGAAACTGCTGTAGGATTGGCTGTTGGTGACATGATGCATCCATGTCCTCAACTCTCTTTTAATCATTTCTCTGTAGACTATCTCAGGCTCCTTACAAGCTTCATGGATCCATTCTCTCCAAGTATAAGTACGATGTTGATGTCTTCAAAAGTTGTCAGTCGGGGTATGGTGTACAGGCGTCCGTTCACATTCCCAGTGTTCAAACTTGTCCGTGTTGATATCGACTCCAAAGACCCTGGCACCACGGTGAGCCGCAATCGCCAGCCCGTTCAATCCTAGACCACCTAGACCAATGACAGCAACCGTGTGCAATTCGCATACCCGGCCCTCAGTGACGACGGCGTGGTAGGCAGTTGCAACGGAGTCGGTAGCTACAGCAGCTTCAGCGAAGCCAACCTGATCCGGTATCTTGACAAGATTCTTGACTGGTGCAAGTGCATATTCAGCGTACCCGCCGTCGCAGCCGATGCCGAGGGCTTCCTCAAATTCTCTCTCTTGGATTGGATGGCCCACGCAGGCTACGGCAACCCGGTCGCCGATTTTGAATGATGTGGTTGAAGAGTTGCCTAGCTCGGTAATGATACCGGAGACCTCATGACCCAACGTTACGGGCAGGGCGCACATCCATGCTGCGCCGCCGCCGTGCAGGACATGAGTGTCGGAGTGGCAGAGCCCGGCGGCTTTGACGCGGATGAGGGCCTGTTTAGGGCCCGGAGAGGGGATCGGGACGTCTTGGAGAACAAGGCCTTTGTCGGGGCCGAGGAAACGAAAGGCTTTCATGGTAGGCCGAGGTGTTGTGTAAAAAAAGGCAGGAACAGGTGAAGCTTTGTAAACACCTGGATAATATGTGTCTATTTCTCTCTAGCATCGTTATTGAGGTCTTATATCTACTCAAGTATCTCATTCGACAGGCCCTCAGGCAGGCGGATTGTGGATACGCTGCTGTCGGAATAGGATGATTCATAATGAGTCTAAACCTTAGGTTGGGAAATGGTCGTTCTTGCACAAGGCATCCTTGATCGGCTTCGGCTTGGCACTTACCCACCTCAGCATAAGGCAAATTTGGGATGCGTCCGTGAGGAAAAGCAATTAGACGATATATTACTGGTATCAACAAGGAGAGAGTAGAGTTTCTTTGTTTGGGTAGTAGTCTGAGCGGATTAGACAGATGAATGCATACAAAACTGCGAGAGCCAAGTATGTTGATATTCTAAAACATCCATTCACCAAACACTAGTTGAGATTTCCGACGACCTACCCTTCAAAGATTTTCCAGCTTATCCCATCTGGTGCGGATGGACAGCACTTTCGCCAAGGGCGGGGTAGAGCCAATAAGGGCTTGCAAATCTATTAAGTTAACCAATTGTTACGACCCAACATGCATGACCAAGAACAGGGCCTGCCCCGCAGGCTCGCAGCGCCTATAACGCACCATATATGCAGGAAATAAGGGATACTAAGCACTCTCTTACGGAACGGAAGAACTATGGTACAAGTCACGTGATGATAAGATAAGGAAAACCGTATGCCAAGAATACGGAGTCCGTCCCTTTGAGGTACGGACCCCGTATATTCAGAATACGGAATCCGTACGGTAAACATACGGATAAAGGATATGTTCAGAATCAAGACTTGTATATAGGATGGACTCGAGCCGGACTCTAGGACAGACTTCCCATAGCTCTTCAGCAATTAACTTCGTATCAGGATTAACATCCGCTTTCAGCTACTACCTTGACAAGACTACGATTGATCACCGCAGCCTTCCCTTACCTTACGACTTACAGACATAGCTTCCCTGAAGCTATCCCCGACTACGATTACTGTTACCAGTTCCGCAGCCTCAACTTCTGCAAACTACCTCTACGACTAGCTGGCCGTAACAAACGGCCTTAAAGGTCTAGAGGTAGTAACTAGAGTAAGGGAAGTATAATAAGTATAACCTTATAACTAATTAAAGCTTACATATAGTTATTTATATATTTAGGCTTTAGCTAGGGGGATATTAGTGTTACGCCCGCCGCAACTTGTCACTGTGGGCGCGTAGCTATATAATGCGGAACAAGGGAAAATGATGCGGAGTCATCATTATCGAAGCTTTTGCTTTCTGCCACAGTTAGTTGCCTTGACCTGCTCGTAACAATTAGAGAAGGAGAGGTCTATAATATAACTTTTTTCGTTCTTATTAATGCGCGTGTTACGAGCTGGACAAGGCAACCAACTGTGGCACAAAGCAAAAGCTTCGATAATGATGATGTTAGGCATCATTGTCCCTTGTTCTGCATTATATAGCTACGCCATGACGGGACCAATCGTTTAGGCCGTAACAATCTAGGGTATTAACAAGGAGGCAGTATACTACGTCGTACTTAAATTAGGCCGTAATAGCGCGTTAGAGCGCTACGGCGGCGGTAGAGGAGGGTACTTTACTTCCCTATAATATATAAGGACGGGATAGGAGCGGCGCCAATAAGCGCGGTAGTAGCGCGCGCGGGCGCGATAGGGTCAAAAAGGGGTCCGGTAACGGGCTATCGGCATGCTAAGAGCTTACGAGGCCTCTCTGAGGCCTTACGGGCGGCGCGCCTGCGTCTGGTTACGAAGCCATCGCAGGTGATAATTCGTAACTTGGGTGCAGGAAGTGGTGTTAGTGGGTGGGTATAGGCCCGGGCAAGACACTAACAGTGGGTGTCTCACGCGGGTGATGCGTGCGGGAAGTTGCTTTGTCTTCAGCTAACCCACCAATTTTGGTGCGTAGAGCATTCGCCCACTAGTCGAGGCTCAGCCATATCCTATTGACATGTCGAATGCACTTGACTCTCCAAAAGAAACATCGCCATCATCCCAAAGAAGACTCAGCATCAAGTCCTCCCCGCCAGATACCGTGGGGTCGAAGGAGAACAGGTCTAGCTGGTCATTTCCGCCCCTTGCTGGATCATGTGCTCCCGTTGATCGCTCCGGTCGTCTGCTATCTCTTGCCCCTTCATGCGGTTGTGATGTGTCCCCAATTCTATTGGTCTCGGGGCTTTCGGCTAGATTGAATGAAAGAAGTCTTTCGACGTACGGGGCACCGGCTTGGTGGTACTCGGTTGGCGAGTTGGTCTTGAAAGAGTCAATGGCTTGTGAAAAGCTTGTCAGAAGGCGGTGATATTGTGCTGCTTGCGGACTCAGATGCCCTAAGAAGTCGAGGACACGTAGCGCGTTGTGAAAAGCCTTTCCACGGTTTTGGGGCACGTCATGGGCGAGTAGTGAGAAGCCAAGAACTAGGCCGGCGGCAAACAACCAAGCTCTGTATAGACTGTGAGCAGCAATATCCTTGCGCAAGACCAGGAAACTTACTTCAGTATGCACATATTGCCCATGATGGTGCGCGAATCCAGTGCGTCAGCACACATCTCTGCCATGAAGACTGCAGCATCCACACATGCATCAGATAGCTCAGCAACATTCTTTGCGTCTTCTGCTCCTCCTTCAACATTGTGGTCGACTGGCAAATCGTTGTTTATCTGGGGCATGATGTGCTCTATCAGGAACTCCCGAGTCGTCAGGATAATGCCAAAGTAGTATGTGCAGGCGACATGGATATTTCCGATAGCTATTTCTCGGTTTTGAGAGTGATGAGAGTGGGCGGTTCCTCTCTTGGGACGTTGGCGTAAGGCATTTGGCAGGTCCTTGCTCCAACATCTAATCTCGTAGAGAAATTGCCGTGCTTGCACCATGCCTAACTCAGATTCTTCGGTAAGAGTATCGACGATTCTGTTTAGTATTGTGGCAAAGGAGCAGGCAGAGTCTACTGACAGATTACGGTGTCGGTCCTCGTGCAGTTTTACGCTTCGTCTCAGTCTGCAAGGTGCTACACTCGTTGGTCTTCCGAGTATCGAGCTGCAAACGACATCGAAGAGCCGTATACTCTTGTCAACGCGAGATCTTGATGGCTTGTTAGCTCGTTGTTCCATATACGAAAACGAAGGAATACGGAATTGGCAAATGATACCTTAAACTTCGTTCGCTTTCTGAAAGAGACTGAAACTGTTCCGCCATGTGTAAGCCCATGACCGAGGCCGCCTTTGTAGCAACCCCAAGGTACATGAAAGCTGAGTTCCGACGGCAGGCGCCAAACATATAGAATGCCATTAACACAAAGCCTCGAGCAGTGTTCAGTGATGGATCGCTCAGCATTCTTTCAAAGGACAATTTGCGTGCTTCCGAGAAGTAACGAAAGGCTTTTGGCGCATCACCTATCTGGCCACGACATTGGGCGCCGATTGCGATCATCATGTAGAGGCAAAGAAGCCTCTCTGAGTTGGCAGCAGAGTCGGACCTCAGAGACCCAGTGTTATGTGACGATGGGTTCAGAGCTAGTAAACCTTCGATATCTGATTCATCGAATAAATCGAGGAGTCCGCTGGACTGTGCATTGGTCAATTATCCGCACACATGAAAGGTTTGGCGATTTTCGTGAAATGATATACTCACGGCATCGAGATATCGTTGGACCAATACTTTCTTCTCGGCGGTTTCAATGTCATCTGAAAAGTCTTCCGTCTGCTGAACAGGAACTTGTGCCTCAAACATGCGGTGGCATCCTTGGCTAATGGTAAAGCCTGGACCTAGGATCCGCAAGCTTCCTCGCAGGTACTGTAGGAACGCAATAGCTGAGGCGTTACCGACAAAGACTGAGAATCTCAATATGTCAGCTATCAATCGCTAAACTCTCAGAGTGCTTCAAAGTCGCAGATGAAGCGGCACATCGCGTAAAGTAGGTATCGCACCTTTTTCTCCACTACAGGTGTACATCATGACCGGGCGTGGGCCGGACGGCGTAGCCGTTTTACCGGAAGTTGACGATGCTGCAGTTTCATCCTCATCTCGCAACGAAGACTCTTGACGCTGATAAAGCAAGGGAGAGACATGATCACGCCGTCGAGAGTGTGAAACGGCTGGGGGTCGGCCCGGTGGTGCGCGACGAGCCCTGGTGTGCTGAGAATAAGTGCAAGACGAGCCTACACCGCGTTTAACGCAAGGTCGGCATGGCTGCGCGGCGTCGCATCGCTTCTTGGTCGCTCGGCACGCCGTGCAGGCCCTGGTGGACCGTTTTCGGTCCTCCGGACGCACCGGCGGCCGGGGCATGGCGTGTGATGCGGAAACAACGGAGAGGTGGTACGAAATGTAGGCTGCGGGCCGACGATTCAAGGTGCAATTGCCGCCAAGTCACATTAGATGCAATTCCATCGGGTTGTGAATCAGCATCATTCGATCACGCTACGAAAGATCACAATGCTTCTCAAACCCACAAGGCCCTTCATTGAGTAAGCAGATAAGCAATGTAAACATAATTGGAAGTTGAGATAGGCTTATCAGGGTGGTTCCCCGGATTGTCAATGTCAATCGGCGGCCGGTGGACAGGGCAGAGTAAATTCCCATTGATGTGAGCGGTGCTCGGCCCGCACACTTTATCGACTGTTTGTAAGCCCGTAAATCCGTATATCCGAGAATTCCCTCTGCTACGGAAGTTCCGCCTCAACTGACCAATCAAAGACCCTATCTCGTTGCTAGTCAGGATAGAAGCTCGGAATACCGTCACGACACCAGTACTGGTTCATAATGACTCGGCCGGAGCTCAACCCGTGCCGTACTTTGCGCTAAGTCTGGTATCATTTTTGATGTGAAGTATCTCATCTTATAAGCTCTTGGAGTCTCCCAGTCTCATCAACGAGTTCACCAAAAGAGCCCAAAACTTAAGATCACGCCGACGAAATCAAGCCACTCGTAGCGCCAAAAAATGTACGCAGACATCAGCAAACCTCCAGCTCCTCTTCCGCAGTCTGAATTGAAGACGGTTGGAAGCGGGGTTTCATCACTGTCACCCCTCTCTCGCCGTGGAGTTGGACCGGGCCTCATTCTTCTTGTCCCTTCAGTCGACAATGCACTAGCAATTGAGGAAGGCGTACCCGCGCTGCCCCTGAAATGGGCCGAGGAGGGGTACACAGTCATTGCTGTTCAGCCAACAGCGTTCGAAAATGGCATACGCGAGACGCTCGATCTTGCCATTCAAACATTTCGGAAGAGTGATAAGTGCGACCCAAAAGATGTGGCTGGCCTTGTTGGTGAGTTGCAATCTCCACCACATCACGCATGTTGGACTTGGTTAATTGAGATGGCTTAGCGTACGAACCAGAAATGTGGAACACGGTTGCGCCGATCCTATCTGAATTCCCAGAAATCGTGAGCACAGTGGTGTACGCCGATGGCTCAGAAAGGTCATCAATCTCCAGTAGCTCTTCGCCCACAGTCTATCACTTTGCTGGAAAATCCGAACGACAGCCCTTGCGGTCAAAGAGCCGAACGGAATACTTTTACCCAGCAGCCCAGTCCTTCAAATTCGCAACTCCGTTCCAGGCGCATTTCGATTACAATATGGATATGCTCTCATAAACTCGCAATCTCACTCTCCTCAAAGGCGAAATGAAAAGTCCCATTTTTGACTTGGAGGCTATTTGGGATGAGCATACTTGGTATGAGTTCGCCGATAGATTTGTGGAGCACACTATGAGCACAATGGTGCAAGACCCATACGTCAACCACATCCCAACGGTGAGAGAACTCCGATCGTGTAGAGCGAAGTGAAGGAGAATACCCTTAATAACGTTTGCTCGCTTAGTTGACCGGTGGTGTTGGTCGCAACAAGCTGACTGACTTTTATCGTCACAATTTCATCTTCAATAACTCAGCCGACACGGAATTGGAGCTCATTAGTCGAACCATCGGCATCGATCGTGTAGTTGACGAGTTCATTTTCAAGTTCACACACGATCAGGAGCTTGACTGGCTGTACGTAGAAGCACCACAAACCCAACTAAGCCCACCTGTTCGTCGGTATATACTGACATGGCCGCTAGGCTCCCGGGAGTTCCACCAACCAATAAATACGCTGAAATCCCATTTGCTGCCGTTGTCAACATCCGAGGTGATCGCCTGTACCACGAGCATATCACTTGGGATCAAGGTACAGCCTTGGCTCAATTGGGGCTCCTTCCAGAGTACCTTCCTTTCCCCGGGGGTAATCTCCAGTACAGGGTCCCTGTAGCGGGCGTGGAGACAGCGATGGAGTTGAGAGCACGAAATTCTGTTCCGTCGAATGATATGTTCAAGTTTGCGACACGCTCTGCAGACAGCGAAACAGTGACTCGAGGAAAGTTGGTTGCGGCTGTAAGCGACAATGGTGTAGCACCAATTGCAAATTGATCAATAACGATTTTTGGTGCAGAATTTCCTCAATTGAGTATCCCTGTTATGTGTATATGAAGTCTTCCGTGCTACCATGCCAGATGATAGGCAATGGCAATTTTGGATCATGCCTGATGTAGCGTCTCAACTGTTCAGGGTATCTTAACACGCGATGTGCTCTACCATCCATCATTTTAATCAATTAATCGCCTTGCACCTAGATGTAGAAATGCTACATGCACATCTATGAAGGTTGACAGGTGTTCATCCACAGTCCATGAAAGCCCGCACGTACTTCTTCTGCTTGCGGTGCAAGTTTTACGAAACCACAAGCCTGGCATTCTGTTCCGCAATTCTTTCGCAACTTCAACAAGCAGGTATTCCTCCAAAGACCTTTCCTCTCGACACGTGCCAGTCGAACCGCGGCACAGTTGCATACCAGATCTGGATCAGAAGCTCAGCATTTTCGACGAACTGGTTCATCTTCTCGATCAGTTCGTCATATTCGTCGTGTGACATCTTAGCGGTGAACCCAGTGGGAACTAGGGATGGATAGAACACATAGTAGCTCACGAGCAAGATTTGGAGGACGTCAGGAGACGGCGTGTACTATATAGTATATAGCTAGAGCCTGCGACCCTTCACGCCACATACCCTTCGGGAGGTCTGCCGCAAGGGCGGCTGCGCCCTTGCCGCCATGGCGTTAAATAGAACAACAACAAATCTTTCTAGCGGACCGCCGCAACAAGATATTGCACAAACCGAATGAATTCGGGCCCCTGCTTAATAGTCCGTTGGGGTATGAGATTGCCGTCGATGAATTTCCTCCATATGAAATCCCAAGATCTGACGAAAACAGTTTCGTCCTCCCTTTGGCGGCGCTCCTTTTCCCGCTCGACTTTGTTCCAGATCCCGCATGGCTTGTTGCTGGGGGCTGGAAGTCCGAGTTCTCTGATGAAACGGTCTGCCAAGTAACTATGCTTTAATCGGAATTTTATCATCGAAGCGATATCCATTCCGTCGGTGGATGCTTCTGTTGACTCGATGGTGTCGAGGAGATAGTCCTGGATGTAGGAGCCATGTCCGCTGTGCCAGTCCCCAGGCCAGAGTTCAACAAAACGTCTAGACATTTCCACGACTCGTTCTCGGCATTTGGGGCATGTTGTCAAGGTTTGTTCGTCTTCGTATCCGTCGAATGTGCAAGTGAAACGCGAATGCACTTGGTTACATTCAATTTTGACCAGCTCGTTCAGTCTCGCCACCGCCTCATGGTACTCTGCTACTAGCATTGTATAGTCGATGGATATGTTGATAAGATGGGACTTTTCGAGCATCATCTTAATTCTTTTCTTGTTGTGATTTTGGGTGTAGGAAGCCGATGTGTTCTGAGTATGATCGGCTTTTCTGAACTTATCCTGCTGGGGAGCTACGCAGACTTTCTGCAGATTGATTGAGCTATCTCCGAAACTTATGGCTCCTCAAAGTTTGGGCTAGTAGAATTGTGCATTTCAACTTCTTTATGCCCCAGACTTTGACCTAAGTACATGAATGTACAACGTGATTGAGCCTGTCGTGGGCCGTGGAACCATGGACACCCTTTTGCCCACGCTTGTGAAACCTTTTTCGCCGCCATCCTCTATTGGATACAACAGTACCATGATTCGTATATTTTTCTGCCTCGAGATGACTATATAACTGTGAACATATATGGTAATCTTTGGTGCGGTGACACATTATCAGGGTTGGGTAATTGTTTGGCTTTAACGCCTTTCCCTTCCAAAGGGCCTATCGGCGTTAAGGATAACAACAACTACTACACCAGAAGCGATGGCGACGATGTTTTCTCCTCTACACATGGCAAATCTTTGATATCTGGTCGTCTTTACTCTTCTAAACGTGAGTACTAGGGATCTCTTTCCATACCTTCAAAGTATTTCTCCCACTTGGGAACCTTTCAATATCCCCTCGAGTCTCAATGGCAGGTGACGGGAAAATTTGCTCCTACCACGGCGAATTACTCATAGCCCTTCTGGTGCCGGTACTCGCGGCGATCACATGCATCCATAATATGCCAATATACATCGACACTCCAGAGCATCTACGCCCAGAGCTCAAGGTTATCCGGGACTCTTTTAACAAAACGATAGAAGCGTTTAGACCGCCTTTCTCTCGCGCTATTACCGCCAATACCCCAGGGACAGATGGACGAATAATCAGAACGAGCCTGGAAGAATTGCAAAGTCTTTGGAACGGACGACAAATGAACTACTATTGGATTTCGATGTGGTCCATGGTCAAGATGATCATCACCAAAAAGATATCTGAGGAGAAAGCCGAGAGAGCACTGGACGAAATCACGGCAAGTGTACCCCCCCCCCCCCCCCCCCCCCCCCCTCCATCCCCCTTTCTACCTTACCCAAAGTCATCAAAGTGAAGCGAGACTTCACGGACATGCTCCATACCTTACTATTAAACTAAGAGTATGCTGAGGCATCCGTGCTTTCGGCACATAGCTCCCCGAAACATTCTCGCATGAAGAAGTAGCTAACGACTGTGTTTAAGCATAAACTTGCCCGTTCTCACCCTAGGCATAAATTAGCGTTTGGCCTCAACTCGCAAATCATCATAAGGGTGTCGGAAATTCTACTCCGTTTTTGGAAAAATCCTGAGAATCTAACTCATGTTGAGTTTTTTTATTTGCTCACGTGGATTTCCAAGAGCCTCGACAAAGATGGGTTAGCGTGGTCTGCTATCGATGAGGATGAATGGTTTAGCATGGTTTCTCGCAGCTGCCTGGACATCAAAGCATACATTGCTCGGCAGCCTTTCGGTCTCCCCAAAGCTATAACCCCTATGGATCGATTAGCCCTGCACTATATCCTTCCCGAGACAAAGGCAATCCTCAAAGAGGTCATTCCAAAGTTAGTTCACTTCATGGACCAAGACAATCTCAAACGAGAAGATTTGGCTCGCGAAATCTTCGATCTACGTTTTCTTCCAGCGCCTATTTGCGCGGAGGACGTGCCGGAAGCGGCCAGGCGCCGGGCCAGGATGACTGATCCGCACCTGAAGGACGTTGTAGGGTCAGCGATTGTTCGGGGCTGGATTCAAAAAGAAATTGCATCAAATCCAGATCCAGTCAGCATTCTTAAGCTGGCCCAGGTTCGGGTTCAATATCTTTGCAACACACTACAAGATGACGTCCTCTTATCAAGTGAATAAGGGATTGGTGGAAGGATCCACTATGCTGGATATACCGGTCGGTTCTCTGCGAAGTTCCCGTCATGTACCAGGCTGTTTGGAGGCTGCCTGTGCCCAGAGACTCGACGCTCAACTTTGATAGACTGCGAAATTGTATGCAAGTGGGGAAACGGGCATAGGTAGTCATCAGGGTAACAACAGGCCCTCGACAAGAGGGACTTGCGGCTCAAGCAGATGGAGCTAAAAGTCTAACAAGGCTTTGCTGTTATCTAGGGGTTTATAATGACCTTGGTGACTTTCGGGCTGGCTCCAGGTGGCACTGGGTTGAGTTACCTCCACAGGTAGTCAGTAAGGCTACCTCGATAAGGACACATCAAACACTTGAGTCACCTCGAAAAGAAGATGGAGTAGTGATAGTGGCGATAGGCTCATCATAACATAAGTTTATTATACCATGCGGTTCATTCGATCCATCTGATCCATCTCATAGCTTCCATTATGCCCTTCAACGTTGCTCCTCGTGTCATACTGCACGACAATCTCATTCGTCCTGACGATCTTGCCGAACCCCGGTTCCGGCTTGACCCCAAGTATGCTTTTATCGCTCCGATCATCGGCGAGCTTGTCCCACTTCCTCCTGATAGAACCCTTGCGTGTTGTCGAAGTCGTAACTGTTACTGTGTTGGTACGCGTGAGGCCGCCACCGGATCGAGATCCATTGGTACGTGTACCTGAGTTACCATAGTACTTGCGAGCAGTACTTGCAACATCGCGGATGAGAACGCGTAGAACGGGAATTGAGGCCGCCATGATAGTTACACCTGACTCCACAGTTCCCCAAATGACAAGATCGCTACCATCATCTGAAAGGGGAATGTCAGTCTAGTCCCTTGCATCAGAATCTCTTGATGCCGTGTTGCTTACAGGTAAAGTCTCCGGAAAAGAGAGTAGGAATCGTGGTGCACTTGACAATGGAGGTCCCGCCTGCGCTAGATTCCTGTGTTAGATGAAATAGTCTGACGCATGATGAAGTATTAAACTTACAATAGTCCCATGCTCATGGCAATACCGACACCAACCTTTTCCTTCATCTTCATTTGAAGTCCCCAGAATAACTTCCAAGGAAGCATGGCGAGAAGTATGTCCATCAGGGCAGAATATCCTGGTAGTTGTTAGCAAAGAACTTCTTCTGTACCACCATTATTTATCCATACCTGCAGCAAAGACTCCATAGTAAGCTGCTACCTTCGGGCTCCAGCACTTCCCCGGTGTCTGGGGGAGCCAGTACTTCTCAATCGGGGTACATTGCACCCAAGCAGCCATCGCGTTGAGGCCCATGAGGACGTTCATTGAAATAATCGCACCCCATATCAAGTTCTTTGTCCAACCCTTCTCTTCGATTCGAAGTAATGTCATCGCGAAAGAGGTCTTGCTCCAGACTGCCGATGTAATCGATATCGTGCTGATGACGTTGCCGTTCAGGCCAATCTGGGGGAAGTTTACTGGATTGATTTGGTATACGTGTTTGCCGAAACCGTGGGACACATTCCATGTTGTCAATGCTGATGCAATCATCAATGTGACCTAAACGATGTTCGTCGTCAGTGAGAACTCCGGCAAGTGGTGTAAGGTAGAGCATGAACTAACCCAAGATGCTATGAGAACATGATCGTCCCACCATAGTCCACTGCGCTTCTTGAATTTGCAGTACAATCGCAGGCAAAGGAAGAATAATGACGCTCCGACCTGAGACCAGATAACCGCGTTGATAGTCGGGCCATAATCCTCTGGCAGCCCCATTTGACCGGCCAAAAGGGGTTACTTCCTTCGCCCAAGCGACGTTCGGATGTCGAAGAAACCTCAAGACACAGACCAGCCGTTGCGTGTTCGATGAGGTCGAGAAAAGGCAAAAGGAATATCAAAGATCAGCCGCGCAACTCGCGGCGGGTATCGCAAACTAAAAGAGACACAAGAAAGAAGCTGAGAAGGGAAAGAACGTAAAACACGCACCCACTCGGAGTGTGGGGGATGACAACTGAGATATGACATCGCATTCTCTCCTCTCCACCCTCTCAGCCTAGTTCATTACCTACAGGCTACAGATAGCCAATCCACCCTGCATACGGGGAAAGGGCTGGACCCCCCGTGAGTATGCAGCTGCCGACGATCGACTTGTAAAGATGAGACGATGATCACGCAAAGGTGTTGGCGCGCTGTAGGGTTCTCCCTAGTTTCAGATGATCAACCCGGGGTAGATTGATGGCCTTCTAGAAGAATGGAAGAAGATCTCTTCACGGCCGTCCAGTCTCGCGCTGCTTGTATCAGGAAAGCGGAGCCACACGGCTGGAAATGACAGATTCCGGACTGCCATCATCGAACAACCGTCGTGTGGCATCATGTCATTGTGCCTGTGTCCGCGTTGTGGGGGGATGAACGAGCCAAGCAAGAGCAATGACTCGAAGTCAAACCGATCCTGCAAGGCTAGGTTCTCTGCTCGTGTTTTGCTAACAATTCTACCGCTAGACCGGATGTTGGATGATTGCTGCGACTCGTCAGAGAGACTGCGATAATGAGTTCTTCTGTCTCATCGTCCCTGATTGTGCCCGTTGGGATCGAGAAACATTGTTCGGTGAGGTTGTGCATGCCGTGAGTCAAGGGGACCCAGATGAGCAGCTCGCGCTCGGTTTTGGGCAGACTGCGCCTCTTGTCTCTGTTAAACTACCGTTGCAAGAATAGATGAGTCGATAACACTGCCTTAGCGCCGAAGTCAAAAAACTAAATGATGGTTAGGTCACATTCCGGTTCAGCTGGAAAACAAGCGAGAATTCGAGATGTATTAGACGAGATGGCATGGCCAGCCTCTATCGGCTATCCGTAGGAACACCACACAGGAAGAATATCGCCAACGGCTTCGTGTGCCGGTGCGGCAATTTGCGATAATTCCAAACACGAGCGGAGAGAGAGAATCTGCCGTCCGTCTCGTCCCTTTGATTGTCAGGCAGGATTCGGTCTTCCCCCCAGATCCCTTATCCTACCTTCTTCAAAGGGCAGTTCAAGATCTGTGCAAGGATGTGGATCGAGTCAGAGAGGTCAGAAAGCGGCAAATTATCCGCGGCCCCGAGTCCGGGTCAGCTGGCAGGGCGCATGGCGGATGTCGTCTCAGATTGTCAATGCAGACAGGGAAAAGTTTTGCTCATTAGGAGGCTCAGCAAATCGCCAAGGCGATGCACAACTGGGCCAATCGTGAGGTAGGGCTGGGCGTCGAACATGGTTCCCGGCCGGTGCGTTTCGCCTGATGTATTTCGTCACCAAATCTATTTAAGGGTTAACTGGTGGGTTCCAGTTTTTTCGGTATGGCCGTTCTTGTAAGCACAGGCAATTTGCTTGTGTGCTCGCATGTGATTTCGCATTTCGTTCCTGTGTCATGAGTGACACTTGTTGATCTAGCTGCGCTGGGCTGACCACATTACAGGCAGACTTGGCGAAGTCCTTGCCTGCAAAAGGCCGGCAAGAACAGGACTGCAATCTGACTCTGACCGGCTCCAAGCGGACTTTGACCACAGACAACTTCCAGTCAGGCTAAAACTACTTAGTAAGTAACACTAGGTGAGTATTGAGATCAGACGCTGAAAGCTGTTTGCTTCTGCCGCTGCCATTGGTTTATTCTGCGTCGGTGCTGGTAACTTGTTACACATCTACAAAAGACGTTGTCAAGAGACTAAAGATTAGTCCTTAGATCGTGAAGTATCTCTGTTGGAACAGCAAAGGCTGATAAGGAGTAATAGGCAGGTACCATGGGCTGGCTGGCACCTGCCCTGGGCGAAGTGGGACAACTGGCTTAGTCATCACGGCCGGATAAAGGTGGGGCAACCACCCAGGCCGTCACTACCTACTTCGACCGACTCCTGCCTACAATGTAAGATAGAAGAACAACAAGAAGAACAAGCAATAGGATCACCAACAGACGAGTGATAATTGCTACCACTATTTGTCGTATACGACCCCGTGAACCAACAATCTCCAACTACAGCATGCAATAGCTGAAACAGCTCGTCGTTTCTACTGTCCCATTACGTAAATATTCCATTTGGCAGAACTGCTATCAGCTTTGGTTTCAAACTTGGGGCATTGTAGTTGGCCCAGTCTCCTTTCTAGAAGTCCCTTGTTCTGGCCACGAGCAGACATCCTGTGCGGTATTGTTCATACCTTGACAGACTATTGATCACGGTTACACCAGAGTTTGTTGATAACCTGGAGGCAAATGCCTCACGAGTCTCGCAGGTTGTCCAGCTTGCTCGTAGTAGCAGCGATTCTCACGATTACTTACCTGCGGCACTGATCCGATACCTCGTCACACTCCATCTGTATCTCGGAAGGAAATCGGGGTGCGTAATTACAGAAGTAGTCCTGAGCTTCGAAAGCCCGCCTCAAAACGACATAGAGGATTACACAAGGTTGAGTTTGCAGCTAATGCGTGAATCTGCAGTCACTGATACTCTTAGAGGTCTGGCTATCTGTGTAAGCAATTTTCGATGCTAACCGGGACATTAAGAGGCTGGAATTCATGACGATTCAAATTGTGGCTCACAATAATTAACTTTACTGTAGTGACTTGTCCCTCTGGGGTGTATATTTTCAAAGATCGCGAACAATTGGGCCATGAATGGACGACAGTTCATTTGCCTCTGAACGTCTCTCTTCAGTAAAAGTCACATGGTAGTATTGATGCAGCTCTTTCAAGCATTCGACTATCACTCTGCACTGTACCGTCGTCCTCCAAAGTGCTCAATGTTGCTTTCTAAAATTCTCACACAAACTTAAGGGTTCTGTCAAACGTAAGCTCACTATCCCATCGAGTGCGGCTGGACTACAGTACTTTGAAGCCCCACAACCGATCCACCTTTTCCCCTCATCACAACGGTACAACATCGATACGTCAATTTACGCTCTGTTGGCCCCGTACTTCCACCACCAAAAGTGTCTTTTTATTCAATGAAAGATGGATGTCGACGATTCCGACGCCTCCGATACCTCTGTACGGGACTGTATCACTGTCGTACTGCTCCCTGAAGACCTGGCCGCCGCCTGTACCGACTCCTGCCGGCCGGAGCGGTGTGATGCGAGGCATCGGCTTGCATAGTAAAAACTATTACGGGCTAGACCCGATTAATAAATCCGGGCTAGCGCCCGGATATTTGTTACGACCCAACATGCATGACCAAGACCAGGGCCCGCCCCGCAGGCTTATAGCGGCTATAGCGCATTATGTATAGACCTAGCTAGGAAATATAGAAGTTACCCTACGGAACGGGAGAACTATAGAGTAAGTTACGTATAGATAAAAAAAAGTAAGTATATATTAAAGTAATTGTCAAACAAAAACGAATCCGTAATTGCCGGCCAGCAATTACGCCTTATTTACGACACACCCCCCCAGATTTACAGCGTTCTAGGCTGGGAATCTGCGTCCTACTTGCTGTAATTGTCAACTGAGGACATACCCACTGTCAATTGCTCAGTGGGCGTCTCGCGCACCTTATTTCCAGCAGAAAAAGACTTTAACAAGGCGGGATTTGAACCCACAACCCTAAGTATAGTGCTTACGTAAGCTGGGCTTTCCAGAGGAAGTGCACACTAACCAGTAGAGGCAAAGGCCTCATAACTGTTGTACAAAAACGAATCCGTAATTGCCGGTCAGCAATTACGCCTTATTTACCACAGTAATTATAATAATTACTTAAAGCGAGTACTTACTAATAACGTACATGCATAGCGAGTGGCCCACCTTCAAATACCCTCCAGCTGTCACAGACCCGCTGTCCTAGACCCCAACCTTAAGGTTGGTGTTGAGTAATCCGGTGGCCGGGTTACGTAAGCCTGAGGCTGGATAAAACTCTGCATCCTGTATTCTGTCGCGCATGTCCAGAAACGTAGCTCCTTGAGCTACGTCTTGTCAACAGAGCCTGTACCTGCTTAGGATAGAGCCTGCCCGTAGCAATAGATTGTCTGATCCGCCTGCCCAGCATCCACCTGCCAAACAACCTGCCTGCTACCGTGACACCAGCCATTTGTATAAGTCGATTAAGCCACATCGTACAAAATTAATTAAAACTACTTATTAGCCTCTTCTTTAGAGGGCTCCAAAACTACCTAATATATTTATACTTTATATCTAATTAGTCTTTTTGTAATTAGTATAACTAAGAGGTTAGAGGTAACGTACCTGCATAGCGAGCGACGCATCATAGCGATGTTACGCCCGCCGCAACTTGTCACTGTGGGCGCGTAGCTATATATGCAGAACAAGGGACAATGATGACCGGAGTCATCATTATCGAAGCTTTTGCTTTGTGCCACAGTTGGTTGCCTTGTCCAGCTCGTAACACAATGATGACTCCACCCTGCGTAGAGGGGTTGTGGGTTCGATTCCCGCACGCTGCGTCGATAGTGTGATTGTGCCTCCCACACTATGAAGGGCGTCCCGACCGTAGGCAGCACGTGTAGGACTGGTTACCCCGCACCTATGCTGGAGTTTCCCTGCTTATACCCGAAATGTCCGATTGGTCCTCGGCATAGGGACATGCCTCTTGGAGGGGAGATGTGGTGTTACGCCCGCCGCAACTTGTCACTGTGGGCGCGTAGCTATATATGCAGAACAAGGGACAATGATGACCGGAGTCATCATTATCGAAGCTTTTGCTTTGTGCCACAGTTGGTTGCCTTGTCCAGCTCGTAACAAGCGAGCGACACACTCTCTCAAACCTTTCTACCTTATGTATAAGTTAACTTAGCCACAACGTACGAAATCAATTAAAACTATATATCACCCTCTTCCTCATTACTATCCCAAACCACTTCACAGGTTCGTGCGTTATGTCCAGGCTTCCCGCAATTACCACATCGTCGCGCGCGTGGTTCAGCACCTTCCGTACGACCCTCCTTCTGAGGGTTATTCTCTCCTCCAGCATT